ATTGACAAAGCGACATGGATTTCACCAGATACCAGGACACATTAAAAATCAGATCGACTTCATCTCAATCTCAAGAAAGTGGAGACGCAGTCAGCCTACTGGACACAAGGTCAAGAAGAGGAGCACACCACTCACTGTCTAGTGCAAGGAACCCACCTTCCAAATCAAGTTAAAAGCCTTCAAGGAAGCTGGTGATAGACCACAGTTCAAGTACAACACTCGGAAATTGAAGGATGAAACTACAAAGCAAACCTTCACGTCAGTTAGCCATCAAGACAAAATGGGAGATATCGAGGAACATCCCTGAAGAAACCTGTGTGGAAGAACACTGAAAGTCTTTGAAAGAGATATGGAAAGAAACCTGCACAGCCGTACTAGGAAGGAAGAAGAAAGAAGATAAGGGATGGATCTCGATGGACACATGGAAGCTGATAGAGGAGAGAAGGATGGTGATGGTGAAGCAGAAGATAAACCAGTGCAAGGATGCTCAACGACAAGAGGAACTGAGCACAATGTATAAAACACTGGACAAAGAAGTGAAGAATAGTGCGCGCAAAGACAAAGCACACCTCTACGACACACTTGCAAGTGAAGCAGAACAGAATGCAGGTAAGAGAGACAGAGGAGACCTGACGACATTGTATCAAACAGCCAGGTTGCTATCTAGGAAGAGATCAACACAGACGAAACCAATAAAAGATGATGACGGAAGTTTAATTACGAAAGAAGAGAAGCAAAGGAAACAATGGGCCGACCACTTCAAGAAGCTCTTGAATCGACCACCACCTGCACTTCGTCCAGAAGCACCACCTACACCCGCTGAACTACAAGTCAACATAAATCCTCCAACAAATATGGAAGTCCTGAACGCCATAAAGCTGCTGAAATGTGGGAAAGCAGCAGAACGCAAAGACAACAGCAGACATGCTCACACCACTATTGCAGAAGTTGTGGAAGGAAGAAAAGGTACCTGGCGATGGGAAGAAGGGTTACCTTGTCAAACTGTCAAGCCGCACCATCCTGGAGAGGCTAAAGGATGCACTGGATTCAAAACTACAACCGGAACAGGCTAGCAGGCTTCAGGAAGTACAAATCATGTGCAGACCAAATTTCAACGTTGCACCACGCATCATCATAGAACAGAGTATAGAATGGCAGTCAACTCAACTCTACCTCAACTTCATCTGCTTTGAAAAAGCCCTTGACAGCGTCTACCGAGAAGTAATTTGGAAACTGCTTCATTACTACGGAGTACCGCAAACCTTTATCAGCCTCATTCAACAACTATATGAAGACGCCACATGCCAAGTAATTCACAATGGGAAGCTCAGTGATGCATTTGAAGTGAAGACAGGAGTGAAACAAGGTTGCCTACTATCACCCATGATATTCCTGATTGTGGTGGACTGGATCATGCAGCAAACAGTGGGGAGCTATGAGAAGAGGGGGATACGCTGGACTGCGGATAAGGACCTAGAAGACTTGGATTTCGCCGATGACTTATGCCTGATGTCACACAAACTTGAAGATCTGCAGGCAAAAACTAACAAGTTAATAGAAGAGGCAGGGAAGCGAAGCGAAGACGGGACTTCAGGTGAATATAGAGAAGGCAGAGTTGATGAAGACACCCAACCAACAACAACAACAACAAACTCCAATCACCGTCAATGGGAGAAACTTAAAGGAAGTAACCTCCTTCACCTATCTAGGAAGCACTGTTTCAACTACAGGCAGCACAGGCACAGACGAGGATGTCAAAGTCAGAATCGGAAAAGCAAGACAGGCCTTCATTAGCCTGAAACCAGTGTGGAGATCTGCACTCCACTCAGCATGTGGAACAAGATCCGGATTTTCAACACCAACGTCAAGTCAGTGCTTCCATGTGATGGTTCAGAGACTTGGCGCGTCACGAAAGGGATTTCCAATAAACTACAGACATTCATCAACAAATGCTTACGCTGGCTCGTTACTGAAGATCAGATGGTCAGAAAGAATAAGCAACAAGGAGCTCTGGGGACGAACCAACCAAGAAGCTATCGCTGAACAAATATGCAGAAGGAAGTGGAGATGGATTGGGCATGCACTGAGAAGGCCGAGTGGGGACATCACGCGTCAGGCCAGTTGCTCGAGTGGAATCCCCATGGGAAGCGACGAGTTGGACGTCCGAGGGTGACATGGAGGAGATGGTGCGAGGAGGAAATGAGAGCTTCTGGGCTGTCGTGGAGCCAGGTTCAAAAGATCTCAGAGAACAGAGGTCACTGGAGACGTGCTACTGAATCCCTATGTTCCATTAGGAACCCGAGGGACTAATAATAATAATAAGATGCATAACTGCATTTCATGACTCCGGGCCTCACGTTTTCAACACGAACTGCCGTGATAACTAATATCATCCATGACATGCCACATTTCTTCACCTGTGAATGATGACTGCAGTAGTACTGGCTTCAGATCCCCCTTCAATTCTTACATTTCCCTTACCTTTTACGACCAGTACAGCGACTGTCCACCGACATGTCATTCGGGAAGCCAATTTGCACTACGGTTCCAGGAAAGATCATACACCCCCATAAAAATCCAGCTTACACTCAATCACCTGTAGAGTTTTTAAGAGCTACAACAGGAGAGTGGGTGGATCTGCTGCACAGAATCCGTTAAAGACCTGAATCCATTCCGCAAGACTTGGAAGCCAGTGCAAAGGAGTCACTTGATCTTCAAAAGCTTGCAGTGAAGATAAAGGCCAACGGCAGAAGCTTCTTTTTTACTTCCACTATGACACTAAAATTTCTAGGCATTGAGAATTGTATTGTCGGACGGTGTTTTTCGACACCTGCGCTACTAATGTGTTTAGTGAGTTCAGTTTACGTTCTGTGTTGACCGTTCGTTATTACCTGAGTTTTGACCGGTATTATCATACTTTCCAATTTTTCCAGTGACTTTTTAGTGTGATTCAAACTTTTTGACGTTTTGGATGCTTAAATATTTAATATCAACAATCCTTAGTAAGCAACTACCAGTGTTTTATAGGTTGTAGTTCCTCTTTCGTTGTTCAGCCCTGCACTGCACTGGTTCATCTTCTGCCTCACCACCTTCCTCTCCCTCCTCTATAAGCTTTCTTGCGTCCGTTTAGATCCATTCCTTGTCTTGTTTCTTCTTCCTTCCTAACATGGTTATGCAGGTTTCCTTTCATGTTTTTTCAAGGAGTTCCAGTATTCTTCCACTCAGGTTTCCTCGGGGATGTTTATTTATGCCTCCCGTTTTTTTTCTGATGACTGAAGTGAAGATGTTTGTAGTTTTGACCTTCAGTTTCTTCGGGGTGTCGAACTTGAACTGTGGCCAACTTCTTTGCAGGCTTTCAACTTGATTGTGAAGGCTCCTTGCACTAGATAGTGAGTGGTGTGAACCTGCATTTGCTCCCCTTCTTGATCTTGTGTCCAGTAGGCTGCGCCTCCACATTGAGATTGAGATGAAGTCGGTCTGATTTTTAGTGTGTTTATTTGGTGAAGCTTTTGGAGCTGAATATTTTTGGAACCATCCGGCCAAATCATTACCAAGATTCATAATATAGGTGGTGAAATACTCATAAAGTTAGTTTTTATGCAGATACTAGTTCTTAGAAAGAGATTTTATAATTTCGTTTCTCAAACCCATTCAACATCAGGGAGACAAGGAATGAGGTTTCGATGGCCTTGATCGTGGTCAACGCGATTAACCATTTCACTTTCTAATGTTGGATGCAGAACCAACGCATATCAGTTCAGGAGAAACGATTTATGTTTGGATGTTGTGAAATGTATCCTGAATATTCTCGGTAGGTGGAATGTGGTTCAAACGTGTGACCCACTGACCGAGTGTCAGGTCCAGTGACCCTCTTGTACGCTTTAATGAAACTCTCTTCCTGTTCACTGACTCTTTGCATGCTTCTGTTAAGTGCGATAACTTGAACCGGTGCACTTCTGTGCGAAAGAAATCCAACTCAGCAATCATATTCACGTTCGTGCAGTAGGTGATTAACTGCACGTATAGTGATACTATATGGCTGCTCAGACCTCTCTAGGTTGAGCGCGTTTTGAACTTGTGGATATCGAGAGCCCACGGCTATGATCCATAGATCATTTATCAAGTTCTACCTTGACTTATCTGTTTGTTTTTTATCGGTCTCGCTCTAAATCCGTCCTGCTGTATGTATCCGTAACACCAACATTTTTTAAAAGTTCATGAAAAGCTGGTTTAGGAATGTTCGTCATACTTTCAGTGAGTCAGTTTTGGGCTCCCATTTTGACTACGTCTTGAAATTTCCCTCAGTAGTATTCAATTATTTGTTTCAGCGCTTTCCGGCTTCGTACGAGTTGACAAGATGTATTTTTATTTTTTTTCCTCATAGTTTGCAATTCTACTCTAAATGGAAATACTCAAATTTTGCTTCCTGAGGTGCTATCGGCTTGATTTCTCTCTGGATTGTGGTACCAAAAACCTGAAACTTGTGTCACAATGACTGTATGAATACTTAACCATTCTCATTTTCGATTCCTAGCAAAAGAAAAACAGGCATGTGCTAAATTGGACATCCGAAGACGTTGTCAAGTGGTTGCATAAATATGCTGACCCAGTTGGTCCCAAGTATTCTACACTATTTGAAACAAATAAGATTAATGGTAAGTAATTTTCAGAGTATACTGGTTTTCATTTTCAAGGAATGTGTTTACGCCTAATGACGGATGAATGGCTTCTTCGACTGGGAATAGCTGACCAAAGTGACAGGTATCTTTTTTATATTTGTAAAACTTGTTATTGTTATTATCTTTTATTTAGGTCAGCTCTAATGAGTCATATATACCGCATGCGTTTGAAGTATGATTCCGCAGACTTATCAGATATGCTTAAAACTAGTTAAAAATTGGTCGTGTAACAATTTGAAATAAAAATTTCAATGCAAGAACCTTTTTGGTTTCTCTCTATTTACCCTTCGCTTTAGTAACACATTTTAATTATTTTTAAAGATGGCTTCAGGTGCTGCAAGTAGAACAGCTCCTATATTTCAATTGGGTAAATGTCTTGCAGTACCGATGGAATTACATGCTACCAATCGGAAGCGTCTTTGCGATCGTGTTCGTAGCAAACTGTCCGAAGGTGCTACTGGTGAATCACCAACAACAAATTTCCATGGTATATTTATTGTACTACAAGGTGGGACAGATACCTATTTGGGGGATTCGGATGCCGCCAATGTATTCCGGCAGGTAGGTTTTTGCACTTAGTTCTTACGGATTCTGGCATGAAACAAGTGATTGCGATTTTTTTGGGGTAATGTTATGTGCACATTACGTTTTTGGATGTGGATTAGGCAGAATTTCTGTCCAATTAGAAAACCGATAGACTCCTGGGCTGCAATATTTAATACTCATTACTGTCTGAAGCTTCTTAACGACCCAGCTTGTCATCGATAGCTTATAATAGTTTCTTATATATTGACAATTGTAGAAAGCCTGTAGGTTGTGCTCTTATATTATCTTCGAGAAACTGCCAACTTGTGCGGTGCTATTGATTCCAGTTCTAGTATGCAGCTCAGGTACTGTTTTCTGGTTTCACATATATGAATGATATCTGGAAGAATATTTCTTGGAGTAAAAGTAACAGTTTTGAGAATGGAATTGTCAGAGAAAGAAGGTAGATGATGCAACTGGCTGATTCATGTACGGAAGGGTTAGGTATCAGAATAGCTGGTACAGAAGCAACTATCATTTCAAACGAGATAATTATAGATATTATCTTGTGTTGTTACTGGTAGCGTAGTTTTTAACCGCCTGTATTCATGATTAATAATGGTTGATTTTCTTCATCCTGTTTTTGTACGCTTATCACATCAATTCTTTTACTGACGTGGCTCATCGACTCATAGGCCTATATTAAATTCCACTTCACCTGTTTTGGTATCGGCAACGATATAGTGTCATAATCCTCCGCAAAGTAAATGTCGTTGATTGCTTAGCAAATAATCCTGCACTGAGTTGCTGAGCTGTTTGTAATAGTCAAGTAGTCACCGTTTATGAAATTAAAGCTGCAGCTTTTGTGCCTGACTGTTGAATTAATGAACTAAGATGGTTGTCATTTTTCAATAGCTTTAAGGATAATCTCTTCAGTATTTGGGGAGTCTGAAAATCAAAGCAATCCTGCATTTTTTGTTTTTCTCATCAGAACAAACACTTATTCTTAACACAACGCAGCATCTGTATTCAATGCTCAAGTAGTGGCCTATGGTTATTCAGCGTGATGCTTCAAATGAATTTTTGTTCAAGACGAAAAACGTACGATAGAATGCATCTCAGTAAATACATGTGAGTTTGTGTATCAGACCACAAACCAAAAGTACCGCAAATGTGATTGTGGTTTGGCGTTGTCTGAGCTTTGAACACCAAACCACCATCATCATCATCCCGAGTTACAAATCTTTTTTACCACAAGAGTGCCAGTTTTACTACATGGATATCTAAGTCTCTAGTTGGTAAAGAGAGTTCTAAACCCACGGGTCGTTGGTTAAAAGGTGAATCTTTAATCAAATAACTCACGGCTTAATTTGATGTCATGTGAACAAACATGTCTGGTATATTCCATTAAGAGGATTGTGGCACATAAATAACACTGAAGTCAGTAGTTTACTAGAAAGTATTGGTCTGAATTGAGCTGCAACCGATAGACTGTCACTTTCTTGAGCATTGACATATTATGAGGAATATTTGTATTTCAAGGTTTGGATGTTCAGCGTGAGTTGTCCTCTAAGCTGGGGTTTTAGTTACCCACCTTAACGTGGTGGTCGGGCTTGCATATCACAATGACCCAAAGAGCTATGCTGGTGGAACACTTGTTCCCTCGAGATCTTACCATATCAGAAAGGTCTGTTGGATAGTGGTTAGACAAAAAGCAGTTACCGTTGTAGTGTAAATTACTACACTTTGATGCGGGTCTGAGTGCGAAGTCGTACTGCTGCTAGCTGGATGGGGTGTGACAGCAGTAAAATATGTTTCCCTTGGGTGACTAGAAGTGCTGCGCTGGTGCCACCTTCCAAATGGAGAGGGGCACGGTGAGAAAGTGTCAGCCCCCAAAATAACACCCCACTCTGCCCCTTGTTCTTCCGGTGTCGGTGGTGTAGGTCCTCTCTATCCTCGTTAGGATAACCAAAGTTAACAAAAACCCCATAAAAAGCCGTATGTGACAGGTCTCGATCTGATGTCCCATGGGCCCTGAGGCCACACAAATCTCTTTCAGGTAACTTGCTAATAAGTAACCTTCCACGGTGTGGGCCACCGGGAAGTGTCAACTACTTACACACTTTCAGTGGTACACAAGACCTAATCAAACATAACCTATTCTCCTAAACTATGTCTCCTCCTTTGCCTTCACCTCCTAATACTGATATTATAGCTCCTACGCTTTATTCAACCTCTCACTCTGTAACCATTGCGAACGATCAAAGCCATCAGAACCTCATTCCTAGTCTCCTAAGATCCTACTATCAGTTCCATGTAGGAGCTTTCAACGTCCGAAGGCCATGCCAAATCGAACAGTTAGCATCACTCGTGAAAACTCTGGAATCTCTAGCCATGGATGTATGCTGTGTCACTGAGACGTGTATACAAGACTTGAGTGTGGTTGTTAAATTGTCCCTACCTGCCGATTGCAGAGAACCTTTAAAATACACCTGAAGAGTATCCGGAAACCAACAGCTATCTCTCTTGGACTCGGTCATGTAAGCGTAGCATTGAGTTGTAGGGCAGAAAGAGTGCTTATATATTATATATTATAATATCACAAGCTGTCATATTTGCTACAGAAAGCGAAATATTCATATGTAGTCGTAATGGCAGGTGACTTCAGTGGTCATGTAGGGAAGCTAGGCCAGTCGGAAAGGCAACTTGGAGATATCTGCGGAATCCCATCCCAACAAACCGACAGCGGTGATCGTGTCGCAATTCCGTCTCGACAACCACTTATTCCTGGCTAGCAATAACTTTAAACATAAGGAGGGAAGACACTGTCTCACATGGCACACACCGGTATCAAACCAATGATGGACACATAGACACATATTGTCATAAGCCATCGTTGGAGGATTGCGGCTCTTTCTGAAGTACCAGTTTGGACTCCGATCATGCCCTAGTACGGTCTCGTGTGTGTCTGCATCTTACTAGATACAAAAAACAGGCGGCAATGAAGCCTGTCTATGCTCGGTTGGAAGATGAGGACGTCAAGTACACATTTAGGGAGGTGACGACTAAGCACTAATTTGAACACGACAGTAATGTCCATCCTGAGGAAACGTGGCTTGATATTAAGTCTTCTGCAGAAGCAGCGGTGAGGACAGTTGCGAACTACACCTGAATATTAGCAAACATAATTGGATTTCCGCAACGTCATCCGAACTGATTGATGCGAGAAAACTGATTCCAGCTGGCTCTAACCATGATAAAAGAATGAAAGCAACTTCAACGTAAGTTGACGAAGAGTCTTCGAGTTAATAGCGAACATTGGTGGGTGACGAAAACGAGAGAAGTGGAGAAGGCATCAGGGTTGGGTGCCACTCGGAAAGTATTTAGGCTTATTAAGGCTACCGCCATGAAGAAGAGGTTGGTCAGTGAAATCATCGCGGTAAAGGATAGAACGTTGACAACCTTCCAGGACATGCAGCTAGAACGTTGGGGAGAACGATTTGAAGTGCAGTTCAGCTGGCTTTCAGCAACGCTTCAGTTACCCAACATCTAGCCTGAACCTGAGTGGTGCATGAATGTGGTTCCTCCAACCATCATCGAATTTCAGCGTGCTGTTCTAAACCTTAAATGGTGCAAAGCAACAGGACCTGACAGTTTGCTACCTGAATTTTTCTAGGGTGGAGACAGGGAACTGCTGATTAGATTGACGGAGGTACTGCAACTTCACTCCCTACCATTAAACTGGGGGTACTTGCAGCAGACCAGTCTTAGAGCATCATCTTACATCTGACGGGTGCGAAATGCATAACAGCCAAACATACTCAGGTTTCTGCTCCACGCTTTCAGAAGACCCTGCATTTTGTCAGCCTCTTCACCGAGTAGGACAGTATCGTCTGCATACTCGAAGTCAACCAGACGAACAACAGGAAGTTGATCAATCCCTGCGAAATCAGGCATCTCTAAGGTAATGTCCATTGATACGTCTATAACGAAGTTAAATGGGGACGGTGACGGTGGACATCCCTGCCGGACATCACTAGTTGTCGTCAATTCACATGACAACTCTCCGTAAGCTCTTAGAATAGTGAGTGGAACTATCAACATGGAGGATGGTAGGTCTCCCGATAATATGTCAGGATAAGTGGCTAGACCGTTAGGTGTAACAGCTAAAAAGCACATTCTAACTGTCTCACAGCTATCCTTCCTGAGTATGTTTGGCTGTTAAGCATTTCCCACCTGTCAGATGTAAGATGATGCTGCAGGACTGATCTGCTGCAAGTACTCCCAGTTTAATGATAGTGAGTGAAGTAGTATACTGTATCTACCATTTTACTCACTTGGAGAGTTTGGTCAACTCGAATGAGGTGGTTGCTGACGAAATCTCAGCTTGGATACAGAAAACACGATTGGCATTTACCAACCTGCAGACTGATGAGATATATGACTATCTATCAAAGGACTGCACTGCAGTCGGTTTTATCCTGTTATACGGCTATGAGAGCCGCTGAAAGTAGACGACATGAAGTAGTTGCAGGGTATTGATCATAAGTGTCTTCGTAGCATTACCCGCATTTGATGCAATCACCATGTGAGCAATATTGAGGTTGGGCGAAGAGTACTATGCAAGACAGGCAAGTCAATTGAACCTTAGTTGTGAGATAGCTTGGACATGTACTGTGCATGATTAGCCATCCCCTACCTTGGTGTACAATGCAAGGGGAATTTGGATTAGATTGGAAGAGGGTTCCGGGTTTTATATTATTATTATTATTAGTCCCTTGGGTTCCTAGTGGAACATAGGGCTTCAGTAGCACGCCTCCAGTGACCTCTGTTCTCTGAGATCTTTTGAACCTGGTCCCACGACAGCCCACAACCTCTCATTTCCTCCTCGCACGACCTCCTCCATGTCACCCTCGGACGTCCAACTCGTCGCTTCCCATGGGGATTCCACTCGAGCAACTGGCCTGACGCGTGATGTCCTCAGTCGGCCTTCTCAGTGCATGGCCAATCCATCTCCACTTCTTCCTGCATATTTGTTGGGTGATAGGTTCTTGGTTGGTTCGTTCCCAGAGTTCCTTGTTGCTTATTTTTTCTGGCCATCTGATCTTCAGCAGCGAGCGTAAGCAGTTGTTGATGAATGTCTGTAGTTTATTGGAAATGCCTTTCGTGACGCGCCAAGTCTCTGAGCCATACAAGAGCACTGACTTGACTGGGTTGGTGTTGAAAATCCGTATCTTGTTCCGCATGCTGAGTGCAGGAGATCTCCACACTGGTTTCAGGCTAATGAAAGCCTGTCTTGCTTTTCCGATTCTGACTTTGACGTCCTCGTCCGTCCCGCCTGTGGTTGAAACAGTGCTTCCTAGATAAGTGAAGGAGGTTACTTCCTTCAAGTTTCTCCCGTTGACGGTGATTGGAGTTTGTTGTTGTTGTTGATGGTGGTGGTGCGGTATCTTCATCACTTCTGTCTTCTCTATATTCACCTGAAGTCCCGTCTTAGCTGCCTCTTCTATCAACTTGTTAGTTTTTGCCTGCAGATCTTCAAGTTTGTGTGACATTAGGCATAAGTCATCGGCGAAATCCAAGTCTTCTAGGTTCTTTTCCGCAGTCCAGTGTATCCCCCTCTTCTCGCTGCCTACTGTTTGCTGCATGATCCAGTCGACCACAATAAGGAATATCATGGGTGATAGTAGGCAACCTTGTTTCACTCCTGTCTTCACTTCAAAGGCATCACTGAGCTTCCCATTGTGAATTACTTGGCATGTGGCGTCTTCATATAGTTGTTGAATGAGGCTGATAAAGGTTTACGGTACTCCGTAGTATTGAAGCAGTTTCCAAATTACTTCTCGGTCGACGCTGTCAAAGGCCTTCTCAAAGTCGATGAAGTTGAGTTAGAGAGCTGATTGCCATTCTATGCTCTGTTCTATGATGATACGAAGCGTTGCAATTTGGTCTGCACATGATTTGTACTTCCTGAAGCCTGCCTGTTCCGGTCGTAGTTTTGAATCCAGTGCGTCTTTAAGCCTCTCCAGGATGATGCGGCTTAATATTTTGCTTGCTCTGGGTGGACAGGAGAGTGATTCCGCACCAGTTCTTGCAAGCACTGAGGTCTCCCTTCTTCGGCAGTTTGACAAGGTAACCCTTCTTCCAATCGTCAGGTACCTTCTCTTCCTTCCACACCTTCTGCAATAGTGGTGTGAGCATGTCTGCTGTTGTCTCTGCATCTGTTCTCAGTGCTTCTGGCGGTATTCCATCTGGTCCTGCTGCTTTCCCGCATTTCAGTAGCTTTATGGCGTTCAGGACTTCCATTTTCGTTGGGGGATTAATGTTCACTTGTAATTCAGCGGCTGCAGGTGGTATTTCTGGACGAAGTGCAGGTGGTGGTCGATTCAAGAGCTTCTTGAAGTGGTCGGCCCATCGTTTCCTCTGTTTCTCTTCTTTTGTAATTAAATTTCCTTCTTCATCTTTTATTGGTTTCATCTGTGTTGGTCTCTTCCCAGATAGCAACCTGGTTATTTGATACAATTTTGTCAGGTCTGTGTCTCTTACCTGCAGCCTGTTCTGCTTCACTTGCCAGTCAGTGTTTCGTAGAAGTGTCTTTTGTCTTTGCGTGCACTCTTCTTCACTTCTTTGTCCAGTGTTTTATACATTGTGCTCAGTTCCTCTTGTCGTTGAGCATCCTTGCACTGGTTTATCTTCTGCTTCACCATCCTCCTCTCCCTCTCTATCAGCTTCCAGGTATCCGTCGAGATGCATTCCTTATCTTCTTTCTTCTTCCTTCCTAATACTGTTGTGCAGGTTTCTTTCCACATAGCTTTCAAAGACTTCCAGTGTTCTTCTACACAGGTTTCTTCAGGGATGTTGCTCGATGTCTCCCATTTTGTCTTGATGGCTGCCGTGAAGATCTCCTTTGTAGTTTCATCCTTCAGTTTCCGAGTGTTGTACTTGAATTGAGGTCTATCACCAGCTTCCTTGAAGGCTTTTAACTTGATTTGGAAGGTGGGTTCCTTGCACTAGACAGTGAGTGGTGTGCTCCTCTTCTTGACCTTGTGTCCAGTAGACTGCGTCTCCACTTTCTTGAGATTGAGATGAAGTCGATCTGATTTTTAATGTGTCCTGGTATCTGGTGAAATCCATGTCGCTTTGTGGATATCTTTGTGCTTGAACACACTGCCTCGCCCCCAATCACCAAATCGTTGAATGCACAGAATTCTGCAAACAATTCTCCATTCTCGTTCATCACCTCACCGAGCGCTTCTCGACCCATGGTTAGTTCTCTTCCCGTGTTGTCTGCTCCCAGTTTGGCATTCATGTCGCCCATTAGAATTTTGATATCGCCAACTGACGTCTTGTCCAGTGTTGATTGAAGTTGTCTGTAGAATTCCTCCTTTTTCTCTTGCTCTGCATTATTTGTAGGTGCATAACATTGTATGATTGCGACCTTTCTTCCTTTTGAGTTGAATCTTGCTGTCATGATCCTGGAGGAGATTGGTTCCCACTGCATGAGAGCCTTCGATGCTCTTGAGGACATCATGATAGCCACTCCCTCAGTGTGCTCGTGGCTGTCGTCTGGGTGACATCGGAGTAGATTATTGATTCTCCAGTTGACAGTTTGGAGAATCCACTCCCATTCCATCTGCTTTCGCAAATCCCAAGCACTTCGATGTTATACCTTTTCATCTCTTTTGCAATCTGGGCTGCCTTACTGGGTTCAAACATCGTGCAGACATTCCATGTCCCCACGTTTACTTTCGCTTTCATCGAGAGACGACACATTGGCCAATTGGCTTCCCGAAGGTTTTCACCAACTGGCGTCATTTCGCCTCTCCGATTCCAGCGGGGAATAAGTTTGTTTTCATTTTTTTTATTTTGTTTGTGCTTTGAAGTTTCTTTAGCGGTTAGATTTGTTTTCCGGGGTAGGGTTGTTAGCGCTATGCCCAACCTTCCCTCTTTACCCGGGCTTAGGACCGGCTAGTAACTAGTAAACTAGTTAACCAGGCGAGGTTGGGTTCCGGGTGGATAGATAGAAATCTGGCGCCAGTCGATGAAGTCCTCGGTTGTTAGTCTTATCTGTGTGGGGAGATGTAGACTGCCCGGTTGGGGCCCTGGAGACGAAAAGAATTAGTGGTTGGGGACTTTTGATGATATTGCTGAAAATCGGTCGCAGTGGTGCAGATTTATTGACTCCTTAACATCTTCTAAAGCTTGAATGTTTGCACTAATCTTCATCTCCGGGTTGTCTATTCCCTCACATTACTTTGTTTACCTTTATATCAGCTTTTTTCTACCCATCTGTTGTTTGTGTACGATTGCGAAGTGTTGCAACTTAAGCCAATGCACTTTTGTGGGAGGTTCTATGTTGATTTTGTCAGCCAGTCAATCAGTTTAGTTACTAACTGGAACTCTAGCTTGAAGCACGACTGACTGTAATCTTTCGCTCATGAATTTTGTTCTTTTATTGAGAAAATTACTTGCACTCACAAAGTGTATTCTTTGTATCACTGTTTATTGTGAGTTCAGGACCTGGCGCTGTCTGACTGACAGAATAATCGTAGAACCTGGCACAGAAGTGCATCGGTTCAATTCGCCACACTTCACAGTAGTATACAAAGAAAAGTAAGTCGAAAAATAGTGATACCAAAAGAGACAAGGTTTTATGAGCGAATAAATAATTTAGAGATAACGGTTAGTGCAAACATTCAATCGTTAAAAGACTTTAGAGAGTGAATTCGTCTTCACCATTTTCACCAAGTGTTCTCAACCACTGATCCCTATTGTCTCGAGGACCCGAGTCAGGCAGTCTACATCTCCCCACATAGCTCATGCTACGTACTTGATCGACTGGTTCCACTTCTTGATCCAATCACTGTGAACCCTCTTTCAGTGTAGTCCGAATTCCCCTAGCATTGCATGCCGAGGTAGGCGGTGTTTCGATATTCTCAGTACAGAACTTGGCACAAATCACAGCGATGCGAGCTGCTCTGCTTCAAAATAAGTACAGAATTAGATAACCGATGAGAATGCAATTATTTTCAAATCAAAATGATAAGGGGGTGGGTGAAATGTAAACTAGGAACTATGAAAACGAGACAGTTGAACTTTTGGAGGGGGAACAGATATTGAATCTACCTCTACATCACTTGTCGATTTCAAACTCTACCCCAAAGGTTATTTAAATTTCAGGTGGTTGTTTACTGAATTGATCATTTTCGGTCTATCTGACCAACCGGTCATTGTAAAATCCCACTCAGATGGAAGTTAGTTCAATTTACCATACTTAAGCACACCAAAATAGAAAAGTGAAGTGAAGTGGAATAGGAGAAGGTAAAGCAGTGTAGTTCAACATAATGTTTTTAACTCCATATATGACAACGAGCAGATACATCCTCACCATTGTGATCTATTCTGAGAGGCTTCAACCACTAAATTAATACATCGATGACTCCAGCAAAACAACTTTTACCTTACACGGTTCAGATCACTAGTTAAAAACTCTATGATGCTATTTTTTAATGTACTGGGACCAAGTAAGTTTTACCAAATTTTGCGTTCATATACTTATCTACATCATTATTCATGTCAGTGTGATATTAATTTGCTATGCGAACACTCCGATTTAAGAAAACTTGCTGTATTTTAATCCCACGCCTAGATTTCTTATATTATTATTTTTTATCCCTTGGGTTCCTAGTGGGATAAGGGGCTTCAGTAGCACATCGCCATTTCACTCTATTCTCTGCAGTTTTTTTAAACCTAGCTTCACTACTACCCACAAGCTCTCATTTCATCATCACACGATCTCCTCTATATCGTCACCCTCAGATGCCCAACTCTTTGTTTCCCTTTTGATTTCCACTCGAGGGTCTGGCGCGTGATTTTGCTATGCATCTATCAGACAATTTGTTTCTACTTTACTAGAACGATTGCATAATTCATTTATTTACTAAAGATGAAATAATAAAATTCTTTCTTTCCGTTTAGTAGTGTATTTGTTCTACTCACTTTTGCCAACGAGTTGTCAGATGAAACTTTTTTTTGTTATTTTCGACTTCGGAATTGTGAAAATGATGTTCAACATTAGTTTTTGAATTTTTTTGTTTGGAAAGGAGTCATTCTTTCACTGGGCATTCGGTGGTCTTGAACCAGATTGTTATGGGACAATTGAACTTGTGACTGGACGTTCTGCCCTGTTCATCCCAAAAATACCGGAAGAAGCTGCTATATATGACGGTGAATTGGCATCACTTGAACAGTTCACAAAGAAATATGGTGTCGATGAAACATATTTTACTGACGAGGTAATTATAATAACACTTGTCACAAAATAAAAAGTTGATAGACATTGTTCAGAGCTCAGAAGTCAGCATTTATATCGGTTACCATTGGGTAATCGATTTATGTACGTAATTTAGTCTTGCAAAGGGTTAATCATGGTGTAAATAACTTACTGGTAAGATCTCTGACTTTTATACAGCGTGGCACAAATTTCAATCTCTCCAGGGGAACAAGAGACTTTTTTTTAAAGTTGAAAGTATACAGTTTTGATGAATGTCACCGAGTATGAAACCTAGGGGAAAAAAACACACCGGTGGTTGACCCTACTTACTATGTAACAGGGAAAAGATCTTTGTCTAATCTTGCCATTTAAAACAGAAGTTGGAAGAACATACTAAAAGTATGGCTAACACTTAGTTTTTTTCTAATCTTACCTACCACATCCAGTATCGCTTGTCACGACAGGTTATGATACCAGGTACCTCAGTGTATACACATTCATAGCTTCATTAACTTACTTACCTTCGTCATCCAATCAGCGTTTCTAACTGATGGGTAACATGTTAAAACCATATTGTTGACTACCTTCGCTTTTTTTTTTTACATTGTTCACCTTTCGTCTGCTACATCTCGTAGTCGCATAACGGAGCAGAGGAGGTTACTTAGATGCACAAATCGTTCTTTAAGAAAGACATTTGGATATTACATAGCCATCAAAGATAGTTTACGTAAATGCTTGCAACAATGTAGACATAATAAGAAATTAAAAACCCCTGTCTAACTAGAGAAGAGGTATTCATGAATTTGCAAGGTGTATGTGTGTATAACTACAATGTACCAAACTGTATAAGTACTGTTTATGCTTTCTGCTTAAAGTAAGTAAATATAATGGATCTGCTTTCTGTGGATTAGATGATCAAGTACAGAAGTTGTAGTAAGCAGTCTATCCTATTGTGGAAAATCTAAAAGGTGATTTCTATCATCGGAACTTCGATTTCACGAATTACATCACTATTTAGTCGATATCGACATAAAAAAGGCATTACTGCGTCACCGTACAAGTTGACACGCCTTACATCAGAATACCAAGTAACAATGCAATAAGATGAAAAATGAAGAAAGAAAGAAGAATTGGTCAAAAGCAGTAGAAAGCAGTCAAATAGAGGAAGGAGGAATTAGAAAATGCTGAATTCAGTACAGTGATTAGGATTAACGCGATGTATAGATATATCTGCTCTACTGACATTGATTCCGAGCCATATCCAAAGTATCGAACCACTGGCTTCTGGTGTCATGTGAACCCAACCGGCTAGTCTACATTTGCCAACATGGCTCAGACCAATAATCACTACTGGAAACATCGTACTGATTTAAAATTTGTCTTTATCTCAATGCTGAAAGTATTCTTTAATGCTTTTTTGTCGTAGCAGGCAAACTATTATTTTGATAGCCGATTAATTTTATTATCTTCATGTATTCACCTGTCAATATCTATTTTCAAATTCAATTTCAGATCGCTTCACGTTTGAGTCAATGGAATGCTGCCGTTTTGTTAATATTAGTAAGTGGCGTAGTTCTGCTTATCTGACTGGTATTATAAAAGCGTTTAAAGGTCATTCTTTTCACATTTTTTGTGTGGATGTTTTTTGAAACCCTAGTGAAAAGAAACGCACTCAGAAACCTTGCACACGTTCATACAGTAAGCAATGAGCCACACCTATTGTGTGAGTGCTAATCATAATACGTGGCTGTCGTGGCCCAGTGATTGACAGTCAATTGCTTAAACCAATAAGCCACAGCTCCATTTGTGCCTCAGTAGACAGGGGACTATTTGATTTCTAACCAAATACGTCATATGATCACATTTCTCAGATTAGCTAACTTCTCGCTGGTTTTTGTCACAGTACACAAATGTGCACGTGTTTAACTGTGTGATTGTTTTGAACCTATGAACGAAAATCTTTGTTACTACTTGTGTATACGTGTAGGCAGTCGTCTGATGCTGATTAATACGAATGTCGTCTATTGTTCCAGGTATTCAATATCACCTTCCAATACATTTTTACTTCAACCGTAACACCGATGTTGTCCTGGTAATTTGTTCGGAATATCAGTTTCCAAGATATTTCCTGTATATACAAACCTTTTATTGTTATATGCTCTGAGCTTTTGTTTTTCCTATAATGTTGTGTATCAGCTTTTTTACGGCTCATTGCTATGACTTTTCGTTTTGAACCCGGTTGTTTCCATCATTGTGCTATTCATCCTTTACTTATCAAGGTCATCGTGGTAGCGTTCAGTTATTTTCAGTAGCGATAGTGAAGCTTTCTATTTAAAGGCTTTTATATTCACTCCATGTTAGTTAGAGCTGTGTTCATGAAAGAAATATTGTTGCTTTTGCTGGAGAGATGTACGTATGTACAATTCATTAAACATGGAATACCATAAACAGACAAACGAACAAACAAAATTAACGTAGAACCTCGCACACCAGTGCATCGGCTGAAGTGATCACACTTCACAGTAGTATACAAACAACAGATGCGTAGAAAAAGAGTGATATCGAAGTAGACAAAGTTGTGTGAAAGAATAAGCAAATTGTAGATGACGGTCGGTGCAAATATTCAAGCTTTGGAAGACGTCAAAGAGTGAGAATACGTCTACATCATTATGACCGATTTTCAGCCATGTCACCAAGAGTCCTCAACTACTAATTTCTATCATCTCGAGAACCCCAGCCAGTCAGACAGTCTACATCTCCTCACACAGCTCGTGCTACAAGTCAGGCACTTCATCGACTAGTGCCATTTCTTGATCTTACCATTATAAACCGTCTTCCTACCTAATCCAACTTCCCGTATCATGACAGATTGAGGTAGGCAAATACTCAGGATGCGCATCACATATCCAAGCCATCTTAGCTGACTAAGGTCTATGATCTCGCCAACCAACCTGCCTGTTTTGCCTAGTACTCTCCACCTGACCACACTATTTCTCACATGGTGATTGCACCAAATGCGAGCGACGCTACAGAGACATCTATGATCAAGATCCTGAAGTCGCTTCGTGTTTTTTATCTCTAATGGCGACGTCTCCCAGCCGTATGACAAGGCAGAACGTACTGCAGTGCAGTATAATCGTTCTTTGATAGACAGTCGGATATCTCACCGACACTACAGACAATTGTATTAGGTCTTCTGTTGATCCATTCGGTTAAGAATTCGTGTATACGTGTATACATTTTTCCAATACACAACTTGCTTTAAGGTAACAGGGTAAGACTGCACAAAGCGGAGACTGTTCACTTATTTTGAAATTGTTACAACTTGAATTTATTTCTTAATATTCAGATTACTGAAGCGAGCTTCTAAGCCACTGTTAGTATAATAATACTAATACTAATAATATAATAGTGTTGATAATAATAATTAATAGTAGTAGTAGTAATAATGGTCTCTTTATTCCAAACAAAAGTTTGGTGCGGTATGGAATTCTCAGTATGCAATATTTCAACAAATTTGCTCTCTGTACAATATTTTTAATTATTGTGTCTGAAGTGTTAATAATAACAGTATCAAGGAGATTAATATGAAACGGGCAGCTTATAGTGAATAGGCGTCTGGTCTGGACTCGGGAATGAATACATAACCGATTTTTTGGATCCTGAATGTTAGAGTGGAATCTTGGTGGTGGTAGTTACGTTGGACAGTGCAAAAATCCCCAGTTCGATATAAATATCGTAGGAATAGTAAGGTGCTGTATTTTTGAGCATTTATAAGTTCATCTCCATCCGGGATGAAGTTTTTCTTTGTTTTGTTCTCAGTTTGAGAAATGATAGCTTGAAAACACTTTAAAAATGTCCGAGAGTGTATGACACGTTTGAGAGACATATTTAATCAATTAAAACAAACTGAAAAGGAAGAATTTGGTGAAATATATTCGGTGGGAAATTTTCGGTGGCCCATGGTCTAAGCAGACCACTGTTTACTCCTTGTTACGGATGACTCAGTGTTGGCCAGAATTTCATTATTGATATTGCTTCGGTTGTTGCCAGTAAGGAGGTCCATGCTGCGTGTTTCATTCTACTTGGATCTCGTCAACCTAAAGTATATGTGTTGTAATATTCCCACTCAAGCTCAAAACCAGTAACCATCTCTTCCAACATCAAAAAGTTATCGATTAGACCAACAAGCCACGAGGAATTCAAAACCCTAGATGACAACCACTATCCACGGCAAATAAAGTGACTTATGTCACTCAATAGTGTAGTGGATATAGCCAGTGGAGGTATCAATATGCATGCACATACAACTGATAGGTTTCAAATAGAACGGAGCACATAACTCAGATTCCAATACTAACTAGTCCCATACAAATAATATTTTCAAGATAGTTGTACTTATTTCTAGGAATTTCGCTTTACCTATACTTACTATGTATGTTTCTCTCTCCGATGGCTTTTCGCAGAGTGGAATGAATACAGACAGTAATCGTCCAACATTGGAGGCTAAATTTGATGGTATTCAAAAGTAAGTCTCACCAGTATGAAGATCGAAAAACGTTTGTTGATTCGAAATAGGTATCATGGAATTAGTAGTTGTACTGTTTAGTTTTTTTTATATTATTTTCTGCTATTTGCACGCGTTATTAGCCTAGTAATGTATTTGCCCACTGGCTCCACGGTTTTAATCTGCGTGACAACCGAAATTGGTAGTTGGATACTGTAGATGGAATGGATCAAGGTCGATTTCAATGGCACAAATGCACCCACACCTTTTCTTCATTTGAACCGTCGTACCGAATTTAATTTTTATTTTTTCCTCTCTTCTTTTCATGACTTTCTACGACTTCTGATTACTTTATGCTTTATTTCCCCATGTTTCGTTTTGCTTCCTACCTTGGTCCGTTGGTATGAAGCGTGGCACACATGGACAGTAATGCTAGTTCCTAAGTTGGTGCTTGTGGAGCTGTGGCTCATTGGTTTGGGGATGACTCTTAACCAGTGGGTCACGGGTTCTAAGCCCTCTCCACCTACCCAGATTTGGGGAGCCAGGTGGTATCATTAGCCCTCACCCATTAGGCGTGGCTCATTGCCTACTTCACGAATGTGCACTAGGTTGCTGATTGGATTTCTATTCGGTGTTGGTGCTAAGTGACTCACTGCTCCATAGTATGCTGCGATATATAGACATTCCGAATACAACTACCATAGTGATTGAGTATAGCAGTTACTAAGGGATCCGAAACTAGTTTCAGCGCCTGTGTTCGAAACGTATCAGTTTGTTCGCATACTTCCCCTCACACATGCGTATATATCTGGTTATTACTTAAGTATGAAGCTAAAATTGAAACTTGTAATTGTTAAAAAAAATAGTTTCATCTAGAAGTAACTACAAGTGCATATTAATCCGTGATTTGTCCAATAATCAGTTTGTATTGCTTTAAAACTCAGGTTTCTTTCCAACTTTAATAATTGTTTACATGTAATACATATTTATTTTTATGAAGTAAGTGTTATGTTCTGTGCAATTTAAGGTCAGTTATTTACTTCACCTGTTGGAATTAAGATATTTATCTCTGTTAGAAACACCTTACTTAGGGATTGAAGCTGTAACCAAATTCACTAGGTAATCAATTTTAAACTAGCGATTCAATGGTTGGAAGCCCGTCCCAGCTAATTGACTGTTGTGTAATCAGGCATTACTACAGATGTCACACAATAGGTGTCACTCATTGCCTATTATATGAATCTGCCAGCAGGACTGATCTGGGACAGAAGTGTATCGGTTCAAGTTTCCATACTTGACATCAGTCTGCAGAAGAAAGTTGGATAGAAAACGAATTACACTTAAGTACACAGAAGTATGTGAGAGTAGAAATAAGAAATAACTAAAGGTTAGTCAAGATGTTCAAAACTTCAAAGATAACAAAGAAAGTATACATCTACGATAGTGAGACCAATTTTAAGGCCTATCAACAACACCCATTGATTCTTAATATCTCAAGTACCCTAAACCTAGCTAGCTACACAACTCAGACTAACAATCAAACTTTTTGGGCTAGTTTGACTTCCTGGTTTATACCATTCTTAGCTCTTTTCTAACCCAGTTCTACTTCGGCTAGCATCCCATGTCGAGGTGGAAAGTGGCTCAGCATGCGCAACACATGTCCGGTCAATCTTAGTCAATGAAAATTTACAGCCTAATCTACTGACTTACGTTCCTTGCGTAATAAATTGCGTTTAATCTTGTCATCGCTCACACAGCGATTCTGTCACAGACAACCAATAATACGAAGGCACTTACGATCGGGAACTTGCAGTGTCACTACATCTGCATTGGACTGTCATTTCTTACAGTCCTGAGATGGTAAGGAGTGGAAAGCTACGCGGTATGATAGTAGGTTGACATATGGTTGGATATCTAGCCGACACCAAGAGTGGTATAGTTTGGCGAATGCTAATATGGTCTTTTGTCTACGAGCTGAGATTTCGTCAGCAATCAGCCAATTTACTCGGCTGATGCAACTCTCTGGGTAAGTTACTTGGTCAACTCATTCCACCACTTGAGGTGGACAAGGGGACTGTGCAGATCAGTCAGTATTGAAGCGTTAATCATGGTACTTTTGGCAGGTGTGAAATATACTGAGGTTTTGTACAAGACGTTCAGAAGACTGTATTTTGTCACTGTCTTCGCCTAACTGGACCATACAGTCGTCTGCGTATTCGAAGAGGAATGCACGATCTCCGGATAGTGGGCCATTCCCTGAGAAGTCTGAGGTGTTTCAGGTTATGTCCATCCCCACATATATAACAAAGTTGAATAAGAATGGTGACGGTGTGCATGGTTCGTGTACACCACTTGACTTAACTATATAGGAAACAGTTCTGCATAAGGCCTCATAGAGAGAGACCTTACCAAGTTCCAGTGCAGAGCCTAGATAAGCACAATATGTTTGCTCGGTACTTTCCTGACAGAAGGATGGGTCTGTGACTCAGCCGCAGTAAAGAAGACTGGAACGATAAGTGGAACACCTCGAGGAACAGTCTAACTGCCCTCTAGCTATTGTTCTGTTGCCCACTATCCAGTCGGACGCGCAATTGGACATTTAGATTAGGCCTCAAACACGAAGAGAAGTCGAGAAAGTTGCAAGTAATCTGAAACGAAAAAGGGTAGCAAGGCAATGCCGACTGGTACCGGAGGTACTTAAGGACGGTGGTTGAGAATTACTGGTCAGGCTAACTAAAGTGCCAGCTTCGGTATGTGAGTCAGACATGATCCTCTCTGACTAGTCTTAACCACCGATTATCCCAGTTTTCAGGAAAGGGGACAAGTAGTTTTATGATAACCATAAGGGAATCTTAGATCCTAAGTTTTGTAATCATTAAACATCTGAGTGGAGCTCGAAAACAGCAAGTCCGCGATAAACAAGCAGGCAGATTTCAAACCTGACCATGGGTGCATCGACCAGATACTCACTCTCCGCCAGGCTCTGGAAGACATGCACACTTACGACTGCCTGACCTGAAAGCGGCATTCAACTTTGTCGATCAAGAGATCTCATGACTGTCTGTCATGGAAACCGGTGCTGGGTAAGTATATCACTCTGTTAAAGGTTCTTTACTCGAACACCCGTGGGCGTGAGAGCCTTTAGTGAGTTGTCAGGTGAGCTGTGTACGTCGAGCAGTCTCCACCAGACGTGTTTACTCCCTCCATTCTTATTCCACTTTATCACAGACGTTAGTATGGAGGTCTCCCTGCCAACGTATGATTTCGCAGAGATTGATCCTACCACAGAAGAATCTTTGGTAGACCTAAAGCACGCAGATGACAGTCATGTTAGGTGGGGACGTTGACAAGATGCACAGCCTTCTGGAATTCGAGAATTTTTCGGATGCTTTTCTCAACACCCAAATGTAAACCGTTGCTCTAGGACTGGTATTCAGTAGTGCCTTGTTCAACGATAGAGATGAATTGGTCGAGGGTGCATTGACCTATTCACTCACCTGCAAAGTCGGATCTACTCTGTTGGGTCAGTGACCTATGAAATCTCTGCACGTATGCAAAAGGCTCGACTGACTTCCTCCGACCTATGCCATCTGTGATGCCACCATGATATCCGATTACCTACTATGTTGCAGTTCCACCATATGTCTGGGAAACATAGGGATTAAGGGTAGAGGACATGAGAAGGCTTAAGGTTTGCGATCGTAGTGGGAGCCATGTGTCTTGGTTTCGCCACGTGAGTAACGTAGAAGTCAGGCGTAGAGTATAAGGTAGCAGAGGGTGGTTAGCTGATGCGGTCCCTCCAACTATTATCAAAATTCAGCACGCTGTTCCAAACCTTAAGCAACAGGATCTGGCAGTTTACCACCTAAAGTTTTCAAGGGTGGAGGCAGGAAATCGCTGAATAGATTGACGGACGCCTAAATGGACCTCGAGAACACCAAACTGAAGAAAATCAAGCACTGAATGTAGGTTTCATAGTTTTGGCCTTAATCAGCAAGACGTTTTTCAAACTCGCTTGGACTGATGTTCCACCTGAGATTCGAACAAGCATCAGTCAGTGGTGCAGTCAGAGGTAGAGTACCGTTGGGCCATTCATTCTGTGGTGGCTAGAAATGAATGGTTGTCTGAGGACAGTTGTAGTATGTGATCACCATTATCTATTCCTTCGGGTGGAATTCGGAAAGTGCCACCCAGATGCTTTTTTGTCTTAGTCTACCACCTGTAGATTGAAATCACTTACAAAAACTACCATGTACGAACGTTTAGCTTTCATTAGGAGGTTAAACAATTTTCCGCAGAACTCATCCTTAAATTTATGCGAGCTGTAGTCAATGGGTGCGTTGGCAGAGATTGCCTAGACAATTACCATCTTCACTATTCTTTTAAGTCGTCACGGGACAGTTCAGTGACTGTCAACTGGGATTAGATTGACTAGAAAACCTTCCACTTTAGCTCTTAACGCACACACACACAGTGTTTTTAGAAGTTCGATATTTTAATTCATTTTTTGGGGAATCCGACTGTAAGCCCGTATCACTAGCTACCGTGTGCACGTTCGTGCATTGGGTAATGAGTCATACATATTGTGTAAGGGTTGTTAGTACTACCTGGCAGCTCACACCTCGGTAGGTGGAGCGGGGACCAAACTCGTGGCGTATTAATTGAAGGTTGTCTACCTAAACCAGTGAACCACAGCTCCTGCCGGTACCGATATGGTGCGAGGTAGAGTAGTGTGCTACTTATAGGGCAGAACGTTTTAACCACCCCTCATCCGATATGGAACGCAGCATTAGTGTGACAATGCTGGTCCTGCGTGGGAAATAGCTTACTGCTATCACACGGACTCCCATCATAGCGAAGCAATTTACACTACAACGGTAACTGCTTTTTGTCTTACTACTACCTAACAGACCTTTGTGGCATGATTGAACCTCAAAGGAGCAAGGGTTCCACTAGAATAGCTCGTCGGGTCACTGTGATACGCAAGCCCGACCACCACGTCACGGTAGCAGTTGTCTATTGGTAGTTCCGCCTAGACAAACGGCTATCTGTCTCAGCTTGGTCACATGGGATTCTAAAGATATTTCAACATGGATGTCATTGTTTTACGCCTTGGCTGGCAAAACCCATACCATTGGTATTAAAAAACCATGGGGCAGTGGAGATTGTTCATTTTTTGGCCTGACATTTTCTATCCCTCTTCCGATTAGGAAGGCAGCCTCAGAAAATGCTGTTCGTCGTCGTGAATCATCTTACGGGTGTCACACCTCATCGAGCCAGCAATATAACTTCGCCCTTGGATCCCATGCTGTAGCGTAAATTATTTATTTTATGGTGGTGGTAACTGCTTCTGATGTTACCACTGTCCAGCAAACGTTTATGATATGTTAAGACGCTAAGAAAAAATCATTAAATTCAGCGTAGCTCGTTGAGTAATTGCGTCATTTAAGTCTCACCACCACTTCACTGTAGTGGTTTTCTGTCAGGTCATAATCTGTACATGGATGTTGAACTGGAAGAACACTAAACTGATTTCCCTCAAGATTTTAACAAGCCCACTGCTGCAGATGTTCAGTATGTACTATATTAAAAATATGTAGCCGAAAGTAATAACTGAGAGTCTTACAGAACGAGTTCTGTGTTCTCAGATATGTCATTGTAATCAGGTATAATAATATATAAAATGTGTAGTAGGATTTCAACCAAATTTGTTTGACTTCCAGTCGATCCTTTTCTAGCCAAGTTGGTGCGTTGATAGAAGTACATTCTGTTCAGTAACTATGCTGTCCTTAGTTGTCAACGCTGTCTTGACAGGCCCAAATATCAACCAGTAGTTTATGCTACTTTTTCGAAACCAAGCAGTGTCATACCCAATATGATCATGGAATCATGTCAAGAAACCTAGGTCCATGATCTAACTGGCTAGCAAATCATGAATGAGCGATACAACGTGACAGGAAAATGTTCTGAGTGGCGTAGATGCTCTTGGGTTCATACCTTCAGCTGAAGAAATATATTGAAATTAATTTACATCAGCTTCCACTTGATGTATCATTGAATTGTAGGTCATTGACTTCGAGAATTTATTCACTACTACATATCTGATCTTCATCTGTCAACACCAGTAATGATAAGCCTGACATATAGACTCCATTTACTATTCAGCATGTTTTGATGTAAATTAGTCTCCTAAGTTTTACCGTTTTAAAGTTTTTCGTTCACTTTAATATATACGTAAAGTTGGTTGCTTAAAAAATAGAGGTGTTTAATTTGCATTTCAGATTCCTGATAAATAGAACCATCCTTCATCACGAGATTGTTTCATGGTAAATCAAATTTTCCTTATCACAATAAGTTATTTGTTTATTTTAAAATTCAAATTTAAAAATGTAAACTTGCTTTTTATTTACAAGGCAAATATCGGTTGGTGCTTTCATTCTCATGATAAATCTGACAGTGTTTATACCTCAATTAGTTGTTCTAGTCTCTCGAATCCCCAATTCATATGATCTAAGATACCTCCGTGATGTGAGCTTATACTCTGTTCTGTTTTCTCTACATACTTTTAGTATCATGAGACCGTTATGTTTTCTCATATATCCAAACTAATTGACATGTTGAGTAGATCTTAACTATACCTAAACACTCGTATCTGAACTTTTGTAATGCTTAAACAACAGTCCAGTTAAGATAAAAACGGTTGAAATCAGAGCTGTTGAATATCTTCAATTAAGAGGCTAACATGTCTGACAGAACGACTTGAATCTAAGCTTAATGAGTTTGCCTGACTATTTGCTGCCTAAAGGTCAAACTGAAATGATTTAGTCTTGGGTGGAAGAGGCTATTTCACTTCATTGTTCTAAAACCTAATTTATTGTTTATATATATATATATATATATATATATATATATATATATATATATATATATATATATATATATATATATATATATATATATATATGCGCATCAGTTTGCCAATCCTTCGGTCTTCCAATATTGTTTCGGTTAGGCTTTCTGGATAAATCACGATTCAACCAGATAACCTACTGTACTGTTGGGAGGATATCATTATAGTCATTTCCGTTGCAACACAATTTATAGGTACAAAAGTTTTCTCATTCAATCTACATTTATTTATCCACATTCTACTACTCTGTGTATTTGTACGTTTATGAATCGGCGGCATAGTGCTTTGTTGTAACTTTAAGGCTGAATAAGATTGAACCTTGATATTATATCTGCTCATCAGTGCGAAACAGTTGTTCACAGTCCAATATTCAATATGTGTACTAAATAATAATCTCGTCATATTGTGGATTGGATCAAGTAACTAGTCAGTATTCACTGTGTGTACATATGCAAACGAGGTGTAAAATATCTTTTTATTTTTCACTGAATGGAATGTTTTTTTCGTTTATACAGCAAGTTAAAAGTCTAAACTTCACAACTAGTATAACTACTACAACTACACGACTTTTTTGTTAGTGGTGATAATGGATTCTGATAATAAGATAAATTAGTGTAGTGACGTATGAGCTCAACTCAGCGATGGACACAGATAGACGACATTGCTATCAGTCACTGCTGGAGAGGATCGGTGGAAGACCGCCGCTCCTTCTGGAGTATGTGTTTGGATAGCGACCACGCGTTGGTCCGAGCGCGTGCATGTCTGCGTCTCAATAGACGTAGGAAAAATTTGGCAACAAAACCATTACGAGTGCTGCTGGACAACGAAAACACCAAAGTCGTGTTCAGTGAGAAGTTGACTAGGCAGTTATCGGGACAAAAGACTACCACTCATCCAGAAGAAGCTTGGTGCCATCTCCAGTCTGCTGTAAAAGCAGAGCTGAAGACAGTAGCTGACTCCGAAATAGTGGCTAAAAACAGCCAATGGATATCAGCAACCTCTGCCGAACTAATGGATGCACGTGAACGCATTCCTGCAGGCTCTGAGTACAATGAAGAGCGAATGCAACTTAAAAGTGGATTGAGAAAAAGTCTGCGCAACGACCGTGAACAGTGGTGGGCAGCGAAGGCTAAAGAGTTGGAAAAGGCAGCGACGGTCGTTAACAGTAGACAGTTATTTAGACTTATTAAGGAATGTGGGGGCGAGGAAAGTTCAACAACAGTTGGTGAGGCTATAGCGGAGAGAGACGGATTGGCGATTCACTCGCAGGGAAGACAGCTGAAACGATGGGCAGAACACTTCGAGGAACAGTTTAACTGGCCTCCAGCCATTATTGCGTTGCCTGCTATCCAGTGGGATCCTGAGTGGAACATTGAGATAGGCCCCCAACACTAGAAGAAGTTAAGAAAGCGGCAGGTAACCTGAAAGGAGGAAGGGCGGCAGGACCAGATGGACTAACTCCTGAGGTATGCAAGGGTGGTGGTAAGGTGCTCTTAGTCAGGTTGATGAAAGTGTTAACCAGTATATGGGAATCAAACACGATCCCCTGTGACTGGTCTAAATCACTGATTATCCCAGTCTTTGAGAAAGGCGAGAAGTCCTCTTGTGATAGCCACAGGGGAGTCAGCCTGACGAACATAGTGTCCAAGATTCTAGGTTCTATAATTCTTCGACGCCTGAGTGGAACTCGGGAACATCAAGCCCGAGAGAGCCAGACAGGCTTTAGGCCTGGCCGTGGGTGTATCGACCAAATTATCACACTGCGCCAGGTTCCGTAACACAGACACGCTTACGGACGCCCGACAATAGTTGTATTTCTCGGTCTGAAGGCGGCACTCGACTCCGTTGATCGAGGAGTCTTATGGCAGTGTCTGTCATTGAAAGGCGTGTCGAGTAAGTTCATCACCTTATGGAAGGCTCTCTACTCGAACACTTGTGGGCATCTTAGAGCCTATGGTGAGATGTCCAGGGAGCTATGCTCATCAAGTGGTGTCCGTCAAGGGTGCCCACTCTCTCCATTCTTATTCAATTTTATCATAGACATTCTTATGGAGGTCTCCCTCTCATTACCTGATTACACAGAGGTTGACCTAATCGCAGGAGAATTTTCTTTAGACCGAGAATATGCAGATGACATGGTTCTGTTAGGTGAATACGCTGACAAGATGCAGAGTTTTCTGAACACTTTGAGTGTCAATTTGAGAATATTTGGGATGCGTTTCTCACCATCCAAATGCAGATTGTTGCTCCAGGATTGGTCTTGAGCGGTGTTACAGCTAACAATAGGGTGTGGTGGTTGAGTGTGTCGACCACTTCACCTACCTGGGAAGTAGGATCATACCTGGTGACTGCCTCAGTGGCCGATGAGATCTCTGCACGGATACAAAAAGCTCAGCTGGCTGGCTTTCGGCAACTTACGCCACCTGTGGCGCCGCCGTTATATCCGGTTGTCTGCTAATGGTCGCGTGTACTGCTCTCGAACGGCAGTCTAGTCAGCTCTACTCTATGGCTGTGAAACATGGCCATTGAAGGTTGAAGACATGAGAAGGCTTCAAGTGTTATACCACCATTGACTTCGTAGTATAGGACGTATTCCGTGGTGTCACCACATGTGTAATGCGGAAGTCAGGTGTAGAGTTTTGGGGAGAAGAGGTAAAGCAGTTGACAAGGTTATGAATCTTCATTGACTGAGATGGTTGGGAAACGTACTACGTATGCCTAGCCACCGATTGCCTTGTCAGACGATGTTGGCTGAGGTGGGTCCAGGCTGGAAAAAGGCTCGAGGTGGCCAGACTAAAGCATGGCACCAGTGTATGAAGTGTTTGGCTGTTGATTTGAGCCATGTGGGGCGATGGAGACTAGGTTGTTGGGGTCCACAGGACAAGAGAAACCAGTGGTTTGAGATTGTAGGTGATATGGCTGAGAACCGATGTCAGTGGTGCAGATGCATACACACATTATCCTCATCTTAACATTATGCCGAATTTCACCATTTTCTGATTCTTCGTTTCTCTCTCTTCGTACTTTATATTTCTTCTGACTGAATTTTCTTATCTTCATCTCCCACCTAACTGCCTTTTTATTGACGTACTGATCTGAGGTGTGAGAACGCGTAACGTTATGCAGTAATGCCTGGTTCTATGTTGATGTTGATGATGATGACTGTGATTGAATGTTGACTATTCTCAAATATCCAGAATAATAAACACCGAAAGATATAGTTGTGATTCACTCGATTGCGTGCATATTTTTTGAAATTGTCCACTTGTATACCGAATGATGACTTATGTGATCATCAGACAGCTAGTTAATTATCATAATCAGTAGGTCTCTAAGGCAACAGCCTTATCTTGTCTGACACAAAGTGAGACATATTAAGCGGTGAAGTAGTTCTACGATGTTTGCCTTGAACTTGTGATTCGAGAACATGTTTGAGTAGGAGCTCTGGTCGACGCGATTCACCAAGAAGCTTAGAAAGCTAGATTTTTTGATAGGAATTTACGAGTGAAAATAACCTCGGGGATTCAGCACAATCTATTTATTCCTATGAAACATCTCAGGCTGAACATTTCCACATTTTAAAGTTTCGGCTTTTTTCCTATGAGTGTTTTCTGTAAGCCGCAGATCACAAAGCTGTCTGGCAATTTAAGGAAACACTTTCGTCGATACTTGATGTTAATTGAGGGTGAAATGAAAATTTGGGTAGAGGAAGAATTCGAACCAGCAGCCTCTAAGTTACCGACCCAATGACCTACTAACTTAGCTATAGGACCCAACTCCTGACAAAATTTTAATTTCACTTCAATTAGGCGTGTGTATTCATGATGTGCTGCTAGTCATTCATCATATTTACACTGGGTACCCAGCTAGATCTTTTGATCCCATTTCAAATAGGATTAAATTAGAGAGGAGGAGGATCATTGTTGATTACCAGTTTGATTATACAAGAGACTTTTAATTTACTGTGTATTATTGTTTTCATTGGTCAGTGTCAAAACTATCGAGAAGTGGAATGTCTCAGTAAGTTTACTATAGATACTTGTAAACGTTTTACTCCAGAATACTACAGGTGACAAAATCGAATCCGACTTGTCTGAATTTTTTTTTTTTGATTAAACTGAACGCTGAACTGGCTGGGTTAGCCAGTGTAAATCCACTCATCATGCTTAACTTGTTGACAGACAGAAACTGAATAGGTATACAAAGACAGAACTACTGGCGAAGTGACTGAGTTCTATATGTATATATACCGTGATGAAACGTATTCTTTGCATAATATTTGACTCTAAGGTCGGATAAAAATGAGCCAGTCATCAGATTACAAATAGCTAATCAAGGATAATACGAAAATCATAAAGCATCGATCATTGCGTTCGTATGAATAAGTGAGAATTTTCGCTTCTGTTTCGTTCGGAAATAGTAAACGAAAATACCGTGTTCAGGATTGATTTGTCAAATAGTTTGCAAAGGTGAATGTCATAGAAGACTAACTGTTGTTGCAATATATGCGTCAGGTTTGCAATATAACTAGTTTATCTTCAATAAACTTACATGGTAGTACTGTATCAAATGGTTCAAGATTGTCGATAGGAAGTTATTCCACTAACTTTCTTCCTTGGTACAGCTTGTCACCAAGGATACATATGAGACTTCGAGAAGACCGGAGTAACTCAGTAATATAATATGGGGATATTAAGGTCGTGACCCAGTACATTGTAGAACCAGATAAACACAGAAATTGGTAACTGGATCGTAACTAATTAGTCTTAAGTGTTAACTGTTTCTTTCCTACGAAGATCTCAGTGACTTTAGTGGAATTGTGGCTCATTGATTAAGGGAGTTGGCCTTCAACCAGTGGGTCACTAGTTTGAGCACCGCTTCACCTACTGAGGTTTGGGCAGCCAAATAGTATCTTTAACCCTCATAAAATAGAGGCGGCTCATTGCCTACTACACAAATGTGCACAAGGTTGCTAAGTGGATCTCTTCTTCAGTGATTTTACCTCTGTTCACACCGTTAAGATGAATTCGATTTCATATCTATCAGGGTAAAACACTTCTATAAGTGGCTGTTGGCGATGACCGAATATCTCGAAACTTAAATCAATAGGAATTTCCTGTCAAACGACTAACATTGGTGACAAATATAAAAAAAACAACTAAATTTCACTCCTAAAAGTCTATCAATTATTTCTGATTGTTAGGCTTAAAGTAGGTTAAAAATTCATTGTGTTATATGACTGCCCTACAAATTCACCCAATTATTGAAGTTAGAGAATTCCCCGACAGTTGTTAGATTATAAAGGAGATCCCAATTAGGTAGTTGTTGAGTTATTGATAAATATCGACGTTGAGCTTACAAATACTATTGCTCAAAGCATAAATCATAAATATCATACTACTAAAAAGATATCATAAAAAGGAATTCGTGCATGTTGGTAAAATTGAGGTAAAACACAACATCCCCCAAAGTAATCGATAATTCAGTTAAGATCTTGTTTTGATTGTTCGAGACATTGAGCAAAGATTTGTCAGTTAAACTGTGTTAAAATCAAATGGGCATACCAAGAATCCTTGATAAGCTGCATATGACAGATCTCAAGCAGGTATCTCATATGCTTTGAGATCATACAAATCTCCTTATTCTTCAGATACTCTGAAGAAGCAACTTTCATGGTATGTACATTTGGGAAGTATCAACCGCCAGCACACATCCAGTAGTACACAAGATCCGTTCAAACATGACTTATTTCCTTACATCTCTCTCCTCCTCTGACTTCACTTGCTAACTACAAGCAGACATCCCTTGGACCCCATGGTTACGCACCCCTACTACTCATACGATATCCTTATCAGGCGCCTCAAGAAAAATAACGTCTCATAGTGTGAACTGCTACAAAGTGTCGACTACCCTCACAACTCCGTTAACCCTCGAGTTTCCTCAGATCAGTATCGACCTACCGTATCTTTGCCTTCTAATCCTTGTTCACATCTATATGTTAATAATTCTACATTATTTTTGAATCCGTCCAGCTATTCAGCCCATGATAACTATTTAGTTTCTCGGGAAAGCATCCCTGTTCCCTTGCTCTAAATTATACATTTCACCTTTCATTGTTCGCACCTTCCGTCAAATCGACCAACAAGCTTTACTGGTCGAAACTTTGGTATCTCAGGTCATGGATGTGTTCTGTGTCTGTGAGAGGCATACAGGACCCAAGTTTTGTTATTCACCTAACCTCACCCGGTCACCCTTCGGGTTTCCAGAGATTCGATGGTTACTTCTCGTAGTCTCGGAGGTGTAGGTGTAGCATTCAGTGTTAAAGCAGAAAGTGCAGTGTTTAACTGGATCCCGGCTGACAGTCACCTGTGTGCTGTTTGACAATATGGTGCAGTGAAGACTAAAAAGAATAGTGAAACTAGCCGTTATCTATTTGTAATTTCGACCTATATACCCACTGGCTGCAATTTGGAAAGGGTGAGGCATAAGTTCTTTGGCAAACTGTCTAGTCTCCTACAGAAATGTGAACGTTCAGATGGGTGGAACACTTTGAGGAACAGTTCAATCGGCCTGCAGTTATCATTCATTTACTCACTATCTAATCTGACGTGAAATGGAAAGTGTGGATCGGGCGTCCAACACTTTCAGAAGTCGAGAAAGCTGTAAGTAATCTGTAGGGAGGAAGGACAGAAAAGCAAGTCAGACTTGTACCGGAAGTATTTAAGGACGGTGGTAGAGGATTATTGGTTAAGTTAACGAAAGTGTTAGGTGCGGTATGGGAGTCACTCACTAATTATCCCAGTTTTCAGGAAAGGGGGTAAGTCCTCTTGTAATGGCCATAGGGGAATCAGCCTGACAAACAGTCTCTAAGATTATAGGTTCAGTAATCATCAGATGTTCTTGCGGAGCACGCGAACAGAAAACTTGGGAATATCAAACAGGTAGGTCTCAGTCTTGGCCATATCAACCAGATATTCACTTACCACTGGGCTCTGAAACATACATACTTAGTGACGCCCAACACTGGCTGACAACCTCATTCTTTTCCATTGACTGAAAGGTCGTATGACAATGTCTCTCACTGATTGAGGTGCAGTGTAAGTAGATCTATCGAACACCCATGGGCGTGCTAGAGCTAGAGTGGTTTCCGTCAATGACGCCCACTCTCTTCATTCTTATTAAACTGTATCATAGATGTACTTATGAAGGTCTCCCTACTGACTTCTGACTTCACAGGGATTGGTATTATCACAGGAGAATCTTTGGTAGACCTAAATCACGCAGATGGCATAGTCCTGTTAGGTGGAGACGTTGTCAAGTCTTCTGGACACCTTGATTGGGAATTTGAGAATTTTTCGGGTGTCTTTCTCAACACCCAGATGTAAACCGTTTCTCCAGTACTGGTATTCAGTAGTACCTTGCTCAACGATAGAGTATGAATTGGTCGAGGGTGCATTGGCCTATTCACTCACCTGCAAAGTCGGATCTACCCTGTTGCTTCAGTGATCTATAAAATCTTTCAACGCACAAAAGAGGTTCAGTTGACCTACACCATCTGTAGTGCTGCTGTGATATTCGGTTCTCTATTAAGGGTCAAGCGTATTGCTCTGCAGTTCATTCTGTGGCTGTGAAACATGAGCATTAAAGGTAGGGGATATGAGAAGGCTTGCGGTGTTTGACCACTGTTGCCCTCATACCATAGCCCGTGTGTCATAGTGTCTCCAAGTCACCAACGCATGCCTGTTTACCGTATGCATCACCACCTCATGGTAGGTGAATTAGGTTCAAGCTGGAAAAAGGTCAGAGGTGGTCAGACTAAAATATAGCATCAGTTTATGAAATCTTTAACTGATGGTGTATGGCTTTTTAGGGTCCACATGACAGCAGAAAGCAGTGTTTGGAAAATCTAGGTTACATAACTCAGAATTGATATTAGTTGTGGAGAAATATCCACACATTATCGTCACCTTAACCGTCTTACAGCATTAGCTTGTCCCTCGTTATTTTCCTACCACTTTCTACCAATTTTGACTATTTTCATATGTACTTTGTCTTTCATAATGGTGTTTTCTGACTTGGTGTGCTTATATGAGGTGTGGCAACTTGGTCCGTCAGTCAGTGATGTCTGATCCTATGTTGGTCATATCTGTCTCTGTCTGTGAGGATTGGCGAGATCATGTCGTGACACCAGTGCACAAGTCTGTAGTCATTGATCTGAACTGTATAGGGTGGTATAGAATGCCTGGATGGTATCCTCGAGATTATGGAAATTAATAGTTGGAGGCCTTTGTTGACATGGCGTAGAATAGCTCATAATGGCTCAGATTTATTAACTTCTTGACATCTTTCAAAACTTGAACATTTTCACTAACCTTGATTTTCATATTCCTTTCCTCCTTGACACCCTTGTCTACTTTGATGTCACTATATCTCCACCCATAGTTTCTTTGCATGCCACTGTGAAGTGTGGTAGCTTGAACTGATGCACTTCAGTTTAGGTTTTTCCCCTTTGAGAGCGCATCCTACTTTCCCTAAAAGTTTTTAACATTTTATTACTCTATATATTGTGTTGCCTTTTGTACTTCGTCTCCCGATTTTCATAAGTGATGATTACCTCAGGTTTATTTCCTGTTTCATCCCTAACTGTACTTGAGTGAAGTGTAATCGTTGGGACGAATGCATTTTTTGTCTTACTTTGCTGATATTGTTCACTGGACTTCTGTATTCGGTGATAGATATTTCACCGCTGGGCTAGTCTCAACGAACGCCTAACAATTATTTTGGTTGGCCTAGGCTACAAATCTTTACTGCCGTCGGTCTTTCCGGCAATTCTGTTCTCTCCGAGATGAAGAAATTATCACACCTCCCATCCTATACATTTTAGTGGTCTTGGTTCGCAAATTTCATGATAGGGTGCGCAATATGGCACGAAATGGCGCTAATCTGTTATGAGTTTTTCTGAGCTTATAGAAGTAAATTATACTTTCAGGTTTCTTGTCTGTTTTTGTTGGCATGTTTTAAACTGCAGTACAATTAAATGAATTTCTACTGAGCCACTCGTGACGCAACTTTTTGGTGTTTACTTCCAACCATCAACAACTGCTTATTACTTGGGATGTTTTTAAAAAAGGATTTGCTCTACAACAACTAATGTCTTTTTCTGTCTCCGTCTCTCTCTCTCTGCTCATTTAATGATCTAGTCGCCTTATCAAAACTAAACTGGAACTGGATGTTATTCGCTATACCAATCGTATTAGCAGTGCTGCACATCGATATTTAATGCGTTCGGTGAAACCTGGAATGTATCAATATCAAGCAGAAAGTATTTTCAGGCATTACTGTTATTTCTACGGTGGAATGCGTCATATGAGTTACACGTGTATTGCTGCCACGTAAGACATCATTTCATGTAAATGTCTTCTACTGCTTATTTGTAAACAAGTAACGCTAAACTGACAACCAGTATTTTTTCTTCCAAAAAGCCATCTAACTTTACTATTTGTTGATATACTTGTAGTTCTCCGTTGTTTTACTAGATCGAATTGTGCGACCCCTGTTAGCGTATGGGCTCCTATGCGGATATCTCGATATTGCCTGAATATTTATTATCATAATTTACTTGGTTGTGGCTAACAGAAAAATCCAGGACGAGTCCCAAACAGTACGAAACACGCGTCCTGGATTCCTCTGCTAGCCACAACCAAGTAAATTAACATTCAACTTTGTTGATAACTAGACTTTTCCACTCCAACTCTCCAGGGCTGATCTCTTAACAAGATGTATTCAGTTAGCCTAATGTATGTTTATTGTTATTATTTGTCCCTTGGGTTCTTAGTGGAACATAGGGCTTCAGTAGCACGTCTCCAGTGAACTCTGTTCTCTGCAATCTTTTGAACCTGGCTACACCACTGTCCACAACCTTTCATTTCTTCCTCACACCATCGCCTCGTACGCCCAACCCGTAGTTTCCCCTTTGCGTTCCACTCGACGGACTGGCCTGGCGCGTGATGTCCCCAAATGGTCTTCTCAGTGTATGCCCAATCCAGTCCATCTCCACTTTCTTCTGCATATTTGTTGGGTGATGGGTTCTTGGTTGGTTCGTTGCCAGCCAGCCAGCCAACCAGAGTTCCTTGTTGCTTATTTTTATTATTCTGGCCATCTGATCTTCAGTGTCAGTATGGAGTGAGCACAAGTGGCGGCAGCTGTTGATGATGTATGTCTGCAGTTTGTTGGAAATGCTTTTCGTGACGCGCCAAGTCTCTGAACCATCACAAAGAAGCACTGACTTGACTGACTTAGTGTTTAAAATCCGGATATTGTTCTTCATGCTGAGTGCAGTGCAGTGTAGTAGATCTCACTAACTCGAAAAACGAAACGAAAACATTGATAAACACTGACTTATTTATTTATTTATTTGTTTATAACAGCTGTTCAGTTTTTCAAAACAAATTTACTAAAGCATCATCGTCAAGTTAAAATTGCTGAACTTGTGCCAGTTCAACGACCGATTGGAATGTTCTAATTGATACCATGACTCTACGTACTCGTCTGCTACCATCACCGAATCGGTGCTTAGAGATACTACATAGTCTTTTGCCAGTGTATACACATGGTGAAGTTTGACAGATTAGTGCATGAAACACAAGAAGCAGAATACACTTTGTCTGTAACACCGAGTTCAACAGTTGACTATGTGAATCATTTTGAATTTTTAAATCAAATACAAGGCAGGGTAAGTCATTGGGTTATTTTTATATTCACTGTATAATTCTTGATTAACTGACTGTCCGGCTGACTGACTAGACAACTCAAACATCTGTAAATATGTTCAGTTGCAGTGCTATCTAAAAACAATTTATTAAAATTGCCAGCTTACCTTGACGATATTACTGAACACCACAATACGAGATTCGTCTGCTAGATTGTAGAGCTTGGTTAGAATTCAGCTGGTTACTTCTAAAGAAACAACTGGGCTATTCATACTCGGGCTATTAAGAACCAGTTACCGTATATATGCTTCTTGAACCCGATCTTTGTGGGCGATGCTAAGCAATTCATTGTCAATGTTCGCACCGGAATACCGTGTCGTGCTAAATCAACTAAGAGTGAAAAACCAAAAAACTGGAAAAAAAGGTGGTAATTGTATTGTAATGAGCGTATGACAGTAGATAGATAAGTCATACTAGATGCGATATGAAGCTGCAGATTCAGTTTTTCCTCATTATGACAAGTGGCTTTTGAGTGAGACTCTTCGAGATAAAGCATACACTAATCATAAGATTTTCTAGTGTCGTAATCCAAACCCCTTTCTTTTGAAGTGCCAATTAAATGACGATCTCTCTATCAACGAAGTGTCAGCATCAATTATTATTATTACTAGTCCCTTGCGTTCCTTTTATGGAACATAGGGCTTCAGTAGCACGTCTCCAGTGACCTCTGTTCTCTGAGATCTTTTGAACCTAACTCCACGACAGCCCAGAGGCTCTCATTTCTTCCTCGCACGACCTCCTCCATGTCACCCTAGGACGTCCAACTCGTCGCTTCCCATGGGGATTCCACTCGAGTGCCTGGCCTGACGTGTGATGTCCCCAGTCGGCCTTCTCAGTGTATGCCTAATCCATCTCCAATTCCTTCTGCATATTTGCTGAGCGATAGGTTCTTGGTTGGTTCGTTCCCAGAGCTCCTTGTTGCTTATTCATTCTGGCAATCCATCTAATCTTCAGTAGCGAGCCAGCGTAAGCAGTTGTTGATGAATGTCTGCAGTTGTTTGCTGGAAATGCCTTTCGTGACGTGCCAAGTCTCTGAACCATACAGAAGCACTGACTTGACTGATGATGGTGTTGAAAATCCGTATCCTGCTCCGCATGCTGAGTGCAGAAGATCTCCACACTGGTTTCAAGCTAATGAACGCCTGTCTCGCTTTTCCCATTCTGACTTTGACATCCTCGTCTGTGCCTGCCACCTGTAGTTGAAACAGTGCTTCCTAGATAGGTGAAGGAGGTTACTTCCTTTAAGTTTCTCCCGTTGACGGTGATTGGAGTTTGTTGTTGTTGTTGGAGTTGTCGGTGCGGTATCTTCACCACCTCTATCTTCTCTATATTCACCTGAAGTCCGTCTTCGCTGCCTCTTCCATCAACTTGTTAGTTTTCGCCTGCAGATCTTCAAGTTTGTGTGACATCAGGCACAAGTCATCGGCGAAATCCAAGTCTTCTAGGTTCTTTTCCGCAGTCCAGCCAGTGTATCCCCCTCTTCTCGCTGCCTACTGTTTGCTGCATGATCCAGTCGACCACAATCAGGAATATCATGGGTGATAGTAGGCAACCTTGTTTCACTCCTATCTTCACTTCACTTCAAAAGCATCACTGAGCTTCCCATTGTGAATTACTTGGCTGGCATGTGGCGTCTTCGTATAGTTGTTGAATGAGGCGGATAAAGGTTTGCGGTATTCGGTAGTATTGAAGCAGTTTCCAAATTACTTGTCGGTCGACGCTGTCAAAGGCCTTCTCAAAGTCGATGAAGTTGAGGTAGAGAGCTGACTGCCATTCTATGCTCTGTTCTATGATGATGCGTGGTGCAGCGTTGCAATTCGGTCTGCACATGATTTGTACTTCCTGAAGCCTGCCTGTTCCGGTCGTAGTTTCGAATCCAGTGCATCTTTAAGCCTCTCCAGGATGATGCGGCTTAATATTTTGCTTGCTCTGGGTGGACAGGAGAGTGATTCCACGCCAGTTCTTGTAAACACTGAGGTCTCCCTTCTTCGGCAGTACCTTCTCTTCGTTCCACACCTTCTGCAATAGTGGTGTGAGCATGTCCGCTGTTGTCTCTGCGTCTGTTCTCAGTGCTTCAGGCGATATCCCGTCTGGTCCTGCTGCTTTCCGCGTTCCAATAGCCTTATGGCAATCAGGACTTCGACTGTCGTCGGAGGATTTGTGTTCACTTGTAGTTCAGCGGCTGGGCTGTAGGTGGTATTTCTGGACGAAGTGCAGGTGGTGGTCGATTCAAGAGCTTCTTGGAGCAGTCGGCCACTGTTTCCTTTGTTTCTCTTCTTTCGTAATTAAATTTCCGTCACCATCTTTTATTGGCTTCGTCTGCGTTGATCCCTTCCCAGATAGCAACCTGGTTATTTGATACAATGTCGTCAGGTCTGTGTCTCTCCTACCTGCAGCCTGTTCTGCTTCACTTACCAGTGTTTCGTAGAAGTGTCTTTTGTCTTTGCGTGCATTCTTCTTCACTTCTTTGTCCAGTGTTTTATACATTGTGCTCAGTTCCTGTTGTCGTTGAGCATCCTTGCACTGGTTTATTTTCTGCTTCACCATCCTCCTCTCCTCTATCAGCTTCCATGTATCCATTGAGATCCATTCCTTGTCTTCTTTCTTCTTCTTCCTTCCTAATAAGGTTGTGAAGGTTTCTTTCCACATCTCTTTCAAAGACTTCCAGTGTTCTTCCACACAGGTTTCTTCACGGATGTTCCTCGATATCTCCCATTTTGTCTTGATGGCTGGCTGCCGTGAAGGATGTCCTTTGTAGTTTCATGCTTCAGTCTCCGTCCTGAGTGTTGTACTTGAACTGCGGTCTATCACCAACTTCCTTGAAGGATTTTAACTTGATTTGGAAGGTTCCTTGCACTAGACAGTGAGTGGTCTGAACCTACATCTGCTCCTCTTCTTGACCTTGTGTTCAGTAGACTGCGTCTCCATTTTCTTGAGATTGAGATAAAGTCGATCTGATTTTTAGTGTGTCCATCTGGTGAAATCCGAACCATGTCGCTTTGTGGATATCCTTGTGCTTTAACACACTGCCTCACCTCCAATCATCAAATCGTTGAATGCGCAGAATTCTGCAAACAATTCTCCATTCTCATTCATTTCACCTAGTGCCTCTCGACTCATGGTTAGTTCTCTTCCTGTGTTGTCCCCTCCCAGTTTGGCATTCATGTCGCCCGTTAGGATTTTGATGTAGCCAACTGACGTCTTGTCCAGTGTTGATTGAAGTTTTCTGTAGAATTCATCCTTTTTCTCTTGCTTTGCATTATTTGTAGGTGAGTAGCGTAGCATTGTATGATTGGGACCTTCCTTCCTTCCTTCTGAGTTGAACCTTGCTGTCATGATCCTGGAGGAGATTGGTTCCCACTGCATGAGGGCCTTCGATACTCTTGAAGACATCATGCTAGCCACTCCAGAACTCAGTGTGCTGGTGGTTGTCGTCTGGGTGACCGGAGTAGATTATTGATTCTCCAGTTGACAGTTTGGAGAGTACACTACCATTCCATCTGCTTTCGCAAATCCCAAGCACTTCGATGTGATACCTTCTCATCTCGTTTGCAATCTGGGCTGCCTTACTGGGTTCAAACATCGTGCGGACATTCCATGTCCCCACGTTTACTTTCGCTTTCATCGAGAGAAGCGAAGACACATCGGCCAATTGGCTTCCCGAAGGCTTTCACCAACTGGCGTCATTTCGCCTCTCCGATTCCAGCGGGGAATAAGTTTGTTTTCATTTTTTATATTTTGTTTGTGCTTTGAAGTTTCTTTAGCGGTTAGATTTGTTTTACGGGTAGGGTTGCTAGCCCTATGCCCAACCTTCCCTTTTTGTGCGGGCTTAGGACGGGCTAGTAACTAGTGAACTAGTTAACCAGGCGAGGTTGTCAGCATCAATAGACCAACTTAAAGTCGACTAACACAGTCAAAAGTGTAAAGTACTTCTTCCAGTTTAAGGTAAATCAGTCCACTTTAGTGAGTGATTCTGCACTGTCCTGTTTCTCTATCCATTACTATCTGTTTCTGCTTTCCGACAGACCATAGTGATAAATTGTTACTGCAATGAATGAACCGTCATGTATCACAAATCATATGGCAGTCAAGAAAAACTCTCGGTGATTGCATTAAATCTGAAAGCAAACAGGTAGCTGAGTCTCGTAACGTATACTGTAGAGCACTGATCCGGTACCCCAGAAGCCGATGATTTGGATCGTGCCATAATCAAGGTCTTCATTACACCTTCAATCATCACCCTGAAGAGTAACACTAATCTGCCAAATCATAGCTATGTCAGATAATCTCAGTGATAAACTGATAAATGAAAATATTTGGAAAACTTAAAGATCTGGATGAAGATTTAGTTTGCTTTGAGCCAGATTGTTTAGTTATCGATGTTTCACTTTTAACTTGAACAGCATCTTCGTGAAAAACTTCCGAAAGGAAGTTAAAACACTCAGTCAACACAAAAGCTAGAAGTTTCCAAGGGAATACAAACCAAAGAAACGATCAACGCCGACCTTTCCAGCTTCACACGTTGCCAAACACCTCTAAAGATATAGATGGAATGTATCTCATTGAGATATACGGTTAACTTACTCAAAATTAAATTGAGTTGCAGAACTTCCTTGAAAATGTACATATATTTATAATATTCCTGGAAAATGAACAACAGACTAAAATAAACAGACTGACCAATGAAGAACATAAGATGTGGACGAGTTTTAGGGAAGGAAAGTAAAATTCTGAGTGGAGTGAATGTAAGTTGATAAGTACAGCCTATACAAGAGACTAAGTGAAAAGTTACCTATTCAGAACTTTCTTTAAAAACCCTTCTTTGTGTTTTGACCATTTTCAGATTGAAGCGATTGAGAAAGAGGCTGAAGTTATCAAAGAACTCTATGAAATGATTGAAGTATTCAATGTTCCAGTCCCACCAGAAAACTATGCTGTCTATCAGGTGAAATAATTTGATAGTAAAAATTATAAAACCTTTGGTATAATCAATTTATAAAACCTCATGTATTGTAAACACTGACTAAACCATTTTCCTAGGTGAGGAATGAATGTTAGCCGAAGTAGGGTTGGGTTGAAAAAAAGATAGTAGCGACGAGACTATAACGTAGCACCAATATAAAGGCTAATGATAGTCGCTCTTAGCTGTATGTGGAGGTTTAAGATGATTAGATGAAGTTGTTGAAATGTTAGGAATTAAAAGTTTGAGGCTGCTGGCGATATGGCTTCAAATCGAGGACACTGGCTCAAATGCACTGATGCTTTATCATTTTCAAAATGCCTAATATTTTTAATAACCTTCATTGAGTTGTTTCCCCTCATATTTTTCTAACGTCATTCTCTTTGTATTCACTTAGTCTTTATTGTTGTGACGTATAGCAACTTAAACCAATACCCTACTGGACAAGGTAGGTTTTTAATGAGATATTTTATCTCACCAAAATTAGCTACTGCTGAGGTCATTTCTATAATCTCCATACTTTGCATTTAGAAACAACCTGGGAGTACTGGACAGCTGTTTTACCCTAGCATGGGACTCCTTAGTGGTGCATACCCAGGACCTTCAGGTTACGTGGCCAGCACGTTACCACTGGTCTACTGGGTCGAAACGCAATGGTTCATATTTCCTACTTCTGTCAGTTCATGACATAGCGCGACCTCTGTCCAATGTCGTCGTCGAGTAACTGTCCTCATATTTGACTTGGTTGGCCTCACTGGTCACGACTTTTCATTAGAACTTCGAGAATCACCTCTCGCAGTTAGTCACCAATGAGGACTAGATTAATTCGATTTTGAGGTTTGTGTGGATTTACTGATTTCAGTTTGGTATTCATCATGGACTGACATCAATTGGAGAAAAATTGGAAACTTGGGAGCACTGAGAAGCTGTTTCGTCCTAGTATGGGACTCCTCGCTTTCTATCCTGATACTGGTTGATGCTTGAAGTTGAGGCGACCTGTGACTTATTGATCCATGAAGTCACTTCACCTTCAGTCATCACCTAGTATCAATAACATCAGTCTACCAAACCATCGCTATTGCAGACAGTCTCATTAGTTCCATTTTTTCTGTTAATTATTGTCCTGAGCCATAACGTTCAGAACCAATGCTGAAAAACCATAGTCAATTATAGATGATAAGTATCACTAAGCCTATAAGAAATCATAGTCATAGAACTACTCTTGGCCATAAATCAGATTTCGTAATTAAGCCGAAAGCGTTTATCTTCATTATAGCAATTATAAAGATTGATTGACTCCCTTAAGAAAACATCAACAATGATAAAAGTCGCAGCGCAGGTTGCAAACACCTTACTAACTACTCAGAATCTCATACAACTCTCTTTTGATACCATTTAAACCATAATAACACGAAATGGTACTGGCAATAATCCATTGTTAGTAATATTTATATGGGATTTAATTGCCTGAAAACAAATTTGTTGGTGTAAAAAGAAGTCGCTCCGTGGGATTTCTTGCTGTCAATAATATATATTAGAGCTACAATATTTAGCCTTAATTTTTTTTCACGGAGACCTTTATTTTTATAGTCTCTTTTAATAATACCGCATATCCAAACTTTTAAGTGACTGCTTAGTTGTTCTATAAAATGAGTGATAGTGAACTGGTATCTCAACAATGTATAAAGAACAGTCTAACTGCAAAAAAGTTGAATTCAACTGGTGAAGGTTATGGTCTTTGTTTTCGAAAGGACATTCCTACTATGATGAGAGCATGATCCCGCACATAAACATAAGTTTGAAATGATTCTCTGTGAAGATTACCCGAACACTGGCTAGCAAACACTATCGTTCCTTCCAGTGCTAAGTGTTTACAGAAAGCAATGAATCAGATCTGTGGCTTAATAGTCAAGCTAGGGGACTCATCTGTCGATGACTCCCTACAACCAGATACAATTCGCTATCTGTCATTTTGCGTATAGATTCAAACCTAAAGATGAGTTTTGCAACGGTATATAACATGAGTAGAACAGATGAGTCACTTGAGCTGGTTTTACCCAAGTATTTGACGTCACAGTTCTCTAATTTGATTCAGTAGATCAAGTTATTCAGTATAATCGGCTCAGTATAATCCTTCACTGGACCAAGTTTCTTATGAGCTGTGTTATACGAGTTTTCTTCATCCTTACATCCTATCACCATCCTCAGGTGTTACGACACTATCCTGACAGCTTATAATCCAATGAAGGGTCCGTAAGTAGGTACTTTAACAGAACAAATGAATACTTATTTACTGGGCTTGTAAACACTGATTCTATTATTGTCACCAATAAGTTGTTCAGTAGTGAGTTAATAGCAGTTTTAACGGCATATCACAGATCATTCCGTCAAAACAACCCAGTTACACAACATTATACTTGAACAACCGGTATACTCCTCAAGTATAGTTCATTTTTGCATATTCATCACCAAATAGTAACCGACACAGACCTTCAGCTCTCAGAGTACTGGGTTTATTCATTATAGCTCATTCATTATTCAGATACTATTGGAGGGAGCATTTTTGTTTGCTTATTTGAAATCGACCTTTTTGCTTGAGAAGAATGACAACAGGAAAGTAAAACATCTCTACTGTTCATCATTTGGGTAAATTAAAGCAAGAACTTGAAAGGTTTAAATAAAATTCTGCATTCGTCACAAGTTATCCCCGTAAGGTTTTATTTACATGCTGAACTTTTACAAGTTGTTGTTTACTAAGTCATTTTCGTTTGAATGAAGACATTAAATAACTTGAGAAAATAAGAGAAAAGGATAAGATATTCCTCTAGCAGTATTTTAAGTACGAATGTCACAAAACAAGTATGTCTTATTTGACATTTTTAGTCTGTTTATTAGAAATGTCGCACAGTGAAACAGTATCAGTTACTGGATAACGTTTCGGACACAATTTATTGTCCATAGTCGTCATACTACGTAACTCCACAACTTTGACACATTGTTTACACGGTTCTGCTTTTCTGTTCTTCTTTGTGAGAGATGAGGGAAGGAGAGAAAATTACAACTATATAAACTCTGTCTCAAAGTATGGAGTTACGTGATATGAATATGAACAAAAAACTATCTCCGAAACGTTATCTAGTAAATGATACTGTTTCACTATGTGACATTTCGAATAAATAGACTAAAATGAAATCACAATCTACCAATATTCAGAAAAACATTGAACAAAACTTGTTGCAACTGTATGTATCCACTGACTGGTTGGTCAGATGTGTATTTTTGACCTCACTTGAATTATACTGTCCACTGTTAATACAAACAGTACAGTAAGTTAATTTACTAATCTATATATCATGTTACTAAGCGGTCTTAATGAAATGTAGCTTTCCTGCCAGATATTTCTGCCCTGTCATATATTAATTGTTTGCCGGCTGACTGACCGATAAAATCAACTTAGAACCTCACATACAGGTGCATCAACCCGAGTTCCAAACTTCATAGTAGCATATCAAGAACACATGGATAGAAAAAGTGTGATATCGAAGTAGAAAAAGTTGTATCAGAGGATAAAAACTTGAAGATAAAGGCTAGTGCAAATATCCAAGCACTAGATATTATCTGCACCATTGTCAACTATTTTCAGCTATTTCAGAAAATGTCCTCAACCACTGATTCGTTGTCTCGGGAACCCTAACTAGGCAATCTACATCTCCTTGCATAACTCAGACCAACAGTTAGAGACTTCATGCACTGTTTCCATGTCTTGGGTTTTTCACTCAACCCTCTCCCAACCTAATCCGACTTCTACTAGCATGACATATCGAGGTAGGGGGTTGCTCGGAATGCGCACTACATGTCTAAGCCATCTCAGTCGACTAAGGTTCACAACCTCATCAATCGACTTGCCTGCCCTGCCCATTACCACTCACCTGACCTCAACATTGCTCACACAGTAATCCCATCAAACACGAGTAATGCTACGAAAACACTCATGATCAAAATCCTGTACGGCTTTATATCTTCTACTTTTAATGGCCATATCTCACAGCCGTATAGCAGGATAGAACGAACTGTAGCGCAGTATACTGGTCTTTTGAATATTTCGCCAGTCAGCACCACAGATGACAAAAGTTAGCATTCTGAATTCGTAGATGTATCCTCTCTTCATCCCCTTCAAAAGGTGTTGAGCATTTTGTCACTGCTTACTTTTGTGTTCACCCATCCACTTATAGCCTTCTTTGTATCCATTTAAATATCCTTCCACTTCTGAGGATTTTCAATTCCTGTGCTGTTGCAAAGAAGGGAAACTTGAACTGATACGTTTGTGTTCAAGATGCTGTATTGCCTTGATTGCTTCTTTACATCGGGAGTACTGTAAACTGCTGTCGATAGAGTTAAAATGGTATTTTATTGCGTTAGCCAGATAGAATCGTCAAAAATCAATGATTAAGTGAATCAATAAGTGTTGGTTTCGTGTTCTCAATAACGACATTACAATTTGACTTAAATCCAGCTGTAACCAGCTGATAAGTTCTAAATACATAATCAAGGTCATTTTACTGTGTATAACTCATTGTTCTCCAAAGGTCTAGTGACGAGGAAACCTGTTTTCGGTAGATGAGGACTGTATTACTTTGCTACGAGTAAGCTAGTCAGTCAATTCATTAAAACTACCATCATTTTTTTTATTTATTAAAACCTCACTCTTAACTTTATTCTCTCTCTTAGAGTCTTTTACCATCAATCGATAGAGCTAAGAATGCCATTGACAAAGCACTCGCAGATCGTGATGTATGTATTGATAGATTCTTTGGTTCATTGGAAAAAGACGTTGGTGAATTAATTCATGACATTAAAGACGCAAACAAGCAATAAATGTAAGTGATTAATTTATTACCTGATGATTTTGTTTTACTCAACTAACTTTCCTTACTGAACCACAGATTGAATCCATGAATTTGTACTACTTTGTCCTTGACTAAGGTCATGTAAATTAATAAATTGATTTCCCATCATTTCATGTACAATTAAATTACGCATATACTAAAAAAGCTTGTAAATTCTAACTGAAAGATATAATTCATCGGAGAAAATCTAAGGCTCGTAAGTGACTTGATTTGACACGGATTTCTGAAGTACTACTGCAAAGCCCTCAGTTGTTTGATCAACTGATTCTAGTTTGAGAAATACTCAGAAATGACATTGGATGAGTTCCTTGCGATACCGCGAATTAATATAAGTTGCAAAACGATCACCGATGAATTCCAAACCAGTTACTGATTGTCAACATATTCCCTGCGAAACTGGACTGCTGCGCGCTCCACCTCATGAGGTCATGGGTGCGTGCTTTTGGATAACTCCAAACTTAGTGAAATACCGTTCCAATGCTCTTTAGTTCTATTCTGTTCCCTAGTTGATGCTCATCCTTGATGAAAGCTACGTTAAAATGTGTGATATACTTTATATGACATGGTTCAAATAATTTGGTTGCACTTTCAATAGATACTGGGCGAGGATTGAGAGCGAAATGAAAATGTTGTTCGTGTTGGGATTCGAACCAGCGACGACTGGGTTTTTGGCCCGGTGCTCTACCAACTGAGCTACGAGAGTCGACTCTTGGTCAGGTGTTAATTTTACTTCAATCACCAAGGGTTTTGCTCGACTGTCATGTGAATTCTTGACGCGTTGCTATCGCTTGATGGTACTCTCACAAGACATCTGTTTTTTCTTACTTCTCAGCAGTGCACATACATGATTCTGCCAGGGACCAAACTCATGACTTTCAGGTCTGGTAGTTCCCAACCAGGTTTTTGGGATAACCACCTCAAAGCATAGTAATTTAGCTTGGGCTGCGGTTAACCAAGTCGGAAGTAAAGCGGATGCTAACCGTTTGTATTGGGTGAAAGTCACACTGGATAGAGAACTAACAGAAGTAGGAAGCTGTGAAACACTAGAATCCAACCCACTGGCTGAATTAGAAGGAGACATTGTGGTTTTGATTTCGATCTCTGATGGGGTCGTGAGTGCACAATACTGAAGAGTCGCATACTTGGACGAAACAGCTGTCCAATAATGCCAGGTTCTCAATGGTTCTCTAACTGATGTCAGTTCAGGATGGATACTAACCTGAAATAAAAAACTCCCTACTAACCTCAAACTAAATTACTACAGACATATGACAACCTACCTTATAACTAAGCAAAGTTGAAACCGGCCAATCACAGTTTAGCAGAAAGTTAATCTGACTGACTGATGAAATAAGCATCTACATCACGTTTTCCTTCATAAAGCCATTATTTCTCGGTTACTATGAATTAGCTACACAGCTAATAGTATGAGAACAGAAGTGAATCAGTTGCTAAGATTGATATGGAAAAGATGTTCACCACACTTCTTCAGTCCACACAGCCTAAGGCAGGCTATGACATGTAATTTATGCCGGACTCGCTTTACTCCGCTTTGTAGAAAAAGTAAATCCAACTCCTCCTTGAAAACTTAAAAATAGTATAATCTAAGCATCACAAAACCTAATTTAACTTGTGAGCGACTTCCTGTATTCGAAAATGAACTTCATCGTATGATTATTACAAGGGTTTCATAACTTTAAGTAAACCACTCTTAACTAGTAAGATATTTGAATCCCGTTCTGCAGATCAAGGTTTGTACGTCTAAGTAGTGTCATTAACCTCATCAACATAAGTGTGGCCAGTAGCACAGAATACGGATCTGTACGAGTTTGCAATGATGCATTATAACAACGTAACATGTTTATAATGATATTAACAGTGGTAGATCAAATCGAGTCATCAGTTGATTGAATTGCAGAATGCCACCGACTGACACGAAATCTAAAATCTTCCCGGTATTGATGTGTAAACGTGTTATAGAAATAGCCTTCCCTGCCTTTTCAATTCCAAATGGATTCCATATATTTTCAAACTTAACCCTGCTTTTTCTTCTGCTTGTGTTTGTGTATTAAGAATCCAATACTTTTGGATGTGACAGCAGAATCGCAAACTGTTCGCACTGAACTATCTCGACTTAAAGTAACAATGGATGAATTACAAAATAGAGCTGTAACTTTCAAAACATATCATCGAAATTTCAAGGTAAGTCAAAGCTGCTCCTTCTTTTTCTTATGAAAGCAATAAAATCAGAGTGTCTTAAAGATGTATAAGTGAAAGTATCTAGTTGCTTCTTCCTTAGCTAACATAAAGTTGACCTTAACAACCTATTTTGCACGCACAGATGCAATCGATATCTCCCCCAAGATGTATGCACAAACAAAGAGCTAATTCAGTTATTCGGAATCTCTTGGTGTACAACTTCACTAAAAAGTGGGTCATTCCAAGGGTAATTGGAGTAATTGTCAAAGCAGCTATAAACAGGCTGAGCATACAGGTCGTCAAGTCTTCTATCTTGATGGCCACATTCCAAAAAATGATCGTTGGGATTCAGTCTGCACTCACAACTAGCCAACATAAAACTGGTTTCTCTTCAGTGACTAATCAGTGTATCTACTCCAGTCGTACACGGGGTTAGTTGTAGCCCGAATACCTTGATGGTAACGTTGCTAACTGCAATACTGCATAAAACAGGTTTGAATCTTAGAGGGGACCCCACTTTGCACTGTGACACAAATTCGCCTTGCTGATGATTACCAACAAATAACGAAGCCCAAGTCAAGGAGAACTCCCTTCCGATTACCTCCATACGTTCATCATTTACTAGCATTTTTGTAGTATGAACTGCTATTGACTTATTATTATGAGAATACAAGAATTGATCTCCTTTTGACAAGTTAGTAGGAGGTCAGTATAATGTGAGATGTCCATTGGTTGAAATGATTTTAAAGTATTATGATCTAAGTGTAATCTGGAAAGTATATTGAAAGCCAACTATTGCTTAAAATTAACAAGACATCTATTTCTCTGACGTTGATTCATAAAGTCTGTAACTGCTGGTATGAGACGTATGAGGAAACACAAATTATTTGGCAGGGGTCCTCGAAATATTAGACATCAATAGTTGCAGACTCTAATGGCTAATAGATTGTGTCAAGAAAAGGACTTTGTACATCACAAGAGTGTACATATATTCATTCCTTAATATTTTCAGAATTGGTCTATCTTCATTCGTTTACTTCTCTTTTCCATATCGTCACTGTTCCTGATATCTTTCCTGTCTGCTTCCATGTTTGCCGATTCTAAACCACACTGCTCAGCTTACTTTCCTTGCTAAATTTGTTTTTAGCTCAATCTCAGCCTACCTAAGACGGTTTTTCCATCACAGATGGTGTAATTCGTTAAAGATATCTGTGATCAAATACATACATTCCCTTCACCTTGAATGCCTAGCCTTAAAGTGATGCAGTAGATGAATAAGAAGGATTTCTGCAAAGAATAACCACCAGTGTTGCAGATTGTATAGACTAGTGAAAGTCGAATGGCAACTTTTTTCATTCCCATTCATTCATTTTCTTACAGAGTTATAGCCACATACTTGGGTTACCTCAATCAGCTAAAAAATAAATTCATGCTTCCTCTCAGTTCGGTAAATTCACAATACCTCTTTTTTCACTGCTTGTTCCAGTTAAACAGCACTGGTGATTAGCCAGAGTGATTTTTAACTACTCATGCCTGTAAGCAGTATATATCATCGGGTTGATCTGCCTACCTCTTGAAGCCATTCAATGCGTTGAGCATATCACAGCTTGTGGTTTGAACATTTCGACTCCTACACCGGAAGGTAGTCTTCAGTGGAACCATGATCAACCAAGGCTTATTGGTCGTTATTAACCATTAACAGGATGTATCTGAAACCTCAAGAGAACAAGTGCTCTCTTGGCAATTTGAATCCATCTCATCTAGGGCTAGAGTTAAAGATGTCACCACTGAACAACCAATATGACCTAAATATTTTTATATACTCATCATAAAATCCTCGTTAAGCCTAGATAGGAGGTAAGAGTAAAAATTCGGCTTTGTAATTCAGCATAACATGGAACAGAGAGAAAGTCTCTATTTAACTGCCTAGTTGAAATCAATTTCACTGTGGGCTGTATATTATCTCCAGAAATGTATCTCATCAATATATATATATATATATATATATATATATATATATATATATATATATATATATATATATATCGTAACCGCTTAGTCAACAACCTCCTATCGTTTTAGAAAATGTGAATTGGTGATATCTTTTTATGTGTAAAATAATTCTCAGCACCCACAATAATCTACCAATTGAGGATACCTCATGTCTATGTTTAAAAAAGGGCAAAGGCAACTCATAAGTTAATCAAAACTTTTTCGGTGGTTTGATAAGTGTTAAATTCACAATAAAAGGTTGACATCTAACAGGTCATCTTAATGAGTGAGGAAGCGTTCACTACTGAAGACCAAAAACCTGCAATGCATTAGCGCCAACTGTACCTTTGCTATTTCACAGAATAAACATCAGATTTTCAGCCAGGGAACCATAAAACTCCAGCTGACCACTATACGTACCCAGTATCCTTTTCAGTGAGAGACACTGCAACAATACAATAAATTGCGGCAACGAACAGTCTTGTTGGCCTCTGGCTGGTTTCATGGATGACTGTCTTTATCACTCCGACTACTGTTGATATTTCCTATGAGTTCAAGATTTAGAAGTAGAAATATTTTATTTCTCATCCAGAAAACTGAAATTTGGTAATGCCTATTTCGTATAACCTAAATATTTCAACCCGTGAAGGCCTTTTCACTTAATTTCTCCTTCATATTTCAGGATTTGTCTCAAGCCCTATCAGGTACACCGATTGAAGTAAGTTCTCATTAGTTTTGTTATTTGTAGTTCGTAACCTTGGACAACTCTTTGTAAGAAAACATTCTTCGATTTGATGAAACAATATGCTTCCCCTTATCCAGCATAGTAATCAAATTTCTATTTTTGTTATTCATTTTTTATGCTACTTAAAAGTAGCATGAACCTAAAATTATAATTTCAAGGGAACATCTGGTAAACTTGTAAAAATAGTTTTAGGTCTAATTCTGTAGGTTCTTACATTCAAATTATTACAATCATTTCATTCACATAAACAGTGACTTCTAGCATAAAATTCTTAGCGCAACAGCAGGTTATTAAATGGTTCACATGTACAACCATATTGGGGACTGAAACCAGAACCTCCAGGTTTCCTATACAGATGACTAACATTCACTGATGTGAATTAATCTTATGGACGTTTTTAGGTCAACGTTGGAATCGTTCAAAATTAAACTGACTCATTTAACCGGTCAGCATAATAATTATTATGCCTTAATATACATATTCCATAGTGTAATTCACGACAGATCGTTATTGACGGGACCGAGAACTATTGGTTCAGTGTATCACCTCTTTTTGAAACCTATCCGCAGTATACTTATACGGGACTCCTTCCAGGATTTAATGTAACTCAGTCAGATTACAGAAGTTTCTACCTTATGTTTACATTAAAATAATCAAATGAAATATCAAATAAATAATACTGCATCACCGTGTGATAGTAGTTTGATGTTCATTGAGCTTTAATATTTTGTGATGAACTTCTTTATGAAGTTAGTAATGAAGATGTCACTAAGCCTAATGATGAAATGTTCACAACAAAATGTCAAAGCTCAGAGGGCACCAAACCACCATCATCCTCATCCTGAGCTACAAATTCTTTCCATTATTCCAGCATCACTGTGTGCTATACAAACTAAGCAAATGTAATATGAGGTAAATATTACTACTTATTATCTATTTATTTATTTACTGTATGATTCTAATTATCATCTATACTACTGCCATAATTAAACCATCTTCTAGTTTTATCACTTCCCAACCGAAAGAGAAACATCTGTTTTGAGGCTACTTAATAATGCTCCTAAATAATAACACAATGATATGTAGTTGAAAATCAACCTTCTTTGCGCAAAGCCTGTGAGTTAAGAATTTTATCCAAAACAAGACCATAGATGTGTTATGCTGATCAGTGGCAGGATATTACAGAATAAATTTTGCGGTAATTGATGCTAATTTAACACTTATTACTGAAATTATATCAACTTATAAGCACCAGAATGTGCTTACATGTATGTAGGAGAGTCTGTGTTCTGAACAAAGCTGTGGTTTGATGGATTATACTTACGACTACAAACAGTTTGTGTCAAATAAAAGCTTTACTTCATCTACTAGACAGTATCTCAAGCATTCACATATTGGATCTACATTCCACCATGTTCACTTAATAGACTAACTGGTAAAATTTAACCCCTACGTTACCTCTAACCAGTTAGGTTCATATGTATTACAGGCTATGCTAGCTGGATTGTGTAACTAATAATCCGTGGAAAATGTTATTGTTTCTCCTCTCATTCGTTTATTGACTTTTATTGCCAACCGGTCTTTGATAAGGAGTAGTAAAAATATGTTTTATTGAATATAACAACCAAATTTACTCCGCATATTCTATATTCTCTAGGTTGGAAAGAGAAAGAAATATTTATTTGAACTAATGAACATTATGGTTTCGCATTTATTATTATATCTTATTACCTGGAGAGTTTTGGCTATCATACGCAATATAACAGTTCATAATGTGTTGATAAGTTATACCCTTTCTACATTTTTCTTATAGGACCAGATACTTGCACGAGCCGGTGTACGAGCTGCATCATTTATAGTAAGTATATTTGAAGTTATTAACTGAGTTCACAAATTTCCAGGTTTTTTGTCTACCTTTTCGAAAAGATAGTTATAACCGTCTTCTTCCTCCCCTTTTTTGTCTTGAATTTATCTTGAATGCATTCTCATTTATGTTAGGAATTTCTACAAAAATGACTTCCACATCTGGTAAAATTAGCCATTCGGTTGTTTGATGTCAGGGTTTTCATTTTATCGAAAGTTTATTCATTCTTGGTGTTTAAATCCATTGAATTGGGTCGATCATACAGTGTCGACTTTAATCGGCGTTCATGACAATTTTGATAGCCTTAAGTGGTGGCCACTGCAAACGAACGAAAAAGCGGGTAGTCTTGTGATACTTGTATAATAATGGACATTCAATTTCTATCGCAAAAGGAGTATTAAGAAACAGTCAGCTGATGAATCTTTAATGAGATAAAATGTTTATTCTGAATTATATCTTTATTGAATATAATATTTAACGCATAAGTTTTGTTTTATTGTTTACCTACCACACACCATGCTTATTCAATGAAAATATTCATAAATTTGAAATGAATCTCTTTTCATAGGTGGAACAACCACGTTTTGAGGAGTTGGAAACACTAGTTGGTGAAATGAAATTAAAGCATTTATTGTGGAATTCCCTTGAGGAATGGGATGAAACAATCAAGGAATGGATGAAGGCTGATTTTTTTAAACTGAATCCAGAAGATTTAACAAATGTTACAATGAAATATGTGAAATCGGTCAATCTGCTGGAAAAAGGGTTACCACCTAACACTGTGGTACCATTGTTGAAGGAAAAAGTGGAGGATATACGAGGAAAAGTATGTTTATCCTATTTGTATATGCATGCACAAATGTTCTATCAAACTTAAACAGTCAGAAAAGTTGCTTGGTTGGTTATTAAGCATATATTCAAATTCTCCCACCTTGAGTACTTTTCTCTTTTACTTTTCATGATGAAAAGTGTGTGAAAGCAACCGAACAGCTCCTGAGAATATTATTATATGACTTCATTATAGCCTATTTGAATTTGATAACAGTCAGCTTTATCTGATCTGTGTAAATATCCCTTACTGGGTGGTTATAACCGAACCGGACTCAGCATAGATTGATGTTAGGTTGTTGAAGGCAATCAACAAAAATCTCTTGGTCTGAGTTATTTGGGTGTTTGTAAGGCCTATCTGCAACCTGAAGGGAACTCATAACCACTTAGGGACCTGTACGTGAGTCACACAAATGTTACTATTGAGCTATTCAGTTTATGAATGACCTGCTATGAGACTAAATGATGCCCAGTAATTGTTGATGTCTTGAAGGGAATTCCCTGTTTACGAGTATCAGTAAGCACTTAACCTACTTTCAAAGCTTCCTTCACATTCCTTTCAATGATGATTTCTTTTAACTTGGTGATCGCACTACAAAATGGCTGATATCATTTCATCATTACCTAGGGCTACACAACATCAAATTGGTCAGTCTTTAGTAACTAATCAATATAGTACTGGGTAAATTTACTGTCTGAAGCAGCCCGACTACAGAATACTTCATGTGCTAAACAATCAACTCAATGAACTATTGAAAACAGTTACTTGCAATTTCTAGGCTCCAAATAAACGCAGAAGAGAGAATGCACATAATTCTCAAGTGAAAACTTTTACTGTCTCAACTACAACCAAACCTGATGCAGAACTCTTGTCAAATATACATACGTGGTTTTGACGTTATCCAAAAATCCCATCATTGGTACATTAGAAATATGGAAATAGCCTAGAAAAAATGAGGGAAAAACTACAAAGACATGACTAACAGTAGCCAGTGATACAAGGAAATAACTAGTCAAGGCCATTGGATGGCCATTGAAGCTTCACCAGGAGCTTCTAGGGTGGATTTCTAATCATCATTTCAGACGCTTCTGTTTTTAAATTCCGGCCATGTTTGATATGCTCTATAACATATTCTTATGACCATTCCTTAACTAAACACAATTACAATTGAAAACTAAAAACTTCACCTGACCTACACAAACAATGGTTATTTTAGACAAATAATAAGCTACGCCTGTCGAGTGACCTTGACTGTAAGTACCGGCCACCAGCCGTATTTCTTAATCGGTAGGCTATATATGATTTTATCGATGAAGTGGCTTTTCAGTAGAATGTGACATGCTACTGATGGCTTGAACTCACCTATCTCTGTAGCATAAATAACCAAACTGATGTATTTCCCTTTTACGAAATTCAAACAACTTAGTGTTTTCAAAGCTATTTGTGATGAACCACGATTTGAATTATGAATCAACCTTATGGAAATAAACACTAACTGCAAATACAGTGATAAACAATGCTGATGAAATCATTAGAATTCCACCGTTCTAGTGTGATTTTTGAGTGAACCTATTAAAAAAAAGCAGTTACAGGAAATACAACTCTCCTATATACTTAAAGATAGCCTACTACTAACCCCTAACATATCAAGAACGACTACACTTCTACATTCACTGTAACCGCTCATTTCAAGGACAGCAGATATTTGAAATTGCATCATACTTATCAATTCAGTGATAGTGATAATGTCTAGCTTGTTGGTGACACTTTGACCAAATGAACCTGAAGCTCAGAAAATAATTTTATATGAAACATAATATACTTCCCTTTGAATAATTAACCCAAACACACGTTTAGTTGAAGTTAATTTGATTTGTAAGCACTGCAAATTTAGTCCGATTCAAATAACCAACTATTACTTGCAAATATCTCTAGAACTTGTTTTTATATTCCCCACATAAAAGTTAACAACTATCATGGACTTACGTAATCCAACATTAAAATCACGTCATTGGGAAATGCTAGAAGATTTAATTGGCTTTCAAATGTCTGACCTTGAAGAACCATTAAGTTTAGGCTTTCTAAATGAATTGAAAGCCTTTCAAAAGCGGAGCAAATACAAGAAATATCAGGTCAGGCTAGTTCTGAGGCAAGTTTAGAAACTTTGCTGAAAAAGGTGAGTCAACAGTTTGTTGCATTCAATGATTGTAATATTATCTTTGAGCAGTAAGGCTTTTCTTCCGTCTTACCATTATTTTCATAGTCATATTTGGAACCTTTAAAATTCAGAAAGTTTAAGGTGATCACATCAGGACATACTAGCAACCGATGCAATCACTTACTATTAACCTGAGACGTTGAGGTATGTGAAATCATTGTGAATAGGCTTTCTAAGATAGATAGTATGAATCAATGGTTGGAAACGGTTGATGACATAGTCCAACATCTATTTTACCATCATTGTCTTCTTCTGTATCTTGTTTGTTTACTTTAACGTTTTATTTCTACATTAGATTAGTCTGTTTAATATAGTACAGTGATACATTATTATTTACTGAAGGATGCTTGGAACAGAATTCTTTGCTCTTAATCGTATCAAGGTAGTTATACTGTAGTGAGTGCTACCGATAAGAATGGATATAAGTAGTATATGTTGAGAGGTAGGTAGAAATCATAGGGAATTACCAGCAGTGGGTAAAGATTCTGCCTAAAAAAACTCAAACGACTGTGGGTGCATGAAGAGGAAGTTGAGATAGAAGCAGAAGAGGGAATGAAAAACATTGTGCAAATGACTACTGTTCAAGACCTCACAATAAACATTCTGTCCTGCGTCTCAGTCGTGGTCGTTCCTCAAAATGCAACCTTCTGGTCTTGTTTTTTATAGTTCTGTTGTTTTTTATTCTTTGATTTAACTGGTAGTAAGATTTCCTACATCTCTCTCCACTTAATTTGAGAGGAAGATTGATCACTGGATCTCTGTTCATTAACACGTGTAATAGGGATGACGCAACACCAATTCTGGACATGCGGAAATTTTTATTATTATCATTATCAAAGAATGAAAAGCAGTAGAACTATAAAAAACTAAGACAGGAAGTTGTGTGACTACGTTGAATATGAGCACTAAATCCTGCTCGAAATGTCATCAAGTAAGTAATGCTGTATCACTGTATGCTAGATCAAATAGACTAGCCTACTATGGAACCGCATTCTACCACACTGCCCAAATTCTGCAGTCACACTAGCCATCTTATTTCCATTGTCCCCATCTTTCTTGACCTTTGAAATGTGTTGCAAATCGAACCACTAAACTTGTCCCCTAAGGTTCTGTAGAATGTCTATATTATCAGGAACCCGATAAGAACACCTTAACTATAACAAAACAACTTCCCAGTGCCCACTGATTCTGAATGCTTATTGTGATAATACCGATTTTTAATTACAAGCGGCGACGGCTAAGCCCAAGCGATATAATACAGATGAATGTCAAAAAAATGCCAACAATATTTAGATTTATTCTAAGACGGTATTATATACACAGAAATACAAATAAATGAATAAAAGCAGTCTTTAACCGTGGGGCTGACAACTGGTCGAACAGGTTACTTGGAATACTAATAAGTTGCGACCACACTAATGTTTGTTGGTATTTTAAAAGTCAACTTCGAAGGCAGAAACAACAAAACAGAAAAAGGGCTGCTTTATAACCCCAGTCACCAATTGTTATAACTTTGTTGTCATTTGTAGTGACCACTTGATATAACCTAAATTATACGTGAGGACGCTTGAAAAATAACCTTCAGATTCCACCTCTTAATGGTCGCTCAGTTTTCTCGATAGATGGAAAAGGTGATAAGATAGCAGAAGGTGTTCTGTAACGTCAAAAATAAGTACAAGCTACAAGAGTTTATGTATATTTACAATGCCTTTGGTTCTTTTCAGACTTTTCTAGTTTAGCTTATCCTATTGATTTTTACCTCTTCGATCAGTCTGATACTTACACGTTGGTTCATGTACCTTCTCTCGAAACTTTGGTGCAACACGACTAGTTATAAAAGGGCTCAGGGATATACGGCTTTTTATCATTCCACACTATAACAGGATATAAATACTAAGCCTGGAAAGAATCGATGACTCATAAAAAGGGAAAAAGAGGACAGGTGATGGGTTTCTCCTAGGAAAAGGCTTGAGATATATTTGAAATTCTAAACTGTCAGCAATGGATGAGTAGATGAGCATTTTGTATAATACTAATATGATGCTAAATTGATTACTCTAAAATTATTGTACCTTACAACATATTCTGAGGGACAAATTGCCTGCTGCATATGTTGGTCAGAAATGAGACATCAAGTACCAAATTGTGTATATTAACTTTAGAAAGTGAAGTGTCTGAGTGAGTTACATTCTTCGTTCATCATTCAGAAAATTGAATAACTTCAATGTGGCAATCTGGTTACTGATGAGAATATTCAGCACCAAACAAAAGACTTTCATGATACTTTTCAATCTGTAGCATATTTGGCTGCTTATTATCAGAGAGTGTTCTAGACAGTACACTTCTGTCTATTCTGTTTTGGAAGTGGAATCTAGAAGTTTCCTATCACATGTCGTCCCAAGGTGATTTGATTATGGACAATTTCTTCTCCTGTAATAATCCTACCTATAGGTCTTTAATGGACTGTTTACATGTGGCGATAATTGGTATTCATGGATTCCATTTAGCTCTTAAACTACCTGCTATGAAAATCTCTTATCTGTTGTCTCTACTCATATTTCTTGTCTCCATCTTTTATCCATTTTCTGAGTCTCCGTTGCGGAACAGTGTAACAGAATGAAACAAATTCATTTTTCTGAAAGATTTCAAGTTGTTCTGTTCTATTTTCATGCCTTCTAGTTTAAAATTATCAATAGTTTGTTTAAATTAATCTATTCTCTCAAGGTTGAAGATGCTTGGAAGTCAACTGAATTCATTGTTTTACCATATAAAGATAGCAAAGATGTATTCATTGTTGGCGGGACAGATGAAATACAACAATTATGGGATGATTCAAATATCAATATATCCACAATTGCATCATCACGTCATGTTGGTCCAATTAAAAATCGCGTTGATGAATGGCAAAGGTTATTAGATCTATTCGGTAAAACTTTAGTAAGTTCAACATTTCATGTGATATTTTGAATAATTTATTTGGTTAACACTTTACTTCGATTCTAACTAAAATGCAACAAAAGTTCCAGTGATTGTTTAATGCGGACGTCTGACTGTTGTATGCACGAAGCAGATAAAGTTCATGCTTAGGCATGTCAATCAAGCATTTTGCTGTTTTAAAAAATATTAATTTGGACATTTTTCACATAACAAAACCTTATTTAAGCACAGATCAATCTACAGAAGAAGACTAACAAATTGAGCAGAATAACACTTTCTCATTTTATTTTGTCGGTCCTGGTCCTCAGCTTGTCCTCACAAGCTGTTAACAGACTGTAAAACATTTATGATGAGATTACGTTATACATTTGCCATACATTGAATTCATCAACAAGAAGTCAATCCGAGGATACATCCATCAGAAGCTAGCCTTTTCATTGTAATAACCTTAGGGTAGCATATGAGGTTTGATTTGTACTGTTTGTCAGTGATTTGGAAAGATTTCAAGACATCTGGCTGATATCCAGTGTTTATTAGGTGTCCAGAGATTGTAATTCTGAGATTGTTCAATTACCTTAGTCATCGGCTTTCGAAATATATTCAAGGTTACTAGGTTAATTCCTTCAACATATTTACTTTGGCAGATACACAAGAATTTAAGTACGCAGTTGAAATCAGTATGACAGAGATTGTTGGGATTTTCGGATACGAATAATTGGGAACGCATAGTCTAGTTACTGGATGAACGATACTACACTTGACAACTGACTCAATTACCATAAGAAGATGATAACGTCGAGCGGAAGCGAGTTTACTCCAATCGAAGTGTGAAGGTACAACCCAGGAACACAACTCTTGCTTTTATATATAATGCATGGCCCCTTGAGGCGAATAGACATAATAGCATATAACAATTGGGAAATTAACCAAAAGAAAAACAGCGTTCTTAAGAGCGGTAAAATTGAGCGGTACACGTGGGGCAGAAAAAGATGTGGAAAATACAATTCACATTTTCTATAAGATAGATTTATAAAATGAAAGGATAGTACGCTCATTTTTTAAGATGTAAATTCTCCAACAGGAATGCCTGTTGATTTTCGACTTCACCACTGAATAAAATGTTGAGTGAAAGGGATGTATTCTGACCTTCGAAACGAAGACGATGAATAAAAGTAGAATTCTTCGTAGTTTTCTAAAATTCATCGCGTTCTCTCTTACCAGATGTTTTGATTCAGCTTTGTGAATATCGATTTTCGTTTTGACACTCCCAGATTATTATTAACTCAATATGAAATTCTATCTCCACAAACCTCCAGATAAAATTACTCTAGTGCCCATTGGTGACTAGCTTCCAGAGGTGATTCCCGAAGTTCTAATGAGAATTCGTGACCAGTGGATGTAGGTCGCGATATATTGTGAGCTGACAGAAATAGGAAATATGGACCATTAGGCTCCAAACCAGTGGCTCATTGGTAAAGGGCTGACCATGGACCGTGAAGGCCATGGGTACGATCCCTGGTGGGGTGGGGTCACGGGTGCGCACTGCTGAGGAGTCCCATAATGAGATGAAACAGCTGCCCAGTGCTCCCAGGTTTCCAATGTTCCTCAAACTGATATCAGTCCATGATGAATCCCAACTTAAAATTGATATGAAATTAATCAGTAAAGTGTAAACATCATTTCAAATTTGTTCATAGTATATTCCTTCATTTGACAAAGCAAAAACTTAGGATAATTGCTTGTATTATACCGTCGTTGATTGGACCGAATTCGCGTATATCGGTCTCTATTGGCATGTGGGCTGCTGTGCGGATGTCTCGCTATTAATTGTGTTCTAATTACAGTAAAGGTGGATAGTGGCTAGCAGTGGAATCCAGGATACACATTTCGTCGTGGAGTCAGGTTTAAAAGTTTGCAGACGTGCTACTGAAGCCCTAAGTTCCACTAGGAACCCAAGGGACAAATAATATAATAACGACGGTATAATACAAGCAATTATACTGAAATTATACCCATCTTACAAAAAGTGGCTACCGTGGCTCGTTAGTGTATTGGATAACACTCTGGCGTTTGAAGCGATCGCTCCCGAGTCCAAATTCCTTTGGAAACAATATCACCTACTGGAAGGCAGGTACATCCAACCGATAAGTCCTAAATAGGATAAAGTGCGAATCCTGAATACCATTGCTAGCCACTATCCACCTTTACTATAAAAGCAGAAAGTCATGATAATCTCAATTTGTCTCATCCCTCTTCTCTTCTTTTGTTGCAACCGATAGGATGAATGGATGCAGTGTCAAAGAAGTTGGTTATACTTGGAAAGTATATTCTCTGCACCAGATATTCAACGTCAACTGCCTAGTGAAGCAAAAAGTTTTATGGCTGTTGATAAATCCTACAAAGATGTAATGCGTAAAGTCCAAAAAGTTCCACTGGCTATGCGTGCAGCTACACAACCAGGTCTATTAGACACCTTCAGAAATAATAATCAACTCTTAGATCAAATACAGAAATGTCTTGAAGCCTATTTAGAGTCGAAACGTTCAGTATTCCCAAGATTTTATTTCTTATCCAATGATGAATTATTGGAGATATTGGCACAAACACGTAATCCATTAGCTGTACAACCACATTTAAGAAAGTGTTTTGACGCTATTGTTAAGCTAGAATTTGCTGTAGCCCCAGAATCTACTGATAAAGGTATGTTGTAAATTCTTACTGTTTCTGTTGTTGTCTTCATTGCCTTTTACTGTAAAGGTAAGACTGAAGTGAGATGATTGTAGGCAACCTCAAAAATACCCCTCTTCATTCAGTTCTCGCGCTTGTCGTTAGTAGTTAACAAGAGGTATCTATAACGTCAAGGTTGCATAACTGACGAGTATAGACAAGTGTGAAAATGAAGTTAGACAGAGCTTCCTGTCTATTTCCTTAAATCATCCAACATCAGTTGAGGTTCAGCATGGTGGTAAGTTCCTTAATTTAGTTGACTGTAGTATTGAATCGATGGGTACAATTTGGTTAACACTTAGGAGTAAAACACATAATAGTGGTTGCATCACTCATCTACATCATATTGATATTTGTTCTATATCGCGATCTAACTGAATGATCATAAAGGTCAACTTCTGTACCTGAAAAATTAAAACCAAATACATACTCTTGAAAAGAATCATTCTAGCAAGATCGAAACGTTGAGGAATAATACAAAATATTCGTTTATTTTGTTATTTGTTTTAATATAATGCAATGGGATTATACAAGTAAAATACACCTTAAACGATGAATAATAGCATTGTTCAAATACGTAATGACTGAAGGGTTATGATAACTGTTTGCTATAACATAGTTGGTTGATTAGATTGTTTCCAACATGACTTCCTTCATATAATATGCAAGTTAAATTAGGTTTGGTTGAATTTCCTAAATGTGGTTGTATGTGCATGAAGTTTAATTCTTTTTGCTTCTTGTCTTGCCGGAGGATAGATATGAGGAAAGGTACAAATGAAGAGGATGCTTATCATTTTATAAAATATTTGCGACCAGCTGTTTACAAGAGCTAAGATGTCATTCCATGGCTGTATTTTTCAGTAGAGTCAGTAATAATGTACCCACTCACTCTATTGATACCCAATAAAATTCTGCGCAATGTAGGATTTCCCTTTTTCTGGAGTCCAGGAAGGAATAAATAAGAGTAGGCTAAACCCAGGAATTAAGGCCGAGTTATACCACATAGTTGCAGTTTCCTTATGTGAAAGGTTAATTGGGCTTAAAACATAGTATAAAACAACCTTCAAACGTGATGCACTTCCAGTGGTAGGGGGACTTCGGGTTTACATTGAATATTGAAACATGGCATGCCAACAAGCACTTCTCAACAGGTAAAATAGACCAGATCAGTCGAGAAAAAGTACAATCAAAGTAGCAATTATTAACTGAACAACCAATTAGGGTCACTGAATATAGAAAGTGCACCTAAAATAAATAAAAATGTTTATATGGGTTAGTTTTAGCGTGTAGTTTCTTCCTTTTGAGGTTAGGTTTAGATCACGCTGAATTGTTAAGCCAGGAGGTGAACATCGTTCATAGTTAATATGGTCAGTATGAAGATAAGGTCTGGAGGCAGCTGCACTGCTGGTATCGATTCTGAGTCATATTGCCCAGAATTTCCAACCACCAAATCGGGTTGTCACAGGAACAGCCACCTGTAAATCTATATTTCCCCATATGGTTTACACCAGTTAGTGTATTCATCAACAGTATGGGGGAAGACATTGTCAACCATCAATCATATAATACGATGTTACTTTTGTAGTGGGTGCTATTGATAAGAATGCATATAAGTAGTATATGTTGAGAGGTCGGAAGAAGTCATAAGCAATTACGAGAAATGGATAAATATTCTGCCCAGAGGAGCGTAAAGGATGATGTAGATGGGATAGGAGAAGAAGATCAACTTAAACATATTGCTCAGATTGATATTTCAATGGACGATTATAATATTTTATCAGTAATGTACAAAGTGTCACAATAAGGAATTCTTCTGTGATTCACCCTTTGCCCTTTTCTTCACTTATGGCTTTTATCACTTCTTTGACTGTAGGGTCCAACTTCTGAAGGCAAATAAGTCTTAGTGGGTCCCGTTCCACTGCATATACATCGTATGCGATCTCAGGTAGTTCATTTTCTTCGTCTGATCTGGATATGAAGTCTGCCAACCAGTTTTCTTTCCCGCCCTTATGGCCGATTGCGAAATGGTACTCTTGCAATCGTAACATCCAACGTGATAATTTTCTTCTGGGGTCTCTCGGTATCTTTAGCCCGTGTAGAGGTTTATGATCACTTTCAATAGAGAATCCTTGACCGAGGAGATACGATCTCCACTTATCAAGTGCCCAAACTATCGCCAAACATTCCTTTTCAACTGTGGAATATTTCTGTTCTGCAGGTGTCAGGACACGGCTGGCATACTCCACTACTTCTTCAGTTTGTCTGCATCAGAGGACACAACGAATGGCCTCCCGGATATTGTTATTTTTAAAGTCATTTCCTTGTCATTCAGGAGTTCCTTGATGTGATCAAACTTTTTATGTGCCTCCTCCATCCACAAAAATTTTGGGTTGCCACGTAGCTTATATAAAAGTGCTGCTATATCATTGAACTTTTTGAGGAACCGACTATTGAAAAGTTGCAGTTTCCTCTTGGAATTCGGCACTGGAATGGTTTTAAGCATCAGAATTTTCTCAGGTAATGGTTTTATTTCACTGTTCTCAACTTTATTTCCTAGCAATGTAACACTCTTCTTGGCTACTTAAGATTTCGTCTTATTGATACGAAGTCCAAACTCGTCAATGCGTCTCAAAACGGCTTACATGTGTTTTAGATGTTCTGCTTCCGTCTGACTATACATCACCAGGTCGTCACCATGTACCTCTGGGTTTTCTAAATTCTTCAGCAGCAACATCATCAATCGTCTAAATGTAAATGGTGCGCCTGCCAGACCAAATGGCATTCGTTTGAATTGGTGTTGCTTCTTGCTCACAATATATGCTGTTTCCTCTCTATTGTTTCATTTTGTTGGTAGCTGCCAGTAGCCTGAGTGGAGGTCCAGAACTGTAAGTACTTTTGCATTCTGCAGATGATCCAGTGTTTCAGCTACCGTAGGCATGGCACACGGCTTCGGTTGTGTTATGCTATTTAACTCTCGGAAATCAACGCAGAATCTATATCTTCCATTTGACTTTCATACCAAAAGCACTGACGAACTGTATGGCTATCAGCCTCTTCAATAATAACTTCATTTAGCATTTGTTGAACCTGGAGCTTAACTTCTTCTAAGCGACGTGGTATTCGCAGTGTTATAAATGTTGTCATTGCTTGACTTGTCACTGGGACTTCATGCTGAACCTTGTCACAGCATCCGTTTCCAGCTACCAATGAACAATCTCTTGGATTATATTTTTCGTAGGAGGAGTATCTATTATGAAAATTAGTACGTTACTGATAAAATATTATAATCGTCCATTGAAATATCAATCTGAGCAATATGTTTAAGTTGATCTTCTTCTCCTATCTCATCCACATCATCCTTTACGCTCCTCTGGGCAGAATATTTATCCATTTCTCGTAATTGCTTATGACTTCTTCCGACCTCTCAACATATACTACTTATATGCATTCTTATCAATAGCACCCACTACACTTTGTGTTATATCAGTGATGAGTCGAATTATTATCCACTTGTATCTGTAGATGGATGTTTTACTTCTAAGTGTTGTCTTCAGCTTCATGGATAATGGAATGAATTTATAGTAATGCCACGATGTACCACTTTTGGTATTAAATGCTTGCATAGAGTCAGCAGTACGTCATAAAGCAACCTGTCATACTAAGATTTATAAATGACATATATTCAGTAATACCATTCAGCACAAACTGAGCTTTGTAGGGAGTTCATCACAAACCAGTTATAACAACCCGAAGAAAAAAACCTAGCAACTTAGCTCATAACCCTTTTTTGACTTCTCACATATCAAGGTGCGATTTTCATTTTCAAAATATCTGGTTATTAAAAAAAATCGAAATCCATCTACCAGTCTTGTACATATCCATGCATTGGGCTATGAACTACATCTATTGTATGAAGGCTAGTAATGTTACGTGGTTCCTCAAATCTCCGTAGTTGGAACTGGATACGAACCATAACTTGTAGTTTGGAAACCAAATGCCTAGACCAATGAGCCATAGTTCCCAGTTAGTTAAATAATGTACATAGTCCTATTTTCATTTTCGGAAACTATTGTACTCTGCGAATCGGTATTTTATGTGTAAATAAACATTGATCAAATTATGAGCAGAAGAGTAGTGACTAACAGTCTTATCATCTACTTAACGATTGTTCAGAAGGGAAACAAAGTGACCAACCTTCTGTGTGGATAGTAGATGAAAATTTAGAACTTTAGTAGAGGCAAGTCACATGCTGAGACAGGATTATAAGCTAGAAGCTAAGTTATAAGCTATTTGTAACAAGATTGAACAGCTTAAAGACAGCGTTTCTAACAGCTGGATTGAAAGATATAAGACTTGATCCTAGGTTTATTGAAGTTATCGTTATTTTCTACTGACGACTCCCGATAAGAAAGAAACCTTAAGCAACCTCAGAAACGTCTTCTTGGGTTTACCATATCTTACGATCAGTGATTTTAATTTCTTCCATCATTTTTATCCAATTGATACTCCTTCTTACAAGTATTTCAATTTTTTTCTCAGATGAACCTGTTTATACAAATGATATATTGGCTATGCTGTCACCGGAAGGTGAACGAGTATCCCTTGGCAAGGTAATCCGATTTAACACAATGTCAGACTTTGAATAATAATAATTTAAACATAACTAACATCAGTAAAAGTTGTAAGTTGCATCCTAAAAATAACTGAACAACTAGCAAGTTTTAAATGAAAGTAGATTTCACTGAAAGTCACAGTCGAACAAGATCAGAATGCAATTTAGAACAATACTCAGGCGGTCATCTGAGATATTCATATGGTTACTGACGAATCACTGCTTATTTCAGGGAACAACATTCATAACAATAGTAATGATAATAACAATAAAGAAATTACTTTTCATCACAAACTGGCGTCAGTCGAAGGACCACTGAAAACATTTGAACCCGTTAGGGACTCCTCACAAGTGTGCACGCACTGCCCTTCGAGGACCGATCCCAGGGACATTGAGATACGCGTTGAATGCTTTACCATTTAACCACTTAGGTGGGATGCAATGGTTCACATTTTCCCACTCCTTTCAATTTACGATAGAACGAGACCATCTTCAGTGGATATCCACCTCACTCTCATCTTGATTGACCATACAGGTCATGACTTCTCATCTGAACTCAAGGTAATCATCTCCAACCTGATAGTCCTGGATTTGATCCTTCAAAGGGTAGTAAGTGTAAACTTCTAGTCAGTCCTAAACCGGAAGGAAACAGCTCTCCAGTACTCCCCATGTCATTAGTAGTACTCCAACTGATGTCCGTCTTCTTTGAAAGCCACTTTCAAATCAAGAAATCACTACAAACCATGAACTAAATAGTAATAATAATAACGGCAATACAATAAGCTTGCTTTAATAAACTACCTTATTGGTGAGGCCTAAGCAAATAGACGGATTTTGGGCATATGATTAAGCGTTAGACAGTTTGAAGCCTGAGATGTACTACTTAGCAACATGACTATTTTAGAAACCACCCATGCAAACAATCAGACTTAAAATGATGAACCACAGTGTCACAACTGTCCCAGAGGATTTGGAGTGATACAGTTGCCAAGAATACAATCATGGTAACTGAAAACCTTTCACATAACCTGAAGACTGAACGTAGAGTCAGCTACTGTTTGCAGCTTTTGGTATAGTATGTTCAGGGTGACCTGTTCTCTGAGTTGAGATCTGAGTTGGCATTATTACTGTGTAACTGGTGGCGCATAAACATACTATGATGCGTTGTGATGGTCCAGTAATAAATAACCGCGGTTGATGCGCCTGTCGATCCGTTACGCCTGTAGATTTAACATGAGAAATATAAACACCCAAGTTACACAAAAAACCTTGATATCATGAAGACACTGCAGTAGTATTAGACCACAGTATTGATCAGTAAAAACTCAAGCACCAAATCATGAGATATCTACCTCGTACTCAAAAGCATAGTTCATAAAGTGAATCCGAAAACAAGGAAATAAACACCTCATAGCTGTGCCAAATATTCCACTACTGTTAACCAATCATAAAGGATCCACCAGTGCATATGATGGTGTAAAAGATGAAATATCAATCAAATTTCAAAAAAGAAACGTGAGACGCATCGTTAACAAGTGAAAGATAGGGCAGTACGAACAGAGAAGAGAGCTTGACACTGAAATAAACCAGGCTAGATTACGCTGTAATCATAATGCGTTTTGAACACTTGACAGATCATCGGAATTTGATTATACTACTTCTTAGTACAATAAAAGTAAAAGTATAAAAAATGTTGAAGCAAAGTGAAAAATGCATAGAATAGGTTTACCAGTAATCGAGTGTGTCGGTAGTTTCGTAAACAGCGTAATGATTGACAGTCAAAAAGATGAAAAGGTGTCCGCTAACTTTTACATACTGATTCTGGTTGTTACTTGAAGGTGAAATGATAACCTAGGTTGTAGGATGATTCTAACCAGTGGCTAGTAAGTTAGTGGCCCGCCAGTTTACCACCTGAACCACGAGACCCAACTGCTGACCAGGTCTAAACTCTACTTCAGTCACCGAAAGCTTCGTCTGACTGCCTTTTTGTATTTGGGGTACTTCCCTTTCAGTTCATCATAATCACCCTGACTGACTGAATTAAAGTTGGGTCTCGTACTACAGTTGGTAAAGCGGCAAGCCATTTATCCGAAAGTTGTCGGTTTGAATCCCACCGCAACCCAGGTTTTAATCTGGGCTTCAACCACCAACCAGCCGAAACACGGCTACCTCAGATAGTCTCATTAATATTTATATGCGTGTTGGAAATGCTGCTCATGTTCAAATGACTGTCTTGCTTGTCAGACAACCAATCGATGATCAACAGAGAAATGGAGGCTTCTAAAATAACCAATCCAATCACTGGGTTTTCGGAATATACTAAAAAGGCTTGAATATCACTGCCGTTGTAAAAATGATTTTTCACAAAAAATCAGTAAATAGGAGCTTCCTGAAGTCTTCATTAACGTTTGTTCAGCTATTTAAGTGCTTACTTCCGAGGAAAGACGTGTGGACAGTATATTATTTTTAGATATCTCTACCAAGAAAAATGTATGTATAGAGAGAAATGAAGTGAATAACTACACGAAATTCAGAAACACCAATTCACGAAAAAGAAAATTTAATCCCATATTCTAGCCATAGATTCCAACTCACATATTCTAAATAAGTGAAGAGGTGAAGAAACTGAAGAGGATGTTTTTGCGAAATATGCATCATGGTAATTTGGTATAGAATTAGAGCTACAGACTCAGACAAATTCTCACTATATGTAAAACTAGCAACGTACTAACGTACTAACTGAGCAGACACATAGAAAGGACGTTAAGTACGTCTGAATTGCGTATTTACTCTTCAAACACGCCATTATGGAAACTGCGAATTGAAGAGAAGTCATTAGTGATGGTCTCATTAGTGTGTATATATGAATGCAATGGTACTATCTAGCTACTTAAACCCTTACTCACGAAACTATGTTCTATAGCAGTTATAAACCTTTGCTCACTAAACGCACAACTAATCACTTTAATATTATCATCCTATCGCATTTACTAGTTGGTGAACACTATACATTAAAATTGACTACGTTTTCTGTATCGTCTGCAGAGATCTATACTGTTCTGCCTAAAACATACGCCTATTTCTCATATACACAGTAGAAGCCGTTGGAATCACGATGGAAAACCCCATCTGATATATTCAAAAGATACACATTCAACACACTTTTCCCAACCCTGATCTCTCTCGCTATATATATATATATATATATATATATATATATATATATATATATATATATATATATATATATATATAACCTCGCCTGGTTAACTAGTTTACTAGTTACTAGCCGGTTACTAGCTGGTTTAACTATCAACTTCGTACAATTACCGTATGTCTATTGTTATTATTATTATCAATGTGATCAACATTAAGTTTACTTTGACTCTAGTTTTTGAATCCCACTCTCTTCAGTCTTTTTTACCCCCTATAATGCTGACTATTATAACCATACGTCTATTTGTACCTCACACTGGTTTGGGTGCACAGGTCATAGGTGGGTTTATAACTGTATACTATGAAGTTAGAGGTATTGTAAATTCCTGTTGGCAAAGATTATCGATTCAAAGAGAGGTTTATGTGGAAGCGATTGATTTTAAAGTAGCTATCATCACGAACTGATGTTAGTCAGCTAAATATCGATAGTCAAGTAGGAGTGGACGGCTATTTCGTCCACATCCATTACTTTATGCTTGCTTTGAATGTTTAATTGGATCATTACACTCAGGATTCATGACGTAATCATTGTTACTGAGTTATTCGATTTTTCTGCCAACAGGGTTTAAAGGCTAGAGGGAATGTCGAAGACTGGTTGGGTAAGGTTGAAGAGGCGATGTTTACAAATCTTCGTAAACTGATGAAAATTGCTATCAATGACTTTGAGAGTCTGGAACGTGAAGCTTGGTTGAAAGCGCACGCTAATCAAATTGTTTTAACTGTAGAGCAATTGATGTGGTCACGTGATATCACGCTGATTTTAGAAGATCCTTTTCCAGAAGATCGGATTGACGGTTTAAAAGAATACGAAGAGAAGTGTTACGCAGTAAGTATATATTTTGAGGTCCAATAAGGTCTTTGTCTTTTTGGGCAATTTGTTTTAAACTGTACTTTTTTATATGGAGATCGAATATTTAAAAACTGTTTTTAAGAAGAAATCCCCACACTGATTTCTGTGTATCTGAAGTCATATTGCTGAAGAATGCAAAGCACTACGTTGTCTCTCCTTCTTCCTTCTCAAATCCACAAACCACTACTCATTAGGTCAATTAATTTTTGTTTAAAATGGTAACACTGTTTTAAAGTAAACCAGTGGCCTAAGCTTGATGTGTATATGACAACAGATAGATAAATCACTGTAGAACCTTACACAGAAGCTGACTAAAGTGTATGAGAAAGAAGTGAGTAAACAAATAAAAGTTAACTAAAATTTTATAAACTTCGAAGAAGACGAAAAGCATTTTCACGGAGTTCCTGCTTATTGTTAACAGTCACCAACCATATAATCCAGAGGAACCTAGGGAACCAAGCGGTTCCACATGAGCACGTGCCTCCGATTTGTAGTCAGAAACCTTATGGAGTGGTGTGGTGTATTGTGGCCTAACCACTTTTAACTCCCTTCCAACGAAATCCGATTTCAGATGACATGCATCATCGAGGTAGGCGGTAACCTGGCAAACGAAACATATGTCGAACCGCCGTCAACACAATATAAAAACAGTAAGTAGTTGAAAAAATCTATTTTTGGATATTGTTTCTGTCGCGTTCTGAAGCCAGACATAAGGGACATATATAATTACTTTCACTTCCATACCAGGAGTTGAAACTGCGATGAGGCGAAGTCATACAACAACTAAGTTGAAGCAACACGGCTATCTCAGATAGTCAAATGATAAAAGAGATATGCCTACGAGTTCTGACTACACTAGTAGTGTCTTCTTTGATCCAGGATTGTTTATTTTCTGCTAGTAATTCTCTCGCAGATAGGTATTTTTGATGAAATCAGCAAACACAGAAAGACATTCTATGTACATAAGATACTTATTCTTTCCTCGTTTCCATGATAATAACCTGTTTGTACTGTTAGCTTACCGTGTTTAATGGCTAGAAGTTAATCTTCAAGTTAGAATTTGTTTAGATGTGATTGATTTATATCTGATATCTAATTCCCTTTTAGGGATTCCTCAACTGGATATACCTGCATTCAAGCGTGATGGTGATCCTACTTGGTATTGAGCCCAGAGTTGACCTCTTCCACTCAAAAGAATCAAAATCCACTCAGCAATCTTGTACGCCCTGGGCCAGTAGGCAATAAGCCATACCTGTTGGGTGATGGCTAATGATATTACCGGTTGCTCAGACCTCAGTAGGTGAGGCTAGGTTCGAACCTGTGACCCACTGTTGAAAGTTAGCTCCTTAAACAAATGATCTGCAGCCCCCCCCCCCCCCGAACCATCCTGTAGGTGTTTTTAAACCATTGCTGGTGAGTCGCAAACTTACTGGTTTACCATCCAAAGCAAACACATCCCACTGATTGAGTACCAAGTTGGATGAAACAGCCGTCCTGTATTCTACGACTGACCACCCTTCCTTTCAAAATAGCATCAAAATTTGAGAAAACTTGAGGTAGTATATCGGTGTTCGCTGAAGGTGATCAAATACACCGGCAGGGAAATTAGAAATATTAGTAAATAAAACTGTTCTCAAGCTTAGAATTCGTCACACTAGTTCAGCCTGTAGATAAACAGCTACGTCAAACAACCTTAGCAACTACTGAAATAGCCAGCCAGGCTTCTTTATTTGACTGGGAAAGTATTTTCTTCCTAAAACAAGGAAACCTAAATCATAGTCTCGGTTATTACTAGGGTGAACTTAACGTCACCATATTTGAATAATTAGGTAATTTTAAAGGCCACTGCTGAAATAGTCAATAATTTCTGCATTCTACAAAATACTGCCTTTCCAGCCAATATATAGATATAGAATTGGCCTTCTCAGTAGTTGTTAGCGCAACCTTTAAAGTCTCTCGAATAGTATGTTGACGAGTGGCCATCAAGGCCACCCTAGGAACAGCTAAAATAGCCAATTCGATTTCTCTATTTCAACTAGAAGGAGAGTTTTTCATAAAACGCAGAACTCTAATTGGTTATCTTAGTGGTTGTTAGGGCGGCCTTTAAAGTCACTCATATTGACTACTGATCGTAAGGGCTATCCTAGTAATCAGGCTTCGATATTCGCTCTTGAAATGTAGTCTTTTCAGAAAACAAAACCTAACCTATTATTCCAGTAATTTTGGGATGACTTTTAGAGTCATAACTTTATTCACGTGCTACTTGACTTCTGACACAACAAAATGTTAATAAATTTGTCTGACATACAGCATAAAAAATGAGTGAATCTAATCTAGTGCGGACGCGCATTTCCCTGCAGGTGAACAGTTCATTAAATTTATTTCAATGATGCACTAGATAAAAGGACACAGGGCACAGTTGCAAGCAAAATCAACATTTTGATTGGTGGTTATAAAGCAATTTTGACGTGTTAGCTAGTTAGTTAACTTCTTTGTCTTGGACACTGGATTTTATCGGTGTTTATCATACACTCGATGAAGGTCGATCCTCGCAATAAACTTACGTAGTCTGAAATTTGTCTTATCTATTTTTATATTTTCAACGGCATGATGAAAATTAGCCAGCCTTCATCAGATGACCATGTCTGTCTGTCTGTCTATCTATTTTATGTAACAACCTAAGCATTGGTGACAGGTGATGAGTTTACCGGCCTACTCTCAAAACATACACAGTTGGATCAAAATGGTGCAACACAGTTATTAGCCTGTTGACGCGGCAAACTACCAGTGCGTCAACACCAGCCATTACCACCGTTTAGTTCACTAAGGCTTTATGTAGTGATGGCTGTTAAAATTGAGAATGATCTTGTGATCTTCCCATGAGATTGAGTTTTCCATACACCCTTAACCGTACTGTAAGCATAATAAATGAATAACACAAACTTAATGTTGCCGAATCAGAAAGCTAAGAGAACATCCGTCGGTTTCGGCGGAAAATCCCAAAATCGTTTTGGGATAAAGTGATTATTATTCTCCTCCTCACTATTATTATTATTATTACTATTATTATTCGTCACTTGGTTCCTAGTGGAACATACGGCTTCAGTAGCACGCCTCCATTGTACTCTCTTCTCTGCAGTCTTCAAAACATGGCTCCACCACTGCCCACAAGCTTTCATTTCTTCCTCACACCATCTCCTCCATGTCACCCTCGCCTCAGACGCCCAACTCGTTGTTTTTCCCTTCGGATTCCACTCGAGGACCTGGCCAGGTGCGTGATCTCCACATACACTCTTCTCAGTGTATATCCAATGCAATCCAATCCATCTCCGCTTTCTTCTGCATATTTGTTGGGTGATGGGTTCTTGGTTGCTTCTTTCCCAGCCAGCAGCCAGCCAGCCAGCCAGCCAGCCAGCCAGCCAGCCAGCCAGCCAGCCAGCCAGCCAGCCAGCCAGCCAGCCAGCCAGCCAGCCAGCCAGCCAGCCAGCCAGCCAGCCAGCCAGCCAGCCAGCCAGCCAGCCAGCCAGCCAGCCAGCCAGCCAGCCAGCCAGCCAGCCAGCCAGCCAGCAGCCAGCCAACTACAGTTCCTTCTTGCTTATTCTTATTATTCTGGCCACCTGATCCTCACTATCGAGTGAGCGAAGGCAGCAGCTGTTGATGAATTTCTGTAGTTTGTTGCAAATGCTTTTCATGATGCCCCAAGTCTCTCAACCATCACATAGAAGCATTGTCTTACTTGACTGATTGGTGTTGAAAATCCTGATCATGTTCACGATTTATGCTGAGTGCAGTGCAGTGCAGTACAGTGCAGTGCAGTGCAGTATAGTATAGTAGATCTCCTCACTGGTTTCAGACAAATGCAGGAAGGCATGTCTTGCTGTCCTTCCGAGCCTGGCTGGCTTTGATGTCCTCATCTGTGTCTGTGCCTGTGCCTGTGCCTGTGTAGCCGCCGCCACCGCCACCGCCTGTAGTTGAAACGATGCTGCCTGGGTAGGTGAAAGAGACTACTTCCTCTAGGTTTCTCCCGTTGATGGTGATTGGTGCTTGTTATCGTTGTTGTTGTGTTGGTTAGTTATCTTCATCACCTCTGTCTTCTCTACATTCACCGCCTCAACTCGCCTCTTCTACCAACTTGTTGGTTTTTGCCTGTAGATCTTCGAGTTTGTGCAACAAGACACTAGACATAAATCATCATCGGTGGCGAAATCCAAATCTTCTTCTGAGGTCTTTTCATCCTCCCGCCAGCCAGCCAGTGTATGCCCATCTTCTCACAGTTCCTCTCAGTTATTGCATGCTCCAGTCCAGTCCAGTCAACCACAATCAGAAAAATCATGGGTGATAGTAGGAGGCAGCCTTGTCTTACTCATGTCTTCACTTGAAAGGCGTCGCTGGGCTTTCCATTGTCAATCACTCGGCATGTAGCATCATATTGGAAATAGCTGTTGAATGAGGCTGATAAAGGTTCGTGACACTGAAAGCGTAGTGTTGAAGCAGTAGCCTGCCAAATTACTTCTCTGTCGACGCTGTCGAAAACCTTTTCAAAGTCGATGAGGTTGAGGTAGAGAGTTGAGTTGAGTGCCATTCTACGCACTGTTCTATGATGATGCGTAGCATAGCGTGACGTTGTGTTGCGTTGCAATTTGATCCGCACATGATTTGTTCTTCCTGAATCCAACCAGCCAGCCAGCCTGTTCCGGTGGTGATTTAGATTGCAGAGCACTTTAATCTCATCATGATGGTGCGTCCTAGTATTTTGCTTGCTTGGGGTGGGTGGAGCATGATTCCACTCCAGTTCTTGCAAACACTTAGGTCTCCCTTGTTTGGGAGTTTACTAAGGTAGCACTTCTTCCAACCAGTCGCCAGGTTCCTTTCCTTGCTTCCAAACATTCTGCAGTAGTGGTGTGAGCATGTCCGCTATTGTCTCTGCGTCAGTTTTCAGTGCTTCTGGCGGAATTCCATTTGGTCATGCTGCTTTCCCGGACTTCAGTGACTTTATAGTGTTGAGGACTCCACTCCTGCTTTTGTCGAATGCTTGGTGTTCACTGATAGTTCTGTGGCTGGACTTCTGCTGGTATTTCTCGACCAGTTGAAGGTGGTGGCGGTGTTCGATTCAAGAGTTTTCTGATCTTGATGAAGCAGAAGATGAACAAGTGCAGTGCAGTGCAGTGCAGTGCAAGGATGAAAAAGAAAAGAGGAACTGAACACAACCTATAAAACACTACACTGGACAAAGAAGTGAAGAAGAGTGAGCGCAAAGACAAAAGACACCTCTACGACACACTCGCAAGTGAAGCAGAACACACCACAGGTAAGATAGACCCGACAATTTTATATCAAACAACCACGCTACTATCTGGGAAGAGATCAACTCAGATGAAATCAATGAGCGATGGTGAAGGAAACTTGGTTATCAAAGAGGAGAAACAAAGGGAACGATGCACTTACCACTTCAGAGAACTCTGATATAATGGAGAATATTTGTAGCTCAGGTGGATGGTCATGGTTGTATTGTGTTCTTTGAGCTCATAGAACACAATACAACCATGACCATCCACCTGAGCTACAAATATTCTCCATTATATCAGAGTTCTCTGAAGTGGTAAGTGCATCGTTCCCTTTGTTTCTCCTCTTTGATAACCAAGTTTCCTTCACCATCGCTCATTGATTTCATCTGAGTTGATCTCTTCCCAGATAGTAGCGTGGTTGTTTGATATAAAATTGTCGGGTCTATCTTACCTGTGGTGTGTTCTGCTTCACTTGCGAGTGTGTCGTAGAGGTGTCTTTTGTCTTTGCGCTCACTCTTCTTCACTTCTTTGTCCAGTGTAGTGTTTTTATAGGTTGTGTTTAGTTCCTCTTTTCTTTTTCATCCTTGCACTGCACTGCACTGCACTGCACTTGTTCATCTTCTGCTTCACCATCTTCCCCTCACACCTCCATCAGCTTCAGTGTATCCGTGGAGATCCATTCATTATCTTTCCTCTTCCTCCTTGCTAACACGGTTATGCTGTTTTCCTTCCACATCTCTTCCCGAAGTTCAGTGTTCTTCCACGCCCGATCCTTCAGGGATATCTCTCAATGTCTCCCATTTTGTTTTTATGGCTGGCTGACGTGAAGATATCTATCCTTTTTAGTTTTGTCCTTCTGTTCAGTTTCTGTTCTGAGTGTTGAACTTGAACAGTGTGTGGTCTATCATCAGCAGCTTCTTTGAAGGCTTTCAACCTGATTTTGAGGGTGGGTTCCTTGCACTAGATAGATAGTGAGTAGTGTGAATCTACATCTGCTCCCCTTCTCGATCTGATCTTGTGTCCAGTAGGCTGACTGTGTCTCCACTTTCTTCACATTGAGATGAAGTCGATCTGATTTTCAGTGTATTGTGTCCTGGTGTCTGATGAAATCAAGTCCATGTCGCTGCCTTGTGAATATCCTTGTGTGTGTGTGTGTGTGTGTGTGTGTGTGTGTGTGTGTGTGTGTGTGTGTGTGTGTGTGTGTGTGTTAGTACACACTGCCTGACTCCAATGACCAAATCGTTGAATGTGCAGAAGTCTGCAAATAGTTCTCCATTCTCATTCATCATTTCACCGAGTGCTTCTCGACGCATGGTTGGTTCCCTTCCTGTGTTGTCCGATCCCAGTTTGGCATTCCTGTCACCCCACCCATTAGAATGAATTTTGATGTCGCCAACTGCGTTGTCATCTTGTCCAGAACTGATTGTAGTTGTCATTAGAATTCCTCCTTCTTCTCTTCATCTGTATTATTTGTAGATGTGTAGAGTAGCATTGTATGATTGTGACTTTCCTTCCTTTTGAGTTGAACCTTGTTGTCATGATCCTGATGCTGCAGGAGGAGTCTGGTTCCCTCTGCATAGGAGAGAGAGAGAGAGAGGGAGAGAGCCTTCGATGCTCTTCAAGGGGCATCATGATAGGCATTGAAAACTCAGTGCGCTTGTGGTTGTCGTCTGGGTGACAATATCGGAGTAGATTATTGACTCCTCTCCTGTTGACAGTTTGGAGAGTCGACTTCCATTCCATCTGCTTATCCTTCCCAGCTTCCTAGCACTTCTATTCTATGCCATACCTTCTCATCTCTTTTGCAATCTGGACAGCTTTGCTAGGTTCATCATGGTGTGGACATTCCATGTCAGCATGTTTAATTTCGCTTTCATCGAGAGAAGAGGAGACATATCGGCCGATTGGCTTTCCGAAGACTTCACCAACTGGTGTCATTTCGTCTCTCCGATTCTGGAGATGAATAATTTTGTTTTTATTGTTTATATTTGTTTGTGCTTTGAAGTTTGTTTAGTGGTTGTATTGGTTTTGTGGGTTAGAGTTGTTAGCCGTATGCCCAAGCTTCCCTCTTTATCCTGGGTTGGGACCGGCTGGTGACTATTGTACTAGTTAACCAAGCGAGGTTGTTATTATTATCATATTAATGTTTTTTTAAAAAATACCTAGTAAACCAATATTCTAACAAAGATCAATGAAACGATACAGAATTTAGATGGATTACTGTGTGAAAGCAGGAAGTAGGAGGTGTGCTTTTTTCCGAAAATTGCAGCTATTAAAGGAAGAGTTGTTAGTATGATAATCCAGTGGATAAGCATTCATGTCAGTGTCACCTATAGTCTAGTGTAAATTCTCAACCTGCTGCTGATTACGACATCGTTTAGTAGTTCGGGCTATGTCTATTACTCAATTTATTTAGTTTAGGGTTAGTGGAAACAGAGTGTCTCAACTGTGGGAAAGATAAACTTACAATAAATTTTAATGAATTGGAGCGGTTTTTACATTCATTCACTTTTAGCGACAATATTCTCATGTAGGAAAACCGAAATGCGACATAGTTGCAATCATTATGATTGGGCCATCGTCACCTAACACTTATGAAACAGTGACGTATACTTTCACTATCTGTCTAGTAGAGGTCATGAGTTGAACCTTTGATGTCACAGCTTGCGCATTTCCGTCGTTTATTGGACCGAATTGATCGGCCGCTATTGGCATATGGGCTGCTGTGCGGATGCCTCGATATTGCCTATATTTTCAAATTTGATAATAATGAAGGATAGTAGCGAGCAGTGGAACCCACGACTCATATTTCGTTCTATTTGCGACTTGTGAGCTAGATACGCCTGCGCTTTCTGGATTCCACTGCTAGCCACTGTCCATCATTAATGTTATGAGTTGAAACCAACTAGTTTTAAACTACTTCATTTCCTTAGATGTACTAAATAAAACCACTTAAGCGCAGGAAAAAAAATAATCCATGGTAATTTCAGGTTAAAAAATTAACTGAACCATTAAAAATGAAATGTCAATCTATCCTCATCCTTTGTACCTGATTCCTGTCGTTTATTCATCTCTTTTTAACCACAGGGATTGAATAAACTTGCAGCCTTAGTACGCAGTGAACTGCCGAAATTGTTTCGTGCCCTTTTATGCTCACTAATAACAATTGATGTGCATGCGCGTGATATGGTAACAGAATTAGTCAACAGTAAAGTGGATTCATTGAGCAATTTCGATTGGCAACGTCAGTGAGATATTACTGGGATTTGGATTTAGATACATGTGTTGTGAAAATGGCGAATGCATGTTATATTTATGGTTATGAATACTTGGGCGCTTCTCCACGTCTAGTGATTACTCCATTGACGGACAGGTGAGTTGAAGAATGTTAAGTTAAAAATATACTATAACGCTACTGTTAAAAGTCATGAACCATTAGACGTCCATCAAAGCAGCTTAATTTTATTAGTTTAATTTGGTACTATAGTTTTGCTTCAATGGTTTGTAATGGTGTGCATGTTGATATCACATTTGTTGCGAATACTACCAAGTTAAGGAAGACGATGGATGATATGTAGTCGTGATTTAATCTTCCGGGTACCCGAATTTCGCTTACTGGATAACGCGTTCAAACTCACTTTGGAGGCTTGGATGTTGTTAACCAAAGAATTTCAATAGCTCTTACACAATAAGTGAGGCTGTTTTGTCATGTACATAACTTTGAACAAGATATACGAAACTGAAGTCTATGGAATACGTTGCACTGAAAGTGAGAACAGATGTTGAGCAATGACAGAGTTGTGATCTTTCATATACTGTGAAAAAGAAGCCGTTAGAAACACAGTTGGAGGGATGTTTTTTTAGTGAAGTTATGTATTTCTAAACAGGTTTCATCACTGACTAGAGTACAAACTTTGTGATGCTATTTAAATGTCTTTAGACTTGCCAAAATGCCTTTATCCAAGCAGAAGAGTTGGTTATGATTAACGAAAATAGGACAAGTAATTCGGTAACTTGTTGCGATTTATCTGAATACGCCTGGCATACAGTTACTGAAATATGCCTTAACTCTAATTGAAATCTTAACCTGCTTTCATAAACAGTGTCTTTTAATACTCAGTGGTTTAGAAGTTCCTACTAAGATTAGAAACGACACCAAGTCACATTTTTTACCCTCCATATCAAAACTCTACTCCCTATAAACTAATATATAGATCCTATTTATCAGCATCAACCTCTCATTGGAATTTACATTATTCTACATAAGTCAAGCAAAGATAAGTATCTCCGCTTGATGTCGGTTCATGATGAAAGCCACTTTGAAAATAGAAGATACAGATTATTTCCTGATGAAAGTCGACGAAACATGTCTTGCTTCTCATTGATCACTTGAAGGATGATACACAGTCATTCGAAGATAAAAACTGACTCACCTCTCATGTAAATTTTTAAAGGTTAACAGTTTTCTTCTCATCATTGAAAGATGAAATCGTCGCTGGTGTCATCTAAACACTCACTAACAAGAAACATCTAATACTGGACATAATTGTGAACTGATTCAACACTGTGCAATAACACAATCAGAGTTCTTCAAGGGTAAATAAATTCCAGCCAGTACCAGAAACTGAGTTGTACTAGTGGTAAAATGTCGAGCTGGTAAAACTGAAGTCTCAGCTTCCTTAGAGTGATTATTCAGAATCGAATGAGTTATTAGCTGATTTTTAAACAGTTAAGGGCAGAGAAAGTTCTCGCTATCCCCCTTATGCGGGGCAGAAAATGAACTTCTTCCCTTTTATCAAACAATTAGCAACTCCAATAATCAGAGGGTGCATTTTATTGCTGAACCTCTAACCATTCATGATTCCCTCGACTTCGGTAAATACAGATACTTGAAAATACGCTCAAAATAAACAAACTGTCTTGACTGATCATAGACAACTTGACTCCATTCATTGACTTGAAAGTAGGACTGATGGCTCAAGGTTACCTGAGTTATTCTAAGGTGGCATAATTCTCCAAGTCCAAGTGTAGAATTTTGTGTAGAAGATAGTGGTTAGATTTGGTTATCAAGTTACGCCCATTATATAGTAAGCCATTCACTCCTTATCACGATGAGTCCTAAGGACACCGAGTCCACCAAATGGTGATACACCTAGGTTCAATCTCCCTGAGTCTTTCGTAGTTCTACGTCAGGTTTACTGAAGATAATAAACCAAATACGGTAGTAATATTTCACGAAAATTCCTTTACCTGAACATAGTCTTGGTAGATGATGCTGACAATATTCCAAGGTCTTATGGACTCCTTCACTGAAAACGTTAGCATTGGCTTTAAAAGGTAGGCATACACATAAACGTGACTTACAAGTACATCACTTCACCGTGTCACATTTCACAGCAACATTCAATAAACAAATGGATCAAAAAAGAGTTGATTTTAAAATAGACAAAAGTGTATCAGAGGAGAGAGGATAAATAAGTCAAAGCCAATGAAAATATGTTCAAGACTTCGAAGATGATAAAGAGTATTTCTATCTGTATCATCGTGATCCACTTCGAGTCATGTCATCAACTACTGATTCTTATTATTTCGGAGACTCCAACCAGCCAGGTAGCGTTTACTTCCCTACACAATTTAAAACAACAGATAGAGACTTCAAAATCTGGTGTCATTTCTTGGTGTATCCACCTTTAAGTTACCTTCAATCTAATTCTGCTTCAACTAACATGGTGTACCGAAATAGCCGGCAGTTTTGATGGGTAGTTGAATATCACATATCACATATCATATCATATATCTCATATCACATATCATATATCATATCACATTGATATGATTATGAGCAATAATTTATGCTCGAAACGTAATCAAGTAAATAATGCTGTATCACTGTGCGCTTTATATCAAATAAACAAATCTAATATGGAATTACATTCTACCACAGTGCCCAAGTTTTTTCACTTATATTAAATGAATATCTCGCCGGTAACATAGGTTTGTTCATTATGAGATAATCTCCTATTATCGTGATTGTTCTATTCTTCATCCCTTTCTTTGATTCTATAAAAACCAGATTATTGTTTGTAAGCATTTTATCTCAGTTCCCTTCATAACTGCTTTGTTAATGAATATATTTCTTTTTCACATAGATGTTATTTATGCTTGATGGGGGCGTTACAGTTGGATTTAGGCGGTGCACCAGCCGGTCCAGCTGGTACTGGTAAAACAGAAACAACAAAAGATTTATCTAAATCAGTTGCAAAACAATGCGTTGTCTTCAATTGTTCTGATGGTCTCGACTACAAAATGATGGGACGCTTTTTCTCCGGTCTGGCACAATCCGGTGCATGGTGTTGTTTTGATGATTCAATCGGATTGATATTGAAGTCTTGTCTGTCATTGCTCAACAGCTGATCACTATTAGAAATGCTAAAGCTGCACGTGTAAGTATCTTTGATTGCCTCATTTTAGTGATCTTTATTAATGAATTGTTATCCGATTATTGGCTATAATATCGCTTTCTGTTGATTGAACAGATGTTTTGTCATATAAAATATAGAAGTCAAAAAGACTAAATGTACTAAATGCTTTGTATTTCTCGAAAACTCGACCTAAACATGCCAGAAAATTGAGTATTTTGTAAAAATTCATCATTTCGACAAATTTAAACTTCTGTCAATTCTAAAACTAGCTGTATAAACTCGTTTCCTGAATAGTTTACGAACAGTATCACCTAATAAGAACTGTTATATATACACACATGAATTTTCCATCTGATGATCATTAGTTTACAGCAACAATAAATGCATATAGTTCCTTCATGCTTTGCCTTGCTCTTACTTGATGCTGGCTGAGTCAGGAACTACATTAAAGCGTTTGGGGATCGTTTTCGTTTGTAAATACATCACTGTCTCGAATCTAAATCATTCCAATTAGCCAAACTGCCGGCCTTACAGGAAGGGTAACATGTATGTTTTCTGTATAGAAAATGGTGAATGGATAATTAAGCAAATCTGTTAAAAAAAATATTAGGTATACAAAAACTTTCAGTTTTATGAAAATAATTTAACTAAAATTATTACAATCAAACTTGACTGTTACCACACTAAAAAATCTTTCCAGCAACCAAATGGTCACTAAACTTCACAATCAGGTGAATCTCTCTATTGCCTTTTCTACAAGTCCTTATCAGTATATCACTGAGTTCTACTGTTTCTAAAATACCGCTTAAAAATTGCGCACCATGAGAATTCTTTCATAATATGTGAAAAAACATTTCTTGAGAAAAAAATAAGTGGAAGCAATTAGAAGTTTCACTGGGTTGCACTGAACAGATATTAACCAAATATCATAAAATAAACTGGTTTCTAAGTGATTCACTTGCATGAAATTTTTTGTCCAGAAAATGACAGTGACTCTTACTTTAGTAGGTGCTAGCTGGTTGGAAGCGATCAGCAGGAAGTTTTGCCCAACCTCCTAGGTGTCGTGCTTGTTGACATTCGTCAGCATGGTGTGTTTGCAGCCCCAAGGAGACTGACATCCCCTCAGAGATTCAAAACCACATCCTGTAGTGTTTCAGTCAGTGATGCCACTGCTGAACTATTCTAGCGGTCATTTATCTCCTGTTGGACTGGATTAGATACACTAACATATCGCTTGAGGAAAACAAGTCTCATTTTGTCTAATAGTGGGTACTAGCTGAATCTTCTGTTTCTGCTCAGGGCTCTATGGCAACTGCCTCCAACCAACTAACATCCATCAGAGTGCAGAATGATTGATTTAACGCAGCCGATACTTAGGATAGAACAATGTGAAACTGATTGATCTCCAGCGATTAATCAATATGACAAAGACTTGCCTTCTACAAATTGAAAGTTGGGCAGTTTACTTCTTCATTGACTGAACATACTTGTCTGTAACTGTTTTTCTCATCTTAACTGGCAGTTTAAATTGTTGTCATTTTAAAATCTATTCTAGTTTCATGTACATCTTCAAATTTTTTATTCTACTTAATGTCCATCAGTTACAATTTTACATCATTTTTTATTTCAACATACTGTCTTCTCATTTTTAGCATCTTTTATTCCTTTCTTTCAATTAGCTATCCGAGTTACTGTAAAATGATTTTTTCTGATGTTATGAGAATTTCACTCCAGAAAGTAGGAAAGTTAGGTTGAGCTTCGCTTTCTCCGGTTTAACTTCTAACATGTAACATTGTAGATGTGATCGACAGACTTTGGTGAGCACTTAGCATGTGGGATTTGAGAATTATATCGATTGCCATCAGCCAAACTATATTTGTATGTAGTCCTGTCCTATAGCAGACCATTCATGACTCCAATAGGTAAGTGGTAGATTGCTTAACTCGTGCACTCGGTGTAAAATGAGTAGCTTTGTCAACGTTGAAGATAAGCTTTTATAATGAGTACACGAAAGTTCGAAACTAAAGTCGAAAAAACTCTCCTGCCGATTTATAATTAGAATTTAATAATAATACACAAAATATTGCCACTCTTCGGGTTTATGTAACCACTCTGTGGGTGAAGGATAATATCGATGAAAGCAGTTGATGAAAATTCTTATCCATTCACTTGAAAAATGTACAACTTATAAGATGATATTTCTGTGCATTCCTGTAACCAAACAATCACACATTTAAAGGCGATATTCAGTGTTTGCAACCTGGTTAGCCTCTGAATTACTGATAAATTTGTAGTTAATATTCTGAATTCAAATCATAGCACATGTGTGATATTAAACGGAATAATTAGTTGTGTTGTGTTAAAGATTAAATTACTGTCTGCCAACTTACAGCACTTGTTACACAAATAGTATACTCGAAAACCTACTTAATGATTAGATTAAGTGTTCAAGAGTCTGCTCTATTCTGCTGTACGATTGTGAATCATACCCTTTGAAAGCAGATTCTACAACAAGTTTACATATGTTTTACAACTTTCCTCCTTCAAAGCGTTGCTACTAGTGTAGTGTGACTACTGAAGGAGTATTATTGGTGTTGGGTAGCGAATAAACGTACAAAGTAGATAAATCAGTTGATTAAGTTGTTGATTCCAATCGAATAAGGTGATATTCATGTGTCACGTATACCTAACCCTGAAGTACCTTGCTAGCTGGAGAATGAATAGGGTCATGAAAGCCTCAAAGTGATCATACGAAATGACGGGATTAAACCTTGAGGTCTTTGATTATCCATCTGATTTCTGCACAAAAAATAAGACTTTCTGATCGGCTTCTATGAGCAAATTGAAACCCATTGCTGTTGTTAAAGCAAGTCTTTGTGATGCAGTGACGCTGACTGTCTTTAATTTTCCGCTCAACATTCTCCTATTTTACCTTTGTTACCGCTCATCTTGTTTACCTCTCCATCTAGTGTGACTATGCGAATTATGCCGATTTGAAACTGGTATATTGTTGTAATGGATTTTAAGGTATTGCTGTTTATCTGATGCGTTTAGAAAATATCACCCAGTAACATTGGATCTAGCCATCCACATACGTATGTGTCACCTTTGACTCCTGAGGATTCTGAGTTTGATCTCAACAGAACGGTTGGGAGAAAAAAGGAAACGCCTTGATAATATTAAGGTTTAACACCTTATAAATTATTCAGTTTGTTCCTTGAGACTTATTTGCAATCTACAGTCTACCTGTCTTTTCAGTTTTGTTTGAGTTTTTGTTCGTTTATTTATTTTAACTGTGTAGGTGACACGATTTATGTTTGAAGGTCGTGAGATCAAATTAGTACCAACCTGTGCTGCTTTCATTACAATGAATCCAGGCTATGCAGGGCGTACAGAATTACCAGATAATCTGAAATCTCTATTTCGTCCAATATCAATGATGGTTCCAGATTACCGTGAGTTGAATTTTTACTAGAACAACAAACCAAACTTTGGTCTACATGAAAACAACAAAAAATATTTACATTCTATTTGTTTTCACTTAGATTTGTCTTTCTAATTTTCGAGGCCACTGGTATTCAATGATGGGGTACTTTAAAAGCTCAGAGAAATGATTTCGATTGTGTTACATCCTCTGAACTGAATGGCTTGACAGCCAAAGTCAATAAACGGGTTATCCTAGCATACCTACAGATGATCGAGACGAATCACTCACATCGTTTGTAATCAGTGTAGGTTAACAACCTACGAAGTTTATCTAAGGTATGTTATAACTACCAAATGATGCCGCATTGAAGAAAGATAAAGTAAATGCCAGTTAGGAAATCATCTGTGCTCGTTACAACATGGGGCATTGTGGTCGTTTACTTCGTTATCATCAGCACTGAGATAAAATTAACTGTTGACCGTTATGAGATATCATCTCATATATCGCTGTGGATATGAATAAGATTATATGCTATTGCTTACAATTTTCGGTCGTTGATTTGACCGAATTGGTTGGTCTCTATTGGCATGTGGGCTCCTGTGCAGATACCTCGCCGCACAAGGAGTGGCTATCATGACTCAGTGGTCTAATGGATAGTGCTCTGGAGTTTAAACCTCTCGGTCCTAGGTTTGAGTCTTAGTAGGAACAACAACACTCTCTGAAGGTGGACACAACCGGCTAACGAGCCCTAAATAAGATGAAATGCGCGTCCTGGATCTCAATGCTAGCCACCATCCATCATTACTATGAATAAATTTGTCAAAATGTTGTATATATATATATATATATATATATATATATATATATATATATATATATATATATATATATATATATATATACCCAGTGAATTGCTTCATGCTTAAAAAACGTAAACAGCTATGAGTTCAGACGTCATTTACGCTGAGAGAAATTGTCAGTCACCCCACTACCACATTAGTCTTGGCAATTTCTGATAGCTAATCCCCTTTCAAATTTATTGTTCATGATTTTGTCTAGAAGTTATTGTTCATCCATAATTTAAGAATTTTTCAAGGTTAATGCTACCGCTGCATACATCCGCATTCGTCATCCGGTAACACCTAATGTCATATTGTGCAATAGAGCTCTAAGCTACCAACTGTCAACAGAAGGAATACTAAATCCAGTAGGGTAGCAAAATTAACAATTAAAGGTGAAATATTTAACTGAATTAGGAAAAACTAATGTCATTTGTTATAAGTATATCGATTAGTAACCCTTTTGACCTGTTTTGAGTGCTTATCAATAATTGTCAACTTGGCACGGCTGCTTTCTAGAAGAAACTCATTTTCCGGTGGAAACTGTGATCCAGATAACTCACTTTTGAAGTTAAGGACTTTCCTATTAAAACGTTCAAGAGAAGTAGCAGAATATTACTAGTTTAGACTGATTAATGAAGATTTTTGATGGGGTTGTGTTCATGAACTGGATTGTTTAGTCGTGGAGCTTTCATTGTCATCCTAGACAACATCATGAGCACTAACTTCAGAAAGAAGTGAACAAACTTTACAAACAGACAAAGGGAACACCAGTGAGATCGCCAATATCAGGACTCATCGCAGAAACAGTAATGCAGAGATTGGAAACTGTTGGATTGCAGTTGATCAAACCAAGACTTTAGATCCGACATTTAGATGATATGTTTGTCATTATTAAAAGAAACGAGTTTAAAAACGCTTATAAATTAATCAACAACATTTTCAACGACATTGAAATCACAATTGAAGAGGAATCAAACAACAAACTAGCATTTCTAAATGTTCTGATCACTAGAACGGATTCGAGGGAACTGGAAACTGAAGAATGCAGAAAACCAACTCATATGGATAAAATCCTCAACTACAATAGCAACAATCTAACAGTACAAAAAATCACTTGTTTAAAAACCATGTTCAAAAAAGCGAAGACACAATGTAGGACATCAACATTGTCGAGAAGAGAAAAAAGCTGTCTGATCACCGTTTTCCAGAAGAACAGCTATGCACGTAACCTCATCAAAAGATGTTTACATAATTCATCGTCAACCAAGAAGTCAATCTCGGAAACCAACAAATGGGTTGTTGCACTCGACATGAAGAACGTCTCTGAGATGACTGAGATTACTGAAGCCTTTTGGAATCCCTGTATTTCACAAGACTACAAAATCTCTACACTTTCCAACATACAAGCCGAAAGATTCCATAGCAAAGGAAGACAAATCAAACATTATCTACAACATAAACTGTAGAAACTATGAAAAAGACTACATCGAACAGGGTGGTTGTCTCCTTCGAATCCGCCTACATAAACATCAGCTAGTAGTGAAGTGTCATGACAAATCTTCGATCATATCAATGCCTACGAACAAGTGTGGACATGAATTTGACTGGAAAAATGTGAAAATCCTGGATAGAGGAAATACGAAGAATGCCAGAGAATTTTTATAAGCTTGGTATTCAGGTGAATCAGTAATCAACAGACATGATGACATTGACCCGATCTATCAAGCAATAATAAACAACAGGAGGGTCAAATGTCAGTTTATCAGGACAACCAATCAACATGAATGTGGAGACGATGACGTGACCTTGGTGGAAACAACAAGTAATCAGACACATGTGCATGAGGACAAGCTACTGAATAAATTGTAGAGAAAACCTTATTACTCAATGTTTTCTGAAGTTTTGTGCTTATGATTCTGTCAAGAATGACAATGAAAGCTTCATGATTAAACCATCCAACTCAGAGAACACAGCATCACCAAAATTATCCTCCTGGCCTACAAGTATTCTACATTATTTGAAAACTAATGGAGACTTGTTGAGAAATCCTAATTTGTAGGGACAATCATCCCACCTATTAAGACGATCACCTACTTATGATGTTGTATGGTAATTTCATGGCATCTCAAACTGATAAGTTTGAAAGTGTGGGCAGTTCAGCTGTTCATCGAGGTTTTAGATAATTCAAAAGTAACAAAGAACCTGTATTGCAAGGAAATGCCTTAATTGAATTATAGGCTTACCCATCTTTCTAGTTGTATTCAAAACAGAGTATGAGAGCTGGAAAATACTTCTGTCATTCACACTGTTATATATCATGCAGTGCTGGCACAATAATGCGGAGTAAAATGAAAAAAACTAGGAAGATTTTGATGAAAACGAAGTCACACAAGAAACTCGTGCATCAATGCAACCTTAAAATTACGTTTTACACTATTGAACTTGATATAGTAACTTTGATCTGATAATTCTAAAACTCTATGGAAATGTTTATTTAAACGGAAGGATAAATCATTCAACAAAAATTGTCTTCTTTGTTTTTTCTCCCATATAGGTCTTATTGCTGAAGTGATCCTTTATTCTGAAGGTTTCGAATCCTCGAAAACGTTGGCCTTAAAGATGACACAAATGTACAAGTTGTGCAGTGAACAACTGTCTCAACAAGATCATTATGATTTTGGAATGAGAGCATTGAAATCAGTGCTGGTTATGGCAGGTTCATTGAAACGTGAAAATCCTGATAAACCAGAGGATGTTGTTCTTATACGAGCTTTACGAGATAGTAATTTACCCAAGTTTCTCAAACAAGACGCTGTTTTATTTACTGTAAGTTAACTTAATGAACATATGGTTACAACTTTTCCGTGAAAATACACTTTAAATTGCATCGAGAATTTAAGTTCGGTAGATGAATTTGTCGCTGAATGGCAGATTTCCTACAATATTTCCTATTACCCAGTTCTTGTCAAGTCTAAGTTATAGATGTTAGTTGTTTGAAGGAAGGTGCTAAGATATCTTCATTTTAATTGCCTACCCACCTATAAAAGGACGGGTATACTGCACTGCAATTCATCGTATTCTGTTACGTAGCTGCTAGACACAGATGTTGATGGTAGAAGATATGAAACGGATACAAGTCTCTGATCATAGGTGTCTTCGTACCGATGCTCGCGTTTGGTGTAATCACCTTGTGAATAATATTGAAGTTGTGATCTTTCATCGCTTGAAGTAGCCTGGACATGTCTTGCGCACACCCAGCCACCTCCTATGTGCATTGAAAAACTGCTCACAGTCACCTAATTCACATCTCCGCATTATACAACATCTATCGTGTCAGGGATAATGATACTTACTACCTGGCTGCTCATACTTCGATAGGTTGAGCGGGACTCGAACCCGCGACCCACTGGTTGAAAGTCATCTACACAAACCAATGTGCGAACTCTCCAAGTAATGCTTGCAAAGGTTGTATTAGGTTGGGAGACAGTTCAGGGGAACCAGACCGAGACTTGACACCAGTCCATGAAGTCTTTGACTATTGGTATGAGCCGTGTATGTAGGTGTAGACTAACCGGCTGGGTTCCTGAGATGACAGGAATCAGTGGTTGGGGATTCTTGGTGATATGAATGAAAACTGGTCATAATGGTGCAGATATATTCACTGTTTAGCGTCTTCTAAAATTTGAATGTTTTGATTAACCTCAATTTTTAAATTTTCTCTCACTCCATTCACCTTTTTCTACTTTGATGTCAATCTTTTTCTACCCGCTAGTTCATTGTATCTTGCTATGAAGTTTGGCAACTTGAGCCGATGAACTTGTGTGCGAGGTTCTACATTGATTTTGTCTGTTTGTCTGATCCATTTATTAGCTAGTTCGTACATAGATCGGTCCTTTATTACAAGAGGCTGGATGTAGATAAAATGTACCCTTACTGACTTAAGCTCCAAATGAATGCATGGGAAACTAGGAGATCCTGGGTTTTATAAGAGAGAGCTTTTGATTGTATTCTAGGCATCACCTTTAGTTGAATTCGACAAGTGATAGAGTGAATGATACTCCCCGTGAGTCATTACATGGATCCCTTTTGATTAGTTGATTAGTTGATATAGTTACAAATAAAGGTTATACACCGGTGACTGACCATTACTCTCGTTCTCAGCAATTAGTGATAATAACTATTAGTCGTTTGATTTCTTGTAGAGAAGAATGTAAGTTTTAAGTCTGAAACCGAGAGTAATAATCACCTTAACACGTCAGTCAATCGATTGTTTCATCTTACTAGGTTACACATGTGAAGAAAGAAAATCTATATTTCTATCTAATCATAAGCCCAAAGGAAATTTGCCAGATGCATTCTAATTGACTCTTCATCTATTCATCCTAGTCAACCAATACACTAACACCAACAGTATTGAAACTGACTCCCAACTAAGGAGATTTTATCAGTTACGTAGTATCATTGGACCTCATACAACAAGTATGGTTAATTGTCTACTTTAAAAATGTAAAGATCAATACTGAGTTGGTATTCGATAATGAAATATCAGAAGGTAAACATTTTACTGGGATATGTATATCCTCAGCTGCAGACATTCACCACTATTTCAGGTACTCATTGGAGAAATCCATTTTTAACCTCAGGCAGACAAATAGATGTTTAACTTTAATTATACTGGATTCTTGTAGTGCTGATTTAGCTAGTCAGTGTCAAAATAGTGCTTGGTTTAACTAGGTAGTGGTTCAGACTATCACACTTCATATCATCTCATTATGGTACGAGTCAACAAAACGAACGACAAAGAAATGGGAATAAATTAATAAGAAGCTGCGGGCAGTCATAAGGTAAAAAGAGGTTAAAAAATAAACGAATATGGTATAGCGATTAAGACAATGATAGGGCGTGTATAAATGTGCATGTCTGCAATTCATACTGAGCCAAACCATCCACAGTCTTCAACCGTCGATTTCGATTGCTTTTCAAACCCTACTCTGTAAGTTAACAATCACCTTCAGGACTCAGATCACCAATCAGGATTGCACTGCTTGTTTCCATGGTTCAGTCTGACCACTCTTAGTATTTTACACTCTTACTCTCCTTTAATTAACACAACATCTTGGAGCAAACAACGGCTCGGAATGTGTAAACGCATTTTCCAGTCACTTCAGTCTATCAAAGATTATAAGACTACTCCCTAACTAACCTCTTTTGGTTAAGATTTCACAATCAACCTTTAGATGCTCGACAGGCTTGACATTCATGTCCTTTATCAACCATTTTTGTTGATGGTGTTGTCTGTCGAGTTAACAAAAACTTCACGATTGAATTATCCGGTTCACAGAGTGCAACATCGCCAAATTTATGACTGCAAGGGATTACTGTTTCACTCACCTTAAGACTTGGATTGTTTTTTAGGATGAAAAGTTGAATATGACAACTGACCTAGTAGGCTTATTTAATCATATGCAGTGGCACTATGATGTGTCCTACTGGTAAGAGGGAGTTTAAATTGTATAATGTGCGATATTGCAAGGAAAGGTAATGAGTCAGCTTTCAACCGATAGACATCCTTGGCAGAAAAATGAAACATATCGGGAAGAAGGCAATTATGAAAGTCGTAGTAATCGAGGGTAAATTTATCTCGAAATCAACATACTGTTATTATTTAATCAGACTTGTCTTTCTTTAGCTTTGTGTTTTCGCAAAAGAAGTTAGGTCTATAGTTTTTCAAACATACCTGATACATTTTAGGCAATCTTACAAGATTTGTTCCCAGGAGTCACATTACCTGAACATGATTATGGACGATTTCTCTCTGAGATCGAAACTGTTCTTCAAGAAATGGGTCTACAAATTGTTTCTGACCAAGTATTGAAAGTGATTCAGTTCTTCGAGACACTGCTTGTCCGTCATGGAGTAATGTTGGTCGGGCCTACTGGGGGTGGAAAGACAACTGTCTATCGGGTTTTAGCTAAAGTGTTAGCCAATTTACATGCAGCTAACCTACCAGACGGTAGACCAGAATATCAACCTGTAAAAACATACGTTTTAAATCCAAAGTCTATAACTATGGGTGAACTATACGGAGAGGTGAATAAATTAACACTTGAGTGGCATGATGGTCTGTTGGCTTCCATTGTCAGACAGACGTGTATGGTAAGTAAAATCATTTCGCTATTATTATTATTATTATTATTATTATTATTATTATTATTATTACGATTATGATTATTAACTGTCGAGCATTGAAATACACTTGTAATATTTTAATTCAGTACATTTACTACTCCTCATTGTTGACATTTATAACTTTAGAAGAGTGGAAGTTCTCTCTTACGCTGGAATTATTATTATTTGTCACTTGGGTTCCTAGTGGAACATACGGCTTCAGTAGCACGCCTCCATTGTACTCTCTTCTCTGCAGTCTTCAAAACACGGCTCCACCACTGCCCACAAACTTTCAGTTCTTCCTCACATGATCTCTTCAATGTCACCCTCAGCTGGGACTCCCAACTCGTCGTTTCCCCTTTGGATTCCACTCGAGGACCTGGCCAGGTGCGTGATCTCCACATACACTCTTCTCAGTGTATATCCAATGCAATCCAATCCATCTCCGCTTTCTTCTGCATATTTGTTGGGTGATGGGTTCTTGGTTGCTTCGTTCCCAGCCAGCCAGTTTTTAGTGCTTCTGGTGGAATTCCATTTGGTCATGCTGCTTTCCCGGACTCCAGTGACTTTATAGTGTTGAGGACTCCACTCCTGCTTTTGTCGAATGCTTGGTGTTCACTGATAGTTTTGTGGCTGGACTTCTGCTGGTATTTCTCGACCAGTTGAAGGTGGTGGTGGTGTTCGATTCAAGAGTTTTCTGATCTTGATTGTATTGTGTTCTTTGAGCTCATAGAACACAATACAACCATGACCATCCACCTGAGCTACAAATATTCTCCATTATATCAGAGTTCTCTGAAGTGGTAAGTGCATCGTTCCCTTTGTTTCTCCTCTTTGACAACCAAGTTTCCTTCACCATCTCTCATTGATTTCATCTGAGTTGATCTCTTCCCAGATAGTAGCGTGGTTGTTTGATATAAAATTGTCGGGTCTATCTTACCTGTGGTGTGTTCTGCTTCACTTGCGAGTGTGTCGTAGAGGTGTCTTTTGTCTTTGCGCTCACTCTTCTTCACTTCTTTGTCCAGTGTAATGTTTTATAGGTTGTGTTTAGTTCCTCTTTTCCTTTTCATCCTTGCACTGCACTGCACTGCACTGCACTGCACTGCACTTGTTCATCTTCTGCTTCACCATCTTCCCCTCACACCTCCATCAGCTTCAGTGTATCCGTGGAGATCCATTCATTATCTTTCCTCTTCCTCCTTGCTAACACGGTTATGCTGTTTTCCTTCCACATCTCTTCCCGAAGTTCCAGTGTTCTTCCACGCCCGATCCTTCAGGGATATCTCTCAATGTCTCCCATTTTGTTTTTATGGCTGGCTGACGTGAAGATATCTATCCTTTTTAGTTTTGTCCTTCTGTTCAGTTTCTGTTCTGAGTGTTGAACTTGAACTGTGTGTGGTCTATCATCAGCAGCTTCTTTGAAGGCTTTCAACCTGATTTTGAGGGTGTGTTCCTTGCACTAGATAGATGGTGAGTAGTGTGAATCTACATCTGCTCCCCTTCTCCATCTGATCTTGTGTCCAGTAGGCTGACTGTGTCTCCACTTTCTTCACATTGAGATGAAGTCGATCTGATTTTCAGTGTGTGTGTGTGTGTGTGTGTGTGTGTGTGTGTGTGTGTGTGTGTGTGTGTGTGTGTGTTAGTACACACTGCCTGACTCCAATGACCAAATCGTTGAATGTGCAGAAGTCTGCAAATAGTTCTCCATTCTCATTCATCATTTCACCGAGTGCTTCTCGACGCATGGTTGGTTCCCTTCCTGTGTTGTCCGATCCCAGTTTGGCATTCATGTCACCCCACCCATTAGAATGAATTTTGATGTCGCCAACTGCGTTGTCGTCTTGTCCAGAACTGATTGTAGTTGTCATTAGAATTCCTCCTTCTTCTCTTCATCTGTATTATTTGTAGATGTGTAGAGTAGCATTGTATGATTGTGACTTTCCTTCCTTTTGAGTTGAACCTTGTTGTCATGATCCTGATGCTGCAGGAGGAGTCTGGTTCCCTCTGCATAGGAGAGAGAGAGAGAGAGGGAGAGAGCCTTCGATGCTCGTCAAGGGGGCATCATGATAGGCATTGAAAACTCAGTGTGCTCGTGGTTGTCGTCTGGGTGACAATATCGGAGTAGATTATTGACTCCTCTCCTGTTGACAGTTTGGAGAGTCGACTTCCATTCCATCTGCTTATCCCTCCCAGCTTCCTAGCACTTCTATTCTATGCCATACCTTCTCATCTCTTTTGCAATCTGGACAGCTTTGCTAGGTTCATCATGGTGTGGACATTCCATGTCAGCATGTTTAATTTCGCTTTCATCGAGAGAAGAGGAGACATATCGGCCGATTGGCTTTCCGAAGACTTTCACCAACTGGTGTCATTTCGTCTCTCCGATTCTGGAGATGAATAATTTTGTTTTTATTGTTTATATTTTGTTTGTGCTTTGAAGTTTGTTTAGTGTTTGTATTGGTTTTGTGGGTTAGAGTTGTTAGCCGTATGCCCAAGCTTCCCTCTTTATCCTGGGTTGGGACCGGCTAGTAACTGTTGAGTTAGTTACGTAGGCGAGGTTCTTACTCTGAAATGCTATAGCCTATTTTGATACAGTCGTCCACAGCAGCACGGAAGAGAGAAACGAACGAAATTATGATAACATACTAATTTGTGGGAACTTTGTTAATATATTGAAAATTTAATAATCCCATCCAGCTTATGATCTACAGAATTCTTGCATGGATGAGTTTAACACTCGGAGATTTCTTAAATTGGTTTCGGGTTCTGGTTTAACCACTCTTAACTTTATTTCAACCAAGTGTCACTTTCGTAGTTTATTTAATACGCTCCATTGGATCAAGCTAATTGATAGAAGGGTAAAAACAATCAGGGGTGATAAATGATATTATAAATGCTTCCGAAAGCTCTTTAGTGTGTTAATTCTTGATTTTTTGTGCTTTTCGATTGTTTTCTTGAGTTGGACATGAAACATTATGGTCTGCCCATTAGATTACCAACCACTAAAAGATTGGGTTCAAAGCACTGTCCGCCCTCTTCAGTTGAAACACACTACTACGTATGACATTGGAGCCCACTGCATAGACTTGTACAATTTTACTGAGTTGAAGTTTTCTCCTAGTGGCTTGATGAACGCCTAATTGAAACTTTTATATTTGTATAAGTAATTGAGATAATGTGTAAAATATTTTCTCGCGGTTGAGTCTTAGTTGTTCATGGAAATCTCTTTAGTATTACAGGATCGTATACCCACTTCGAGGGCGTTAACGTTTGCCGTATATCACTGTAGTGGGTGCTTCTGATCGGAATGGATATAAGTAGTATATGTTGAGAAGGCGGCAGAAATCGTAGGGAATTGCCATAAATGAGTAAAGATTCTGCCCAGAGAAACTCAAGAGACAATGTGAGCGCATTAGAACAAATCAAGATAGAAGCAGAGTAGGAAATTGAAGCACATTATGCAAATGACTATCTTAGTACAATGTGTACCATATTTGATGACGACTGTACAAGATGTCATTGGTAAACATTCCTTACTTCGTCTCCGTCTTGTCGTCTTCTACATTACTACTTAAACGTAGAAGACACTGGAAAAGTACGGAATGGTCATGAATTGTTCTGATCCTTAATGATATCTAATGATCCCGTGTCATAAACTCACCACATCACTGTTTCCGAACCCAATAATAATAATAAGAAGAAGAATATGAAAGTCTCTAGGATTACATGCATAATGTGTGTCCATGTCATCAAAGCTTTTGAAAATGAATTTACTCTACTAACAACCACCAACGTCCTGTCCAAACATATACCGTCTGACCTCATAATTGTTACATGTTGCCAATGATTGTGAGTAGTCGTGACAACACAAAGAAACATTAATAATCCTCAACCTGCAGATTACAGGTCTCTGGCGTGTATAGTGTAAATGGTCTCATCTAATTTCTGGATAACTTACTTTCAACCGTCAGACTAAACTGGCTTCTTCAGCAAAGGTGATCTTTGTTGGCGTATACCACTTCGTATTTTCAATGCAAAGACTAATTTTATCACTCATAACACTTACACAACTAATCAAATGCACCAACCTTGTAACCAATTCCAATGAGTCATCACTGAAGGTGGACGCAGCAACAAGCTTTAGCGAACATGTAAAAAGTTGTTGACAAGTATACCTGTGCTAAGGAGTTGCAAGTCAAGATAGGGTGATATACAAACGATATTGAATATTTTTCGCTTTAATTCATCTTTTCTTCTTTAGGATTCTACACAAGATCATCAGTGGGTTATATGCGATGGTCCTGTGGATGCTTTGTGGATTGAAAATATGAATACTGTACTAGATGATAATAAAATGTTGTGTTTAGCCAATTCGGAGAGGATCAAACTCACTAATTATGTTCACATGTTGTTTGAAGTACAGGACTTGGCTGTTGCCTCACCAGCAACTGTGAGTCGTTGTGGTATGGTCTATGTGGATCCTGAAGATTTAGGCTGGTTACCTTATGCAAAAGTAAGTTGATAATCTTATATTACAAATAACTTCCATCAATTTGATATTTATGACTGGAAACTAATTTATTTGAGAAGTTTTGGTGGATTTTAAATAATTTCAAAGCAATTTTCATGGCAGAATGACATTGGCCAACGAATCACTGAAAACCAGGTAGCAAAAGGAACAGCCTTGTCAACATAGCTTTGAACTCCTTGGTAGTACGTACCCACTACCCTATGCAGATTTGAACTCTAGAGTGTTAGATTTCATGATCATTGTGTTACCATTCAGCCACTAGGATTCGATACATTGGTCTATATTTTCCAACTTTTCCCAATACACGGTATTATACAGATATTATCCAGTGTCATAAGGGAATAAACTGCTTTCTCATTTTATTTGGTTGGTGCCACCAACCACGGTTCCTCATAAGAACCTCATGAACTCCATCTGAAAATAATTTACAAATAAGCAAGGTATCGTTAGTCAGTCTGGAGATTTAAAATGAACAGGTTATTCTTATAGTCTTTAGACGTCTTTTAAAGAACTTTCTGCATCGAGAAAGGTTAAATGCCGAAATTTTCATCAAACAGTTGATTAAACGTTTCATTAGAGACAGAATACTAATTTATTTAAAACTGTTAGACATCAAGAGGACTGTCATAACTTGACGGCTCTGCGCTCACTCCAGCACTAAATGATGGATTTAAACTACTGGAGAGTCCCAATGTTTCTTTGTTTTTAATCTATTTAAAGTTTTAATTTTGAAGCTTTCCGATTCCGTATAATCATCTCAGCTGAATTAATGAAATCTTATTTAGCAAATGTAGATAAACAAAAGCGAGAATAACGGGTTCCTTCAGCATTTTCTTAGGACTGTAAAGATCTACAGTTACGTAAAGACTACTAGTGACCGCCCCGTGGTTGGGAAATGATTGTGATCAAATCCCCCTAACAAAGTTTGAGATTTTCAACTGTCATCAAAAAGGTGTTTGTTCGACTAACTCAAGTAAACTGTTTATTCCTAAAAGGCAGAATCAGCACCTTTCACCAGTGTTCGTTTTCCCAGACGTACGTCTGACATATTCAGACAGTGGTTGATCTATACTCAGCGTAGACTGAATGCAGTGTTCAATCTGTAGATCTGAACAGTTGATGGAATTTGATTCGCATCAATTACTAGGCAGTATTATATCAGTTAACTTTTCAGTGATATGATAACAACAGAATGAGCGACTAAACTGAATATGATTGAATATGGATATAATTATAAGGATAGACAGCAGATGAGAAATCTACCAAGAATAAAAGTGATTCATAAGTAAAACTGTTGTTCATTAAATTTGATGTTTGTGAGTAAGATCCGAATTAATACTTGGGTGATCCCACTAATTCAGTATATCTGGCGGAGAATCTTGATTTTGTCTCTTCCTCGCCCCAATATGAACGTCAATGAGGACAGTAAGTGATTGTCAATTCCACAGGGCCAACTTGCTTAACTTGTATACACGCATACAGAGAAGACGAAACTATAGATTTAATTATTTTGCTGCAACTGAAGAAGACTACTAAGTTGCATGGTTTCATTCTTACGGAATTGTCTTTGATGCTAAAATAGTTACACAGCAAAATCAAGGACAGAATCAGTAGGAGATGAGTTCAACTGAATAGTGGTAAAAATGATTGACACATACGTACATAACGTAAGGTGAAAACGGCGGGAAAAGATGAGATTCAAATTTTAGAGAAATAGATATAGGTAAGTGCAAATCAGCATAAAAATATGACATGACCAGCATAACTGGTCTGTCTTTTTACATCTTTCGTTTGTACATGCTTGTCTGGTTATATGTGAACTATGGCTGGTAATATGGAAGTTGATAGCCAAGTTTCTGCTTCAAAACCAGGCTTTCCTGATAAATCGATTGAAATAGAATTGGTAAATAATAGTACTGACGTTAAATTTACTGAAATAATCCTCTTTTTTCATTCTCTATCCTGTTTCTTTAGACGTGGATGAAATCAATTGAAGACAAACTAGTACCTCATGTCGTCCAGTATATTATGGATCTTTTTGAGAAATATGTTGATCCATTCCTGCACTTTGTAATAACAAAGTGTTCGGCAATTATTCCACAAGTAAGTTTGCCATTAATTTTCCCTCTCAAAGCAACTACTCCTCCACCATAATTTTTTTTGACAAAGCAACAAGAAGGTTCAATTTGTATCTCTACTGTCTGATGTATTTGCGAAACGAAATTGCGAAAAACCTACCCATATACATACTTACTTCATGTGGGCCCATGTGTGAAAATTGATACAAAGTTGAAGGTATAGGAACTGAAAATTGATCAAAAGAAAAGGTTGAATCGGAGGTCGAAACAATGAAAATCACTGAAGACATTAGTCCATTGATATTCTTTGTTTTTATTGGCTACCAAAAATTTGGGTGACTTTAAAGATCCATAACTGCATAATTGCAGTAATATGTTGTAGGCGAATGCTGAAACAGTGATTTCCAAACTGAAACCATAAGAAGTTAAAGAAGTCGCATTTGACAAGACTACTCAGTTATGCCATTAATATGACCTTGGTCTATTCTGAATGCGATTGCACTCAATATATCGGCAAGCCGCCAATTAAGTTATGTATAGTGGAAAATAAAGTTGATTGTCAAACTTGAAAAACCTACAAACTCACTTCGGAATAAGCTTTGTGGGTTAAAAAGGTCCTAATGATCCAGTTAAGGAGAATAACTGGGTTTAACAGAGCCCTCGCAACGATTGCGAGGTCAAAGTGGTCGACCAGGATCAACTAGGCTATCCAAACACAAAACCTAGATAGGTTAAAATCGGTAAGGTAAAGAATTTAGAAAAAGCTCAGCCATAGCATGCGATTACACACAACCACACAATAGGATGGGAAAGGGTGAAAATCCTTAAAATTAACATGGTGGGGTGGAGGGAGAGATTGATAACTGACTCTTTGTTTATCGAATCAACACCTAATATATGCAATGGAAAATCTCACTACTCATGTCACAAAGGAGTGAAAAATTAGGACTATGTAAAGGACGTCTCAAAGTTGTGTAGTTATCTTATATGACTAAAGACAATAAATCATGTCCGAAACGTAATCCAGTAAACAATACTGTTACACTGTGTAATAAATCTAATAAATCAATAATAATGGGACTATACACTATTCCTCAAATTCGTAAGCCTTTTTCATTAGCATTCACATGACTAACCACATGCAGTATGCTCACTTCGTTTATGCAGAGTTGTTCAAGGTCATTTTGATATTATAACTGAAACCCCTCCAAGAAATTATCAAACAGTTGTATGAGGAGTTAACCATGTGAAGTCAATGTCAACATCTAACAGTTATTGTTTACATTTTGTGAAATAAGTACTTCAGTGATGGCTCGTTTATTCACTATTAACTACAATGTACCTCAGGCTTATTCATGACTTATTACTCAGATGTATCTGCTTCCCAATGTGAAGCACATATTTAGCACCCCCTAGGCTGTTGACCTACACAGCTATATCTTGTTCAACAGGTATCAGTTCGTTAATCGAGTTCCCGATCTTCCCTGTTTTTATTTTACAGAACTTAACTGGTCAGTTTCTGTTGGCATATAGGCTTCTTGTGCTGATGTTTCGATATTAGCTGTAATTTGACCTTGTTTATGTATTTAAGAGGGAATCCAAAATGGATGTTTCTTCCTTTATTTAGGACACGTCAATTAGATATATATTCATTCCATATATATATATATATATATATATATATATATATATATATATATATATATATATATATATATATATATATATATATATAAAGTCATAGAGAAGAGTTTAAATGACAGGAGTATTAGGAATGGTGAGAAAAGGAGTTGAGTTTCGCTCATATTCAATAAGTTTTATTTGAACTGGAGATAACAGATCCAAAAATGGCAGTATATACGTGAATACCCTTCAGCTAAAAGTACATTCATAAGTGATGATAATTTGTGGAATTGTAACTTATGCTTGCATGTAGGACGTGATTTCTCTAAAATGATGAAGAGAATGTCCCTGTAGTGTGACATTATTTTGGCATAAAGATTTGATTTCTCGAAAACACAGATACTTGAACTTCAAACATTTCTGAAATTTCGTAGGTTGGTTTGACAGCTTCAGAATCATACTTTTATTCAAACAAATGACGGTCAGCCTTCAAATCTGAATAACAGTCGAAACGATGACTTATCGTATTACCCTAAGTTTCTACTTATGCCACCGTCGACTTCGCTATATTCCTTGAGTGTAATGAATATAAAGATTAATCATAGAGTCTTGAGTAAAAGATGTAACTCAGATGATGATGGTATCAGCCTCTTTAGACCTATCAGTGTGATCTCTGACTGTTGATCAGCTATGCAAATAAGTGTAGGCATCAGGTTTTGATTTCACCAGACAGAGTTGACCACGGTGATTAAGACAAATCCATCTCTCATCTTCATTTCGAAATTTTAAATCGCATTTATTGGTTTGCTTTTTTTCGCTGCTTCCTGCCCAGTGTCTTTCGTTGACTTTCTATTATATGGTTTGCATTTCTTTGCTTTTATCTTGTATCTGATACAATGTGTGGCAACGTGAACCTATTGACAAAAAAAATCGATGTATACCTCAGTCACATGAAGTCGCCTTGATTTAGCACTACAAACACCTTTAGACTTTTACTTACACTACAGTTCGTCAGTATTGTTTTCTTAAACCTTTTTTGATTGTTGTCATTTATCATCTTATAGGTTCCAATCGCTCGAGTTCAGACCACCTGTAAATTGTTAGAAGTGTTATTAACTCATCCAGGCTGTCCACCAATGAATCGTGATAAGACCAAGTTGAATCCAATTTTGGCGATGTCATTCGTTTTCGCATTATTATGGGGATTAGCTGGCAATGTGATTGATGCAAACTGGGATGCATGTGATGCATTTATACGTAATCTATTTGATGACTTGGGAGATGCTCGAGTAAGTCAAGATTTTCAGTTTATGTGATCATACTTTTCGGTTGTTGCCAATCTCGGTGGTTACATACATTTTCAAAAGAAGTTAACGTTACGCTTTAGTATGATCAAGAAGTTTTTGAAAACTATGTAGGTTAGCGACTGGTGCATATCATGAAGTAAACTTGTGAATAACAACTAGACTGATAATTCATCAATCAAATTTCTCTCCCTTTGTTCAACAGCCCATCACATCAAATTGGTTTGACCTGTTTGTCATTTGCCTTTTTCATAGATACTTGAGCCATGATTCAGATGTAAAATTTCATACTCCAGGTCAATACTATTTTGTGTTTCTCATGCCTTCTTTAAATGACTCTTTACTTTTGCATCAGACAATTGCATTAAAGTCAGTCATTTCTTATTTTTGAAATGGATAAAGTTTGAAGCCAAATCACCTGTATTCTGACTTCAGCAAGGTTCAAACTCCGTCAGATTGATCACGATGATTAGGTTATCTGTAACCAGAGTGCATCCTAACTGACTAGATGGTCTGAGCAGTCACTGACTCTCAGTTACCCTGTTTCAGGTTCAAATTCCTGTAAATAAATTTGAAAGCTGTGTTGCATTAGTAGCTCTCATATAAAAGGCGCCAGTCACGACTAGCTCATATATATATGCTCAACTTGTTTCCAGCAATGGATGTTTTGATGGTATCACATTAATTCAGTAAATAATAATAATAAACAAATTTAATCTAGAATTGTACATTGTTATTAACAAAACACCATGAATTAAAAATACTTAACAGACCCATACCTCACAGGTGAATGTGTCACTTCTAGACGATGAAGTATTAAACAAGTAATTTTGTAAAACTGTCTTAGTATAATTCCATATTAGGTCTGTTTATTTTGATTGACACCGGCCACCGAGTTAACATTCATAATGCCTTTAAAGTTATTTATCACATTCCTTCTCACCTCACCCATCCTCTACGAGTCCGTCTTTTACATACAGCAGAAGCCATAGGAATCCACCTACACAAGCCATGCCTGTGTGTTCAGAAGAGATTCGTACAGCCTCTTTCTTTGCCTTGGCCATCTGTATAGCTCATTTATTACAACAAGACTCTTCATTTCATCCACCACACAATTCACTATAACTAATATTTCAATAGCTCCATTATTATTATTATTATTATTATTATTATTATTATTATTATTATTATTATTACTATTACAGACTTAATCATCTTTCTCTCCCCCTACTGTCTCTAATTACCGTCAACAATTTACCATTTTACGTAACAGTTAATTTTTGCCCTTTAGTTATCATTATATAAAATATCAATTATATAAGAACCTGTTCGCAAAATCTTTCTACGATAATTAATCTTTGCTTTAGTTAACTGTCTTAATTACCTGATCAATTATCACCTTCTTGAAACTTTGAGATTGATAACCTTTCATTGAACAACTCTCACCACTAGATTGGTATGTAATTCTACGTTTGAAAATACTATATTAGTGTAGAGCCATTGATGAGGAACTAATTGAAAAGAAATATTTCTTCCCTCACACTGTTTGTTTTACTAAATGTCTAAATGGGAATTTTTCCATTATTTTGTTTATAACACACAGTGTTCTAGAATTATTTACTTGTTGACGTTTCGAGCATAAAGTAAATAATACAGTATCACTCACTGTGCGCTATAAATCAAATAAACAAATCTAATATGGAATTAAATTTCACCACAGTGCCCAAGTTTTACACCTATATTAATGTCTTAGTATAACTTCTAATAAAAAGTAATTCAGAAGTAGTATTCATCATGGACTGACATCAGTTGGGGAACCATTGAAAATCTGGGAGCACTGGACAGCTGTTCCGTCCTAGTATAGGACTCCTCAGCAGTACTCACCCACGACCCGGCTAAGGATCGAACTCAGGACCTTCAGGTTTCAAGGCGAACGCGTTAACTGAAGACTTTTGGTGACAATCGCACTATGTCGTGAATTGACAGAAGTTGGAAATTGTGAACCTTCGGGAGCCAACCCAGTGGTTGGATGGTTAACGCGCTCGCCTTGAAACCTGAAGGTCCTGAGTTCGATCCTTGCCAGGGTCTTGTGTGCGTACTGCTGGGGAGTCCCATACTAGGACGAAACAACTGTCCAGTGCTCCCAGATTTCCAATGGTTCCCCAACTGATGTCAGTCCATGATGAATACCATTTCTAAATTAAAAATCCCCATCCATCTCAAAAAGTAATTCATCAAAATATAGCTGTTCCAGTTCTGTATTTTCTTATTATTCCCGTCTTTTCTTAAAAGTCTTCTTTCTATAACTCTTAATCATAACCACTTGAATGCGATGGTGGATGCATATAAGCCTAACTTGTCATCAATATCACCTAAACTAACTCCACTTTGGGTGAATAGTCGAATGTAAAATCACATGACAGACTGTCTATTAAATATAAAACCTTGTGATTCCAAATGGTTCCATCTTCTAGTCTGTCCGTGCTACAACTTTGCAAATGATATGTTCCCACTTCATCAGATTCTTTTTTACTGTTGCTGTTCTTATACCTGGGACAACATGTAAACACAATATGGATTTATTGAAGTGTAGGGGTGTACTGGATGTGTTAATATTACGTAACGCCTTGACCAACCCTACTTAACTCGATGTTCTCCAGTACCTGTTCAATCAGTACCTTACTTGATAACGAAACACAAATCAAAAGGACTGGTATTCAGGAATACATTCGACGGAGCAATGTACTTAAATAGAGTAAATGTGATAATAATTGTAAGAGGAAAAGTTTATCCAACTTATCTGGCTAGTGTGGCTGAACTAGAGACTCTGGGGTTGTGTGTGTTAAAAAACACAAAGGAAGCGCAAAATGACATCGAAGCCTGCTTGGATGCGTGCTTGTTAAAAGAAAACTTTAAACACCCTAAGCATCCGGAGGCAAACTTGAGGTTTATTTAGTTAATATTTAGTCAATTCAATTTGATCTATTTATTTTAGTCCAAGTTGCATTTTGGTGCCAAGAAGATGCACTACAGTAGAATGATAAATCACAAACTGTGCACCTGAAACCCAACATAAAACTACGATGGTCTACTGCTTGTACCCCTAAACAGAATTGCATACCCTGAAGAAGTTCATGAGATCAAATATGTACGTCAGTTGCCCAGGTAAACATGTTTTACTGGCAATGGATACAGACACGACTGACTTTGAAGCCGCCCTAGCAACAACTGAATAGCCAATAAGACTGCTCTACTTTATGAAAATCTGCCTTTTCAACCGAAATGAAGAAACCTTATTGGTTATTTCAATTGTTGTTAGGGTGGCTTTAAAGTTGTCCTCCTGACAGACTGTAACCCAAAATTATTCTGCATTAGTCAATGCACTTGTCTCAGTAATTTCAGGCTCTGGGAATTAAGTGATGGGACTTGGTACGACTCACCCCAGCAACAACTGAAACAACGAACTAGACTTTTTGGTTTTATAAAACTCTGCCTTTCCATTCGAAACAGAAAAACCTAGTTGGTTATTCGACTTTTAAGGCCACCCTAATGACTACCAAAATAGCAATCAGGTTATGGTATTTTGGCTGGGAAGACAACTTTTCGCTGAACAGAGGAGCATGATTGGTTGTCTCATCAGTTGCTCGTACCTATTGAAATGACCAATCAAGTTTCTTCATTTCGGTTAGAAAGTCAGGTTTTAATAAAATAGGAAAACCTAATTGGTCATTTCAGTTGTTGCTAGGTTGGTCTTGGAAGTCACTCGTGAACCTGAGAATCAACTACTATTGTCATGACAAACATTATTGGCAATGTGATATGTTCTGCTTGTAAGGTGCGCATGCGTGGTATATGGTGGTATGTTGTCAGAGGTAACGAATGTTGGTAATCAACTAAGACGTTGGAAAGATATAACCGAAAAATACTGCTTCGTAATATCAGAAACAAGAAATAAAGAGATGCAAACAGAGAAACAACCTATCTTAAAAGAAGAGCATGGATATTATTCGCATAAAAATGATAGATATAAGTAGGTTGCTTATTAAAAACAGACTTATTTGTCCCGCCTGTTTCATTGTTGTAAAACCAAATTCCGACTGAGGTTCATGTCGTACAACTCAGTTATTGTGTCATCAAGTTGTCAACTTCATAGGCCACTAGTTCGAACCCCATCAATAATATACGTTTTTCTGTTCTCACTTCTTGTTGTCATCTCAAGATTTTCTCCAGTCTATTTCTCCTAAAATGCTAACAAACGTCTAACAGTCTAATTATTTTTTCTGTTGTCTCTACATTCCAGTTGCCCCAACATGCTGATCTATGGTCCTGTTATGTTGATATGGACACACGTCGTATGGACAGTTGGGATAAAATGCTTGGTACATTTATCTATGATAAGAAAATACCATTTTTTGATATGATTGTGCCAACTGTCGATACAGTCAGATATGGTTATATGCTAGAAAAATTGTTAGCTGCAAACCAAAGTGTCCTGTTCACCGGATTAACAGGAGTTGGGAAAGTATGATTACTATTGCTATCATTATTATCATTATTGATACCACTGTTTGAGCAAGAATTGGTGCAATTCTACTGGCTTTCACAGTTTGTATATTTGTTCTCATCTTGGGTTAAGAATTAGTGAAAACCACCACTAGGTATCTGTTTCATGCTAATTTAGAACTATTCAGTAGTACGAGCCCACGTTCGAATACGCGATCTCATTAATGCACATATTTGTAGATATGTTTTTCAGAACACAGCAGATTCCCAATTTGAAACTAATTAACGGCCGGTACAAATCTTCAACTTGACTCAAACACAGGACATTCAGTTGTATCGTTGGTCAGTCAGTAAACCTCAACAGAGCATCAGGCATTACTGCCTAACGGTCCAAGGTGCTGCATCAATATCAAAAGGCAACGACACCATGTGTCTTGAAGAGCGTATATATTTAAACAAGTGTAGTGAATTTCAGTAGTTTCTAGTTCTTTAATCAATAACTATATGAAATTTAACATTGGTGAGAATCACTGCATCATTTCACGCCTTCTTGACGTTGTCAGTTATTCAATAATGATTTTCAACAATTAACAATGAACTGTCATTCAGAATAATGAAAACAAACAATTCAACGTAAAATCTTGTACGGAAAAACGTTAGTTCTATTTACCCTCCTTTCTGAAACATCTTGCAAAAACAGGAACTAGTTGGAAATAGAATTATAATGTAATAAGCAAACTGAGTATGAGGAGAGACGGAGTAAGTGAATACAAATTAATATATAATGGTGGTTCGCTGTGCTCTGAGATTTGGTATTTTCTCGTCGACGTTTCATCACCAGACTTGGTAAAATTCTCAGTACTAACTCTATAAAGAAGTTAGTGAAGAGTGAGTACATCTGTTCCACTGTGATCAACTTTGACCCATGTCACCGATGGTCTTCAGTATTTGATTCCTCCGAATGTCTCGATGACCTTAGTCAGTCGAATAGTTTACCCCTTCGTACATGACTCAGAACATCAGTCATTTAAAACTTTCTGGGCTTGAACACTCTTTGCTTTCCTCCAACCGAATGCTACTTTAGCTAAAATTGTGGAACAAACTTATCGTCGCTCATTTCAAAGATCAACTTTATGATGTCGCTAATCAAAGTATCTGACGAGGTTATCTGTTTCTTTTCAAAACAACTCACCGAAGTCGACAAAACTGAATTTGATATACAGCGAATCCGGACGTAGGATTATATATTTATCATCAACATTCTACAATCTACAATAGATGAAGTAGACAGAAAAGCGGTAAACAGGACCGAATTTTTCGATCTTATTTGGTATACATATATATATTTCGGATTGACTAGGAATGGAATCTATGGCTCAAGTTTTATCTGTTTTGAGACTTACCAGTGGATGTACGTGCCTCCCAGAGAGAACTTATTTTTTTTAGTAAGATCCGAGCTCAAAGACATTACAAATTATGTATGACGTAGAGCTGATTAAACGTAATATCTCGGCGTCTGTAAAATAAGCCAACAGAGGCTGATAAATTTAGTTCATTCTCACATATGAACAGCCAGAAAAAGTCAAGAATATCAAAGATAAACTGATAATTATCTGAAAATTTCTGATTGTCGTAAATAGTTAACCCAGTGGTTAAGACTAGGGTGTTCATAACAATATTTGCTTGGTTCAGTTGTCAATGGAAGAACCAACACTAATGAATCCCACCCATTCAAAATTCTGACTACTAGCGGCTGTTAAGTATGTAAATAGTGACCGTATTTCTCATAAAGTGGTTTAGGTTCAAATCTCACCTTTTTTCGGAGATATATTAAAGAATATTAACATAGATAGAACAGTCTTAACATTAACAAGAATATATAAGAAGCAGAATAAGTGAAGGAAGACTGACAAAATGTTCAGTATCTTGAGCTAGACAGAATGAATACATTGACACACATTCGTATTCATCGATGCTGTGTCATACCATCAACGATTTCCAGCCGGTAGTTCATGTTATTTCGATGATCCCACTCACCCGGACTACAATTTGCCACACGGCTTCGATCGATGATTTGTGACAAATGCTGCAAATTATTTTGGTGTAACCAACTTCTTAGCTTTCAGACAGTCAATAAACCAGTCAATATCAACATAGCTTTCTTCTAACTCATCTTTGGTCAGCTAGTGACTCACTGTCAAGTAGATGATGGTTCACTATACAGAAAGTACAGGTTATCCAACCTGACTGACTAATTAACATTCTGTGCGAAGAAATCTTTTGTCTAAACTCATTATGATTTACTTAGTGATTCTACTTCAGGAAAAAAAATACTTTGGAGATTCTTATGACTAGATATCTTTTATCTCTTCACACCTCCCATCTTCAGCACCCACTTCTCAGAAATGTGTAGGTGGACACAGTAGTTAATTATGCAGTTTAGTTATTAACTATTTGTTTCACCGATGTCGTGAATAAAACAAATGAAGGGATGTTATGAATACCATTTTTTTAAAATTCCTGTAGACCTTTCATCACCAACTAAATCGTCAAGGCTTATAAAAAATACTCTAGTAAGTAAGGTACTCAACGTATTCGACTACTTTGCTACCAACTGCTTAAAGTATCAATATCGATCAGTCTTGAATAGTCACTGAAAAGATGCAGGTTTCATACCGAATCCGTGCAGAATTTCACTTACTCCTTTTAGAACACCCCACATTTTATTAGCTCATTGAAAAATGAAGTTTAATCAACCTGATAGCTGCACTTAATCCCTGGTTAACGGATTTCAATCAACAACTAATTTTTGGCGTGTAATTGTGAGACAGTATTGAAATCAACAAACTTCAAGTTCATTAAAGCATTCAATTCATTTTTTTTATTATAGACACCAACGTTTCTGTGCTTACACAAAGTTGCAGTGACTACTTTCACTGAAAGTTATTGGCATATAGGTTGAAATATATTCACATATGTACCCTTGATTACTTCCGATTCCTGACATATTACGTATAAGGTGATAACTAATTTATTGATAGATGATTAAATTAAGAAATACGAATCAACTGTCTATGTAAATACAAAACAGTTTTACCAGTCGAAAATTGACAGTTCAGAGGATTAACAGTGTCAGGTAGAAATGTTTTTGAGTTTGTTTAGGACAGAAAGAAACTATTCATGCATATATCTACAAAGCAGAATATGTCACGCGTCTGAGAAAAACTCGTGGAGCTATTTTATCCACTGAATCACCATTTCATAAATTTAACTTTCAGACACTTCAATAACTTCAACTGGGTTAGAATAAAAATTCAGAAAAAGCTAGACAATTACTTGTCATCTGCCTATTTCGCATCTTAACACTGAGGCTATCATGTGACCAACCAATTTAGTAATAAATAGTATAGAATTTTGCCATCCTTGAAACCACCAATGAAAAATAAAATAGATTGTTTTCTAGTTTTTGACGGGTACAAGCTTAGAAAATCCCAACTGTTTCCATTGTGAAGTAAAATATGGAGATGTTTGACTTCAAAGGTGTTGATCAGAGAACACATGTGACTCAAGGTCACTGAACAGATCGTTCAATAGCAGCCAAATTCTGTTATTCCATCACAAATGTAGTCATTATTATCACTTACTACTATATCGATAAGAAAATATTTGCAAACTCTTTTATTTTGATATTAGACGGCGTTACTGAACATGAATGCTGAGGGCTACCTAAAATCTCTATAGTATACTCTTCATTTATTTTTATTATCGAGGGTAAAATTTTGAGGAAACTTTTTGAGGCATTCATGGTTGGTCAATCTGATAATTTTGCAATGAAATAATGGTTGAAATTGAAACAAAGATCTTGGCGACAACATGACTGAAACCAACCGGTTATAGGTAAATGGGTGTACACTCTGCCGACTGGACAACGAGACCCAACTACTGATCAGATCCCAGTTTCCCTTCAGGTGTCGAGTCTTTTTCCTCGGATTTCTCGTTAATTATTAGTACATATCTGTTCCTTCGTTGTCACTATGCGAGATATTTATCTATTCAGGCTTTCTCATCCCAATCCAAATCGAACAGAATTTGAAACGGATAGAGACTGATTGTTGGTAAGGCACTCTGTATTTTGTCAGTTTAGATTTTATTTAATGTGGTGATGATTGAAGTAGATATTTTAATGACTATAGCTCAAACTTAATATAAGTGGATGCCATTTTATTTTATGTTTATATTATAGTCGGTTGTCGTCCGGGGAACATTGAACAATATAGCTCAGTCAAAAAATTATGTGCCAGCTTATTTGAACTTTTCCGCCCAGACAAGCAGTAATCGTACACAAGAAATGATTGAAAGTAAATTAGAGAAAAAGAAGAAGAATGTTCGCGGTGGACCGAAAGGCAAACATATGATTCTATTTGTCGATGATTTAAATATGCCAAAACAAGATACTTATGGAAGCCAACCACCGATTGAATTGTTACGTCAATATCAAGATTTTCATGGTTTCTATGATAGAGATAAGTTGGACTGGATAAAGATTAAGGATGTGACATTGTGCGCAGCATGCGGTCCACCTGGTGGTGGAAGGAATCCTGTTAGTCCAAGACTGATTAGACATTTCTCGCTGTTCGCTATACCTCCCCCATCTGAGACAAGCTTGAAGCAAATATTCTCAGCAATTATCAATGTAAATTTGTATTTATTGTCAAACATAGTTTTATTTTTTCCTTATCGTGCTCATTGGCTATTTTGATAATTATTCGAGAGGGAAAACTTCATATTACTTGTCTTGTCTATGAGATTACGGATTCGAGTCTGCATCCTTCTCGTTTCGTCCAATATGGTCCTCTACACACATACACATACAAATTTCATGGTGCTGTTCTTTGCATGAGTAGTTAATTTTTATGGCAGTGGATAAGAATCACTGATCCTCTAGGCTTTGAGCTTACTAAGAAGTGTTTGAAATGCACCTTCTAACTGACTATCCTCAATCGTGTGAGTTACCATTAAGTTCTAGCCCATTAAATGAATGGCAGCATGGTAGTCACGAGACCTGAAAGTCCCGGGCTGTACCCTTTGCAAGGTCGTAGGTATACACTGCTCTGGAATATCATACTAGAACAAAATAACTGTTCACTGCACTTGGAGTTTTCAATGGTTCTCCAACTGATATCAGTCTGTGATGAATGCCACCTTGAAATCAAACAACTTCCACAAACCACTGACTGAATTTAATAAGATATCAAATTGAAAAAACACTGAAAACAAAAAGTCTTTGAAAAAATGTCTCCTGCCAGTTTGCGTTTCCTTAGTAGGTTATACTATCCACTACATATCAGTTGATGCTCCAAGGCTTTAAAGTTCCATATTGATAACATTAAAATTGCCTCAAGAGATTTAAACAGAAAATATGAAATTTACTCCTAATTGTGAAAAGATGGAAATTATATTGAGTGTTGGAAACGAGCTACAAGAAGCTCTTAACACTCTTCAGCAAGATGTATGTGTCATCCCTAAAACACTTATGCTACACTATGGAATCTGATTAACATCAATCGAATAAGTGAAGCTTTGATCACATGACCTGAATAAAGTTCTCTCCAAGATCAAACCGACCATCTTTATGGCTATATGAAGTTCAGTGATCATCAAATATCGATTAAATGACTAATGAAACTGATGAAGGTGGACGGCATCTATCCTCCTTTGTCAGATAATCATCTTCTGTGACATCGCTGTCGGACTGCCTAAATATTGGTTTTTCATTATAGATAATATTACTTACCATATTTGGAGTTAAGTAACCAAGTAAGTAGGGAAATGATGAATGGCTTTGAAAGGAAGTGTGATTCTTGGCAGGAATGGAAGAAAGGCCTCTTAGATTACCTTTTAGGCGTTCTGCTGATAGCTATAGAAACCACCTGCTCATCAGGTCTTGATTTCAAATCATTCATTAAATTATTATTATTATTTGTCACTTGGGTTCCTTTTATGGAACATAGGGCTTCACAAGCACGTCTCCAATGAGCTCTGTTCTCTGAAAACTTTTGAACCTGGCTCCACGACAGCCCACAAGCTCTCATTTCCTCCTCACACGATCTCCTCCATGTCACCCTCGGATGCCCAACTCGTCGCTTCCCATCTGGGTTCCACTCGAGGCCAGGCTCTGGCGCGTGATGTCCCCAGTCGGCCTTCTCAGTGTATGACCAATCCATCTCCACTTCCTTCCAGTGCATATTTGTTGGGTGATAGGTTCTTGGTTGGTCCGTTCCCAGAGTTCCTTGTTGCTTATTCTTATCATTCTGGCTATCTGATCTCAATCTTCAGTAACGAGCCAGCGTAGACAGTTGTTGATGAATGTCTGAAGTTGTTTGTTGGAAATGCCTTTCGTCACGCGCCAAGTCTCTCAACCATCACATAGAAGCACTGACTTGACGTTGTTGTTAAAAATCCGGATGTTGTTCCACATGCTGAGTGCAGTGCAGAAGATCTTTACACTGGTTTCAGGCTAATGAACGCCTTTCTTGCTTTTCCGATTCTGACTTTGACATCCTCGTCTGTGCCACCTGTATTTGAGATAGTGCTTCCTAGATAGGTGAAGGAGGCTACTTCCTTTAAGTTTCTCCCGTTGATGATGATTGGAGTTTGTTGTTGTTGTTGTTGGAGTTGTTGGTTGGGTATCTTCATCACCTCTATCTTCACTGCGTTCATTTGAAGTCCCGTCTTCGCTGCCTCTTCTGTCAACTTGTCATTCATTAAATAATTAACCCAAACTTTATGTGGTTAGGAAAAATAATCACTTGCTTATACTGAACATACCACCTGCTGAAATAGGCTGTCTCTTCGGCAGTCTATCAGTTCATCTATCATTTTAATTCAGATTGGCTTACATTTAAATCAATTAAGACTTGATTACTAGTTGAACGTCGTAGCTTAACCGGTCAGTCACCCAAATGGTAACCCCGGGAGCTGTTAAGTCTAACTCTACCATGGCTTAAACTTTCTTTCACTTTCAGTTATCAATCTTGAATACACTTAAAATCCTGTAACCAAGATACAGTCAAGTGTCATTATTTGCCTGGAAAGTTAGTTCCACAAATGTACAAGAGTATTTTCTGTGACCTGTATCGTTACTCTTCAGGTGCACTAGTCTCATCATTAACTGCTTTTTTATCTATCTGTCTGTCTCACCATTTCTTTGTATTTCTTTTTCAACCTAAGGGTTATCTACTTGAATTCTCACAAGGGGTTCGTAATACTGGTGAGTCGATTGTAAATGCTGCGGTGGAAATTTACTCTAGAATGGCTAAAGAATTACTGCCTACACCAGCTAAATCTCATTATGTGTTCAACTTGAGAGATTTATCAAAATGTATTCAAGGTAAGTATGATTTCTTTTCAAACAAATATTTTTCTGACAAGTTCGAAGTTTCATTCATTAAAATATAATGACAGTTTTTGAATGCGTGAAGTTTTGTGACCTTTCAAAGTTATACAAATAGCTATGCTTCTTTTAATAATGAGTACCTATTGAAGCCAATTGAAGCTTCCAAACCGAATGTGTGAAGTCCACTCGGTTCAGATAGAACTTGTAAAGTTGGATGTCATGGGAACGAAAATATGAGTAAATGGTAGAGGTTTCAGAATCATTACTTGTTATTCCTAGAGATCTATGAAGCAGTGGAACTTTCCAGCTACTGACGTTGTCATGTAAACAAACACATTCTCATTTGGAAAGAATACCCAATAAGCTGCTCCACACTAGCTACTTCACGAATGTGTTATTTAACTCTATTTTTATTTCACTGGATTTGATGTCCTTGACATATGTTCAATTATCAGCGATACACCTTAACCAGAAGGTAGTCTGCATAACTGTGATCAAATAAGCTCAAAATCTACCGTAAATATATTAATAACAATGGTCTATGTTTAAGGAATTTTGCTTATCTTTCGAAACATCTTAACTCTGCCAGTGGAACACGATGGAAGAAAGGTAATTGTATTTTCCTAATGCTTAATCTAATTTATCCCTCTATCCCTTGATAAGAAGAGATCATTAAATCACTAGTATGTAAAAATGACTATCAGGTGAGTAAAAATCGACTACCTTTAAATAAATTCGCACATGTAACATCGTAACTCACTTTCACATAGCATAAGTCGTAGTCATTGTTCAACTTTTCACATTACCGCATCAACTGCTTTTATACTGACTTAACTTATGTAGAGAAATAGTGTAAAAATTTTTTCCAAGTCAATACGTCTCAACTTTGATTACCAAAATAAAATTCCTGATCAGCTTACTAAGGTTGTATTAGTTATCTGCATGTTCTATCAACATCTGACGCCTACTTATTATAAAGTTAACTATGATGAGCATATGTTATTCGCAATGTTTGCTAGTGGATACCAGCTGAGCCTAGGAAGAGTGTTTTGTCTTGCTTGAGACTCAACCCAGAGTGTGATACGGACTTGAACGCACCATGCATAGCCTTAAATATCAAAGTGCTAACCATCACCACTAAATATAATCAAGATTTCATCACAGATCTTACTGAAGCATGTATGTTTCAAGAGAGAATTATCCATTCAACCTTGTCAATCATCAGTGTATTAGTTTAAACTCCTTGAATGGTAACACTATTGGATAACATTCTAGTAGGTGAAATGGTTAGTGTTACTCTCTGGGTTTAACATATATCCATCTATCAAGTCAGTCATCCAGAACAGAATCTAGCACCAGAACTAACTGTCATATGTAATCTTTACCAGATAGTTAGGATTCCATAAAAGAATACCCGAGGTATCAATAAGCATGTTTCAAGTGCCTCGTAAAGGTTGACTAGTTTAACTATTTGATTCATTGACATTTCAACAAGCTCTATCATACTTGTTTTAATTTTCTTAGGCGTCTTACAAGGCGATTCAAATACTGTACGAGATAAACAAACCATAAGTCGATTGTTTTATCATGAAGCTCAGCGTGTATTTCACGATCGTTTGATCAATCAAGAAGACAAGCAGTTTTTCAATCAAATACTTTCAGACATGGCATCAAAATACTTCGGTGAAGTATGTCCATAAAAAATTTTTTATTACTTATTCCTAGTTGAAATCACTCTTTTAATTCAAATGAAATTCCAGAGTAGTAAGAGCGACTGGGTTTTTTTTCGGCTGAGAGCTGTTTGATATTTACTGAGCTTTATCAGTTGACTCCGAACATTTCAGTATCAAGTTAGGCAACTTATTCAATGTTGGCCTCATCAAGGAAGTTGACAGGATCATCATCTAATATTTGATACTTAGTCACACTTAGTGCTTATACCTTTCTGACGTATACTGTACTGATCATAGTGACGGTTTTCCTTCCTTTTTCAAACAGATAGGCAGTCTTGTATTTCTTACGTGAATAATTCAAACACATTTCTTCCTGGTAAGTTTACTAGACTCATAGTTTCTTTCATTTTCAACAAAACATAGGACTAGTTAACGCATACGGGGAATGACGATGTGTGATTGTTTATTCCAACCTTTTTGGTTGGTACATGAAGATTGTAAGGATATGTGTTTGAATCTAGTCTTTGTTTTTGAAGTACGGTTTCTGATGTCTTATCAGAATATTTATTGTAACTCAATCACTGTAGCACCAGAACGACAACATGATAGTCTATAGTGTGATTCATCTAACAGTCAACCTTTTCTTGACTGAACCTAACATCTCTGTAAAAAAAAACGTGGATGATCTAGCGGTATAGGATACTGAACGGTAGACCTACATTGTCTGTCTGGTGACATTTGCTCTTACATTTGATTTACTATATCATTATCAGCCGGCCGACGTCTTTTCAAATTATTTTGAGTTTCATTCTGTGCATGTAAGTAACAGTATTATTTCGAGTACATGGTGTGAATCAAGGTTAAGGTACGACTATTGTGGTGTTTGGAGGGGGAGTCATAACTTGAAGCTTATCAAGGAGCTAACCTCTTATGAGTAAGCATTACTCAACCACACAGTTCTGCAATAATTTTAACCTACATATCAGACAGACGGATACAAATCGATGTAGAACCTTACATAGAAGAGTATCAGTTCAATTCACCATATTTCTCCACAACAGCACCCAAAAGTGAATTGAACAGGGATAAAACAACACCAAGCAATCTTAAATGGGCAGTGGGGAGAAAGAAAAGTAAAAATGAAGCTTACTGGAAGTGTTTGCAATTTTGAAGGTGATAAACAGTAAGAAGTATGTACTTATGACTGAGTAGTATGACTGATACCCTTAGTTTTATCCTTATCTTATTTTATGAAAATATGTAGAATCCAAGGAGAAATAAAAAAGAGTGTCTTCTCATCACTTTACTTGATTTTAACCATCTTGTATTTTGTGAACTCCAATAAGAGGGTTTATACTTCAGCGGACATTAGAATAGATGATCCTGTTGTACTCTATCAACACTTTTCTAGACAGTGGTGAGTGAATAAGACCTTATTGATCTCCGTTTAATGTAAAAAATAGTTACCATGAGAGACGCTGACAATCACAAATGAGATCCAGGGAAAACGTAGATTTTGGAGATGAAATATTTTGCTAAAATAGCGTCCTAGCAGTGTAATTCAAAAAGGCCTGTTAACACCGAAAAATTAGGAAGCAGATAGGAGATGAGGCATTCTTTTAGCCATATTTGTGAGAAACACATGTGAAGTTTCATAACCTGTTTTCGTTTAATCACATGTCATTCATTTTTTTGTTTTGAGAATTTGACTGTTTGAGCCACAATTGCAACTTTCCAAATGTCGATTGTTGCTTCGCTACTTTTCTGCAATAATCCCACTTTAAATAATACGTTGGCTACTTCATATACCTGGAACTCAGCGTCCACTCTTGTGACATGAAAGGTCAAATAAATCTCAACATGGATGGGTGCAGAAGCCCCAACTGACTTTTCTCCACTTATATCAATCATATTTCTGAATAAATACCTGTAGATCTCTTTAAGGACGTTCAGATCTACTGTGTCTCTGTTAGGGATGCTTGCTGAAAGGAGCAGAATTTGAAAGATTACGTTTATTTGACCAACATTCGTCTCTGCAGAATCACTCGCGTATGGTGGAGTTAATATACCAGAGATGCAAACGTCAAGTGTAAGGTATTGGATGAAGATTGTCATCTATTTGATGAAGTTATGAACACTCATTGGCTGAGGCAGTTAGAGTATTTGTAACTGCAGTCAAGCCATTGTTGCACCCTCACATGTGCAGTATTAAACAAATTAAGATTATGTCGTTGAAACGTACAGGTTACAGGAGCACAATATGATGACAGTTTGTAAGATTGTTTTAAAGTGTGGATGAAATTTTAGGTTTACTAGTAGAATTTCAACAGCCAAAATCAAATCCTGTAGTTGTAGACAGTTAGAAAAGTCAATCCAAAACCTGGCACAGAAGCACATCAGCTCAAATTACCACTATTGAGAGAAAGAAAAATTACATTAAATAGATGTAAATTAGTCAAAATATTCAGGACTTCTATGACTAAGAGTGTATACATCTATTTTGAGCTGTAACTCAGGCTATATTTCACGACACAACTATGACCGACAACCTGAGATCTAATGGACTGGCGCCACGTCTTAGTTTGTTCATATTTATCTTTCCTGCACCTAGGCTAATATGGCTTATCAGGAAAGGTGATGGTATGACCAGGCTGACTCAAACGATGAAGTTTCTCAGCCTGTTGCTTGCTAAGTAATTTATGCTTAACTTTAACATTGTTTATATCATAGTTCTGTCAAATAGTTACAGATTTTAACATTGTATTCACTTCCTTATCCTTTATCTTACTGACTTCTATGTGTTTGTGCTGGTGTAAGCTGCAGGCGATTAGATAGATTTTCAGTCACTCTAGATCCTTCATTGTTCATTTTTATCTGTATAAATTTACTGATTGAATATCTCTTTTAACTTGCTGTTTTTAGTCAATAGGACCTGAAACATTCACAAAGAGTCCAATACTCTTTGGAGACTTCTTGAAGCCTGGCACTCCACGTGCAGAACGACTTTATGAAGAGTTTTGTGACATAGAAAAGCTTAAATCGTTGTTAATGGATGTAAGTGGATTCACTTTTTATTATTTGCTTTATTTTGGTTTTTGAAATAGTCTGATTTGTTGCTGATGTGCAATATGGCAATGTTTGAGCTGATGGATCTTTATGTGGCTGATGTTAAATCATCACGCTATCTCTTTGTTTGGCTAATTATAAGTCTTCCAGTTAGTCTGTATAAAAATTTTGCGTGTTTGTAGTGAATTTAAGTTTGATTTTAAGAGGAGGACCATTCAAAATCAAGGAAGAGATGACAATAGCCTTATTTAAACTGTAGACTCCTTTGCAGAACGCAGTATTCCAACCCTAAGGGAAAGTAATATAAAGATTTTCAGGTTTAAGTGGTATCGCATCACCCTTCAGTCACTAGATTAAAATTCGATCATTACCTAATGTTATTGGTGGGTATCCTTGTTCACTTTCAACTAGATCGACTGCGCTTATTCATGCCTTCAAGCACAACCTCATCTCATTCGTTTCAAAGTTAGCCGCAAATGAGAAGTGAATTATCATTTATTTTGGGTTGTATGTGAGGAAACGACTGATTTCAAATACACTCTCATCACCAATCGAAGTTTCTCTTATGAACACTTGCTAACTGTTCCTATCTTGTCTGAAACTCTTCAGTTTGGTTCCGTTTCGCTGACTAGTGCTTAGCAATGCATCATTCCGCAATAATAATATTTTAGTGATAGTGGTGAAAAGTGTTTTAAATTGCCAACAAAAATGCCTCACCACTTTAACAGTTTTCATAACCATGCATATCTGCATTGAAAAATTTTGATTTCAATGAAGATTGCAATGGAACCAGTTAGTTAGTGATACAGATTATAATTGTTAAATTCAACGCGGCGATATATAAACTGCGATGAAGTGACGTGCAAGACCTCAGAAATTCAGTGGTAAATATCGACATTTATTTCAGTGTGTTAAGAAGAATAAAAATATAAAACTATCCTTGTAATAATAACTGATTTTGACACTTCCATGGGGTAAATTGCTGGAAATTCAAATGTGACTGATGGTAAGAGCCAACAGTAACCAATAGTGATCACAGGAATTTACAAAATGTACAATGGCAAAATGGGAGCTCATTCTATGATAAGAGATTAGTCTAATGATGTGAATCTGTTCAGACTAAAAGTCAATCAATGAGATGAAAACGAAGAATCAGAAGACAGTTGCATTTTTAGCTCATGGTTTGGATGTTCGGACTGTATTATGCTCTGAGCTGGTGTTTTAGTTGGTAGAAGTTTTAATCTTATCCTAGAGACCACTATCATTGCATAAGAGCTTCAAAATAAAGTGAATTAATCGATTGTCCTTGGATGTTTATAACGTACGACGTCGCCTGAGTCTAACTAATCTCATTAATTGGTTAGTGAGTATGTAGGCGTATGTTGAACGTGATTGACTAACTTCTGTTGGCTTACGGTATGCTGAGGTCACTTCGTTGACATTGGTTGGTGCTTCTGTTTGAGTTAACTAATGGAGGTCGCTTTGAGGTGATTGGTTGACAGTTCCGTTTGACTGAAGTGATGAAGGTTATCTTGTTCTAACTGACACTTTTATAGTAGGAAGACGATGCTTTCAGTAATTGACTGATTTGTTTCAACTGAAGAGGTGTCTTTGTCATTGTTGGCTGGTTTGTTTGCTTGACGAGGTGTCCGTTTTTATTGATTGGCCATTTGGAGGAGCTTGGTTAGGTAAACGTTAGTAATCTTGATCTAATTGACTAATTGTCTCCTTTTTAGTTGTGTGAAAGGTCTTCTTGCATTTCGATCAGTTGATTCCTGTCATTGGTTTAATTGGAACAGGCACATCAATTTTGTCTATACCCACACCAACCTATAAATGCAAAGGGGTAGAAGGGTTGAAGTGCGGCCCAAAAAATGTTAAAGACAATTTTCAATATATTAAGTGTGAGTGGTTCCACAGTAGGAATCTATTTCGCTGACAACCTGATGGTATAAGGGATTGACACAAACAAGATAGACAGACACAGCATATTCAACAGTGATTTCTTTGATGCTTAAAACGCTAACTTCTCTGTCTGTAGATTCCACCGTTCACGCTGGAGCTATATGACCGTGTGAAAGCCTCTGACAATTACCTCAATATGATCTGATTAGTAAAGTGTTTGTGCAGGCATGACGTTTTTAATCTGAAAGTAGATAGTACTGTTTGCATCATTTTGATGCAACGAGCATAATTTACTTGATACAGGGATAATACCCAATTACTCACTAGTGATTTTACTTATGTGTAATGCTGTAAAGTAGAACATCTTGAATGTGAAGTACTTAGTTTGTAACAAACTCCTGTCTACTACACTATATCTCTTTGTTCGGATGCGGATTTTAGTATTTCCTCGTGATAATGAAAACCGATGAAAGACAATTCAGCGAAGAAAACCATGCAGAATAGTGTTTGAATAGAACACGCTTTGTGCGGCCTATGTAACCAGCTTCAAAATAGCAGGTGAATTGGTAAATATACATAGAGATGGCCCAAAGCGGTCGTTTTTCTTTTCTAAACTCTCGAATCGGTTGTTGACTGGAAGGAACAATCAGAAGCTGAGAGGAAAGGAGGTCGTCTTCAACGCTTTGCAAGGTCGATTCATTGAGTATCTCTGCCAATGTATCTCCCTTGAATTCAATATTCATAAGCATTGTCTTTTTTGGAACTGTTGGGGCTTCTTCTTTGAAATTCTTAGGCCTAGTGTTACTTTCTGTGAATCTTGAAGGGTAATCATTCAAGACTAACACTCTTCGAATGTATTTCCAGCTCATTAATCGCATCATCTGTGCAAATTCTTCTAATTCTTGTGGACTGTGAATGAATTACAATTCTTTTCTTGATTAGTGGAAACCAGCTTTAAAAATGAGTATATTGACCATTCCACATTTTTTTTTCTGTAAATCAATCTTCTTGATGTATACAATACTTCACATTTTTACGAAAATGCATTTCGACAATTGGACAGAAATTTTTCTTTGATTTCTGTAAAGAAAACTTTTGTATCAAACTAGGATATTGTCGGGACATCCGCCGACAGGAAACTGAATTCGGCAACAATATAGAACGCAAATAAGCTTCTATTGGTAAATATCTAATTATCAATTTAACTGTCTGAGACAGTCGTGGTTTGACAGACCTACATTTATGCTGGGTGATGAGTGAAAGTGAAATTAAATCACCACGTAGTATAGATATTTAATTATTATCCCACTACTACTATTGTTGTATTGAGTAATAAAATTTTAAATAAATATTATTTTATCTTCCCTCGTTGATTGACAATATTTTTCATTACCAGTATTTGGATGATTATAATTTGGTCATGTCAAAAGATGTGAAGCTTGTCTTCTTTGTTGACGCCATTGAACATGTGTGTCGTATTGCTCGAATGATTCGACAGGATAGAGGCAATGCATTGTTAGTCGGTGTTGGGGGTACTGGGAAGCAATCATTGACAAGGTAAATGCATACTGTTATTGTGATCGTCTTTTCATTAGTTTCCTTTTGATTGACGTTTCATACTGTAGATTAAGGCATGTATTTAATAAATGTTTTGAATGTTAAAAATGTTGAGTGATGAGAAAAATCCTGACACGATATCCGTGGCCATCACCAGTAATATTGAGCATGAGAACTATACTACCACATATCAACTAGATGATATTTTTATTCAAAATCTTAAAATATTGTTATCTAACAATATCTTGACGGGATCTGTTCTCCAAACAGCTAGTCTTGAGTAAATGAACACACTCGTACGGTGTCATTCAAGGTGGAAAGCAAGCTGTAGGTCAAGGAGGATATGCACTTAGATTTCACTTATCAAATTTGAAGCTTGTACTGCTCAGTTAACAGTTGTTGGTCAGGAAGTTAAAAGGTTACCGTTTAATAGGATTTCTGAGTGTTACTTCTAATCGTTTCCTTTTCATTAACCATGAGATCTCTGATGTGGAGGAAGTTACTAGTAGCATCATTCGCGTGAATTTATGACAGAAAAAGGGACAATTGGCAGATTAACTTGGTGCATAATAAAAGCAGAATTTAAATTACACCCGGTTCCCCTTTTTCGACCAATTAGGTGGAGTTATTTGCTTATGGTATATCAATACATTTAAGTGCATTAAGTTCTGTACTGATCGTCATAATCTCATATCTGAAACTAAAATAGTTTAAAAGGGTTTTTATGCATCTAGAGTTGTCTGTCTGTGTGTGTAAGAGAGTGTGTGAATGAAAAGGAGACAGAGGTCCTTTTTGCGGACATATATTCACCTACTGAACAATATCGAGTAGTAGGTTTCATTAATAAGAGGGTAAAACTTGTGTACTGTGGTAGGTTTTAATTCCATTTGTCTGTTTATTAGAAATGGAGTAGTAGGTTTATCGTTCAACTAGCCAGTACGATTTCTTTGTATAAGGATGAGTTGACACATGCTAATCCGTATGGATGGAATATACGTCAATCAGAAGCGAAATTAGTCAGGTCATCTTCTTACTTCAGTTAACTGTACACTTCTGTAAAATGTCTTACTAAAACAATTTTCCTTTTCTAAATCGCATAGCTATTGTTGTTGAATTTTGTCCAGGATGAGATCTAACACAGTGGACTGATTAACTTAAATATAACCATAAGTTTTAAAGTGAATAAAACTATTTTGGCTGTAAAATTGATGTCCTATTCATTTGGCAGTGTAGCTGGCAAAACCACATAATTAGGCTTTGCAAGTAGCATAATTTGACGACCTGAACACCGATGAGCAGACTGTGAATCAGCTAATTAGTCAGAGGCTACATGCATATATTCATTGACATATTATCTCATTCTAAGTCAGATGATAGGAAATATTTGTAGCTCAGTAGGATAATTTTGATGATGCTGTGTTCTCTGAGTTGGATGGTTTAATCATTAAGCTTTCATTGTCATTCTTGACAAAATCATCAGCACAAAACTTCAGAAAAATTGAGTAATAAGGTTTTCTCTACAATTTATTCAGTAGCTTATCCTCATGCACATGTGTCTGATTACTTGTTGTTTCCACCAACGTCACGTCATCGTCTCCACATTCATGTTGATTGGTTGTCCTGATAAACTGACATTTGACCCTCCTGTTGTTTATTATTGCTTGATAGATCGGGTCAATGTCATCATGTCTGTTGATTGCTGATTCACCTGAATACCAAGCTTATAAAAATTCTCTGGCATTCTTCGTATTTCCTCTATCCAGGATTTTCACATTTTCCCAGTCAAATTCATGTCCACACTTGTTCGTAGGCATTGATATGATCGAAGATTTGTCATGACACTTCACTACTAGCTGATGTTTATGTAGGCGGATTCGAAGGAGACAACCACCCTGTTCGATGTAGTCTTTTTCATAGTTTCTACAGTTTATGTTGTAGATAATGTTTGATTTGTCTTCCTTTGCTATGGAATCTTTCGGCTTGTATGTTGGAAAGTGTAGAGATTTTGTAGTCTTGTGAAATACAGGGATTCCAAAAGGCTTCAGTAATCTCAGTCATCTCAGAGACGTTCTTCATGTCGATTGCAACAACCCATTTGTTGGTTTCCGAGATTGACTTCTTGGTTGACGATGAATTATGTAAACATCTTTTGATGAGGTTGCGTGCATAGCTGTTCTTCTGGAAAACGGTGATCAGACAGCTTTTTCTCTTCTCGACAATGTTGATGTCCTACATTGTGTCTTCGCTTTTTTGAACATGGTTTTTAAACAAGTGATTTTTTGTACTGTTAGGTTGTCTTGGTTACACTGTACAAGATTGGCGGCATCACCGTGTGAGAGGGTACTAGGCGAGACAGGCAAGTCTATTGATGAACTGTGACTCTTCATGGACTGAGTTGGCTTGAACATGCACCGCTCACTGATAGTTGTTTAAGTTGTTAGCCTGAACACTGATGATCAGATTGTGAATTGGTTTTTGTTTATCCTATTTCTGCTTCATTGTCTTTCGTCTTTTCGCTTTGCAACTTGAAGTGCTGATGTGAGTTGTTGCAACTTGGACTGATACGCAGGAATACCATGTCCAAGTTGATAATGACTGACTGAGTAACTGAAAAAGAAATTACTCAGCAACAAACCGTTTTACCCACCCACCTCACCTGACAGACCTCCATATCAGCTCTGGGTGCTAAAACACTTCATATCTTATTTTTTCAAAATTATTTTAGATTGGCGGCGCATATTAACGAGTATAAATGCTTTCAGATTGAATTAAATCGTGGTTATGACTACTCATCATTCCATGATGACTTGAAAAGTTTATATTTTTCTGCTGGAGTAGAGAATAAACCGACGGTATTCTTATTTACTGACAATCAAATAGTTGTCGAGGAATTTCTGGAAGATATTAACAATATCTTGAATTCTGGTGAAGTACCAAATTTATTTGAAAACGATGAATACGAACGTCTAATTATCGGCTGTCGACCAGCTGCTAAAGATGCTGGCATTGCTGAGGGGAATCGGGATGGCATCTTTGATTTCTGTATCAATCGTGTACGGAATAATCTACACATTGTCTTGTGTATGTCACCAGTTGGCTCAAATTTCCGTGTACGATGTAGAATGTTTCCATCATTGGTGAATTGTTGTACAATTGATTGGTTTATTGAATGGCCTGAAGAAGCATTGTACAGTGTGGCAAAGTTTACATTTGCACAAGCTGATTTTAGTTCAAATGAAATGAAAGTAAGTTGAAATAGTCAGAATTTGTAAATTTAACTCTTGGTTGTTGTGTTTCTGAGTACTAGTAATTTCACAGTTTACTTTCACAGTACAGATTTGGTCAGTTTCTGTCAATTTATAAACTCGTTGAGCGGTTGCTTCGCTACTGCTGTGAGTGTCAGTCATCACGTTGATGGCTGACACTGGAATCCCGATTGTCTATTTCTGCCTCCCTTAAACTTCTCCTATTAAGTGATCCCTTTGCCTTGGAAACTGGTTCAGTGAAATAAACAGCAGGAAATTAAAAGTGCACTCAGATAGCAAATGATTTCTGTCACATAGGCGATGGGCATCATAAATTAACAGTCTAAAGAATAAAACTCTGACATCTTAATCCACTGGCGTCAGATTCGAGTCTGGAACATTTCGGAATTTTTGTATTCTGTAGTGCACAGAAGGGACCAGATTTTAAAAGGATGCAAACTTTGAAAATGCAGATTTATTCACATACAGCATATCATAGTAGTTCGTAGAAGTCAAAAGCTATCCGTTAAGTAAGGTCAGAGATAGTATTGAAGTAAGGATACGTTTTAACAAAACTTTATTCACTTAGTACCCATAAAATATTCCCCACATATTCTGAAACATGAACCATTCACTTATTTCCTATATCCCAGTGAGATTTGACATCCAAATCATACAAATTAGCATAGTTCTGTTTAGTACTTGGCAGCATCCCCAAAGGGTACCATTTCTTAGCTCTTAGGCTCTGTTCACCTGATGATTTCATATCACGGTCGATAGTGGTATAATATTTGCCTAAAATATCGCCATAGACATTTCAATGATGTCATAAATTAATTTGCTGTCACTTGGAATCCTATACTCTGTCACTGTATCGCTCAACTCGTGGTTTCATCGAATGTCTATGCTTCCGCAGAGAAACTGATTGTCAAATACTTCATCTTTCATGTATATGTGGTCAGAACAAAGAAAACGACCGATAATATGCATTTGTATGGGGTTCATGAAATGAGAATGAAACAAAAATTGTTCATTATTACAGTGATCGAGTGAAGTTAGGTGTATACAACGGCACTGAATGCACCTAAATACTTAAATTGTACTTTTTCCTCCAGTACAATATTCTTCACTAAACCACAAACATATTAAAAGGCAAAGACTAACCTCAGACTATGAGAAGAATGGTTTTACCAGGTAAAAATACACCATATTTCTAGTATTTTCGTGAAAATAACAGTAAAATAGTAAAAGGCCTACTACTTTATTCTGATTGACCGACTGAAACACCAAACTAACCAATAAAATTATTCTGAGTATGCAGCAGCATAGAGCAAAATTGGAGCTGGAGAAGTCTGTGTCAGTCTAAAGGCCATGCTAACAACGACTTAAAAACCAATTTTCTTTCTTTTGGCTGGAAGGGCAAATTTTTCTAAAATAAATAAGTCTAATTTTAGTTGTTCCTATGGTGGTGGTCTTTAGAGTCATTCAGACGTCTAGCTGACGGATCGATGACTAAAAATGTTTATGAGTAACTTTAAAGACCACCTTAGCAACTGTTGGAATAACCAGTCACGTTTTAGTGTTCGGCTGGGGAGGTAGCGTTTCATAAAATAAAGAAACGTAATTGGTCAGTATATTTAAGGACCGCCCTAGCAACTACTGAAATGACCAATCAGCTTTCGTTGTTTCGCCTGGGTGCAGTTTTTTATTGAATAGAGAAATATAATTACTTAGCTGTTGTTATGGTGGTGTTTAGTTATTCTAAAACGATGATTCTACAGCACTTCTTAGTAAAATCAGGTTACAAGCACTTGTATCATTTAACTAAAAGGTTGTCAGTTTCACACCTTCCTTGAAGTCATATTAGTGTGACATGAAACTATTTTTACATTCGAAATGAGGACTTTTGGGGAGTTAAAAGAGAGGACTTTTCACCGTTTATCTCCTCGCTGATCTCCTCTTGTCCGGAGGATCGGCTTCACACTTTGAAATTCCATCCTGTTCATAATCTTAGAAGGCTTGATGTAAAGACTGCAACTATGAAATGGAAAGAACTCTAGTGACTGATAGTTAACATAGAATTCCAAAAAAAAATAAAACTAGTTTGGTTTTTCACTTAACTCATCTCCAGGACTCTCCTAATTGCAATTTTTTTCCAATCTCATTGTAAGGCAGCTGTATCAAAATTATCTACTGATATCCATCTGAGTGTCTCACAAACTGCGGAACGTTTCTATGCTGAATTGAAACGACGCTACTATACAACGCCTACCAGTTATTTGGAACTGCTTGGATTGTATATGACTATGCTGAACAAACAGATCAAGTAAATTGTGTGATTTGGATTTTGTAACGATTTTTCCCCTGTGGGTTGATAAAGTTTTAAGTGTAATGATACGGTTATGATTGACCTTTACTATATGACTATTTCTATCCGTCTTAACCCCTGACTGGTATTCTGTTTTCTTTCAGTGAATTAAAGTATATAAAATTTCCGGTAAAGCAACGTATATTTCGATATTCTAGGTTGTAATTAGTTGAGAAGATAACATTGAAATAAAATGGGTCCGTTTATCCTATTTGCATTTTTGTGCTAGCTCTTTTCAAACAAATAAAAGACTTAATAGTTTAAAAATCCCCATTAAGTCATAAAACAAAAGACGGTTAGAGAAGAGTCACTCTTTTCAACGATATCATTCTGAAGCTGCGCAATAGCATATAAATATTTTATTCACATGGTAGCAGTAAAGGAATGTTTCATAAAATGTTTTTTGATCGAAATTCAGTTTCGGTTGTAAATCAAGAGATAGGAAAAAGGATTAAGTAGTAATAGTTGAAATAACAAAGCGAAGAAAACTTATCAAAACCGAAGCAATATTTGGTTACTAGGTTAAATGATGTAATATAATTGAAAGGACTGGTGAATGTAATAAAAAATCAGAATTATAGGGATGAAAGGATGTGGTGTGTGAAGTGTGAAGAAAAGATTGTAGAGGTAAAATGTTTCTTTGAGGTTATGTTCATTGTAACTTAAGTCATTGGACACATTTCTTTTGAATGCAGAGTTCAGGTTTTAAAATACTAGTTACCATGGCTTCCACAGTTTGAAGGAGTTTCAGGCATACACATCTCATAAGACTTACACGAACTCTATAGATGACACTGAAGTTGTTTTCTGCATTTATCGAGTGGTTATAATTGATTAAGTGTTCGAAAATAGAGCTACGAAGTGCTCTTCTTTCTCTTTTGTGGGATAAGGCTGGTGCTTGTTCGGAAATGCGTTTGGAAAGTGAACGTTGAGTATGGTCAATATACCTTACTCCACAGAAGCAGGTGAATACAAGATTGTAAACAGAAAATCTTTAAAAATTTTGCTCATGTTTAGAATTGTGTAACCAACTTTTTAGACATGAGTGTAGTGACTCTAAAGAGCACTTCAAATATTGAAACAACCAATTAGGTCTCCTAATTTCAACAGGAAAGTCAGTTTTCATAAAATAAGTAAATTTAATTGGCTATTTTATTAGTAGTTAAGATGGCCTTTACAGCCACCTTCTCATTAGGTCAAACAGCTACCAGACACACCACCATGGTAAAGTATAGGCAATGGCAGCTGTATTCAGACAATCAGGCGTATAGAAGTGAATGGCTATAAGGTGCCAACCTAAAAACCATTGGGAAAACCAATAACGTCTCACTAATTTAGGCTGCTTAAAGTTGCTTAAATCCTGAAAAGCAGCATGACCAAATGTAATTCCACCAGAAGCACTGAAAACTGACACAGAGACAATAGCGGATATGCTCACACCACTACTGCAGAATGTTTGGAAGGAAGGAAAGGTACCCGGCGACTGATTGGAAGAAGTGCTACCTTAGTAAACTCCCAAACAAGGGAGACCTAAGTGTTTGCAAGAACTGGAGTGGAATCATACTCCACCCCTGTCCACCCCAAGCAAGCAAAATACTAGGACGCACCATTAATATAAGTGTAAAACTTGAGCACTGTGGTAGAATGTAATTCCATATTAGATTTGTTTATTTGATATATATCGCACAGCGATAAAGTATTATTTACTTGACAGAACGCACCATCCTGAAGAGATTAAAGTGCTCTGCAATCTAAATCACCACCGGAACAGGCTGGCTGGTTGGATTCAGGAAGAACAAATCATGTGCGGATCAAATTACAACGCAACACAACGTCACGCTATGCTACGCATCATCATAGAACAGTGCGTAGAATGGCACTCAACTCAACTCTCTACCTCAACCTCATCGACTTTGAAAAGGTTTTCGACAGCGTCGACAGAGAAGTAATTTGGCAGGCTGCTGCTTCAACACTACGCTTTCAGTGTCACAAATCTTTATCAGCCTCATTCAACAGCTATATCTAATATGATGCTACGTGCCGAGTGATTGACAATGGAAAGCCCAGCGACGCCTTTCAAGTGAAGACATGAGTAAGACAAGGCTGCCTCCTACTATCACCCATGATTTTTCTGATTGTAGTTGACTGAACTGGACTGGACTGGAGCATGCAATAAACTGAGAGAAACTATGAGAAGATGGGCATACACTGGCTGGCTGGCTGGAGGATGAAAAGACCTCAGAAGAAGATTTGGATTTCGCCACCGATGATGATTTATGTCTAGTGTCTTGTTGCACAAACTCGAAGATCTACAGGCAAAAACCAACAAGTTGGTAGAAGAGGCGAGTTGAGGCGGCGAATACGGGACTTCCTTCAGGTGAATGTAGAGAAGACAGAGGTGATGAAGATAACTAACCACCAACAACAACAACAACAAGCACCAATCACCATCAACGGGAGGAACCTAGAGGAAGTAGTCTCTTTCACCTACCCACCTACCTAGGCAGCATCGTTTCAACTACAGGCGGTGGCGGTGGCGGCGGCGACATAGGCACAGGCACAGACACAGATGAGGACGTCAAAGCCAGCCAGGCTCGGAAAGACAGCAAGACATACCTTCCTGCATTTGTCTGAAACCAGTGAGGAGATCTACTATACTATACTGCACTGAACTGCACTCAGCATAAATCGTGAACATGATCAGGATTTTCAACACCAAATCAGTCAAGTAAGACAATGCTTCTATGTGATGGTTGAGAGACTTGGGGCGTCATGAAAAGCATCTGCAAAAACTACAGAAATTCATCAACAGCTACCGTCTTCGCTCACTCGATAGTGAGGGTCAGGTGGCCAGAATAATAAGAATAAGCAAGAAGGAACTGTGGTTGGTTGGCTGGCTGGCTGGCTGACTGGCTGACTGGCTGGCTGGTTGGCTGGTTGGCTGGCTGGCTGGCTGGCTGGTTGGCTGGCTGGCTGGTTGGCTGGCTGGTTGGTTGGCTGGCTGGTTGGCTGGCTGGCTGGTTGGCTGGCTGGCTGGTTGGCTGGCTGGCTGGTTGGCTGGCTGGCTGGCTGGCTGGCTGGCTGGCTGGCTGGCTGGCTGGCTGGCTGGCTGGCTGGCTGGCTGGCTGGCTGGCTGGCTGGCTGGCTGGCTGGCTGGCTGGCTGGCTGGCTGGCTGGCTGGCTGGCTGGCTGGCTGGCTGGCTGGCTGGCTGGCTGGCTGGCTGGCTGGCTGGCTGGCTGGCTGGCTGGCTGGCTGGCTGGCTGGCTGGGAAAGAAGCAACCAAGAACCCATCACCCAACAAATATGCAGAAGAAAGTGTAGATGGATTGGATTGCATTGGATATACACTGAGAAGAGTGTATGTGGAGATCACGCACCTGGCCATGTCCTCGAGTGGAATCCAAAGGGGAAACGACGAGTTGGCGTCTGATGCGAGGGTGACATGGAGGAGATGGTGTGAGGAAGAAATGAAAGCTTGTGGGCAGTGGTGGAGCCATGTTTTGAAGACTGCAGAGAAGAGAGCACAATGGAGGCGTGCTACTGAAGCCGTATGTTCTACTAGGAACCCAAGGGACAAATAATAGCTATGATTTAGACTGTTAGCTTTTTCATAAAATGCAGAGACCGGATTATTTTGTTTCTACAGATACAAAGATGACCTCTAGAGTCATTTGTAGAAAGTTCATAACCACATATCTTTGTTAAAGTTATATTTGCTTCCATCAGAAAGGAATCATCTTAAAGGTGTCACTATAGCAGCTACTGAAATAACTAATTATATATTTTCATTTCATGAGTCTGTTCCATCATTTCAGTAGTTAATGGAGTGACATTTAAAATGACGGTTAGGTAGCATCAAGCAAGTGATACAAGTTGCATGAGTTCATCCAGCTATTATACCAACCACTGATGATAGAGGCCTGTTAGCATGCAGTACAGGGCATTTATCTTTGTCACAGTTTTGTCAGATTGCAAAAATTTGATTACATCTCGTCATATTGGTTCTCTATGATCGTCAATTATTTTCTTATAAACACCCTAGAGAACTCTCAGATGGAAGAGACAAATTTCGGAATGGTTTGAATAAAATTTTGGAAACCAATGATTTAATTGCCAAAATGGAAGTTGAACTGACTGCAATGCGTCCAACACTTGAAGTTAAACAACGTGATACAGAGAAATTGATGATTAAATTGAGTGAAGATCAAGAACAGGTAAGGTAAAACCAAATCTGATCATCTTATTGTTTATGTGTTGCCATTCAGAGGTATTTGTGCGTGTTATAACTTCCTATCCATTTCCATGAAAAGTCAATAGAATCGAGTTAATTGAATATTTAGCACATGGTATTATTAGTTGTGAAACTTGAACCGAAAGTACGTGGATGTTTCTCATCCTCGCTGTTTCACGATTTGGTTTGGTTTGCTACCTCCTTCTAGTGACGAATCAATGTATCTAATCCAGGAGGTCAATTGCGGCCTGAATAGCTCATCGGTAACGTTATTAACTGCAATATTGTGTGACACAGATCCGGACCTCAGATGAAACGTCAGTCCCGTGTAGGTCGCAAATGCTCCTCGCTGACAAGTGCTAACAAGCATGAAACCTAGGTTCAGAGCTTCTTACCGACTGCTTCGAACCAAATAAGAACGCGGGAAATCTCACAACTATTCAAAAAATACCGAACTTTTGAGTAAGGTCACACTACCATAAATGTCAATCTAAGACTGACTAATGTAGCGTAACAGTTAGTAGATATTCTTCTAGAAAATCCCTGAATAACTAAAGTCACTTATGTTGGTGTATACCGTTGTAAACTTCACATTAAATCTTTTTTCTAGGAGCTGAGAAACCATCATACAGGAAGGCTGATAGCTAAGTTAGGTCATTTGTCTAGCGGATTATTCAGATAACGCGTATGCCAAATATGGCGTAGCAGATATATCCAACTACCAGTCACATGGTTAATCTACTCCAGGAAGGGCAATTCTGACCCATCCTACAACCTGAAAAGGTTAACACTGAAGGTAGGTGAAACAAAAAGTTAATAGGCATTTGATCTTAGGTTTCTTTTACGTATTTCTGGTGTGCGATAAAGCTATGGGCTAAGCAGTTTTGAGATTAGGTATAAGAATATCAGCAATGGAGTCAAATGAGTCGGTGAATTTATGTACTTTCATCGACTTCCAGTCGGCTGATTACAATAGTGTACAGTGGTAGTCGGGACAAGATTACGTCTGAAAAAGGCTAGGGATGATCACTACAAAGTGTCAGTAATCCGTGGTTTCACTCAGTACTGACCTGTCTCAAACATATGAAGTATGAACTGTCTGACCTGGACATTCAGATTCTATGACCCACAATTCAAGTAGTAATAAAATAGCTAAACTGTCAGCTAGTTTGGAGGTTTTTGTTGATTTGTTTGATCTCAGGGTGGTATTTATCATGGACTGACATAAGTGGGAGGACCGTCAAAAACCTGGAAGCAATAGACAGTTGTTTCATCCTAGTATAGGACCTTCCAGCAGTGTGCACCCATGATTCCATCAGGAATCTTAAGTTTGAAAACCGTACTAATATTTCTTTCATAATCACCTAACACAACCAATACTGGGGAGCATCAAACGTGAGAATGTTCCTGTCTGAAATGGGTTTCATTTATCATCCCTTCATTCTTCGTCGGGTTCCGTAACCCGATCTACAAATACTTGCCACGGTCTCAGACTTATCAGATTCCTTGATCTTGAGGAGGCACCTGAATTCTGTGATCGAGAGGTATTGTGTAGACATCTGACTAGGTGAGAAGTGCCGAAACAATTAACAGTCTCCACTCGAACTTGCACCATCATCTTAGGGCTTACAGAAAACTTTCATCTAAGGTGATGACAGCTAGGATAGACCGTAGAAATGCGTTTTCAAAGAGTTCATAATGTCAGTGACGGTAATCCCCTCCAACTCTTCGGGGACTGATATACTGCCTGAAACGAGTTTTGTTGACTTATAGTATACAGATGACATAGTCTTGTTATTAGAAATTGCTTAAAAACTCTTGGTCCTTTTGAAGACCTTGGATACAAATCTGAAAATGATTAGCACATCTCATATCGGTAATATGTAAATTAATGATGCAAGACTCACCTGGATTTCAATAATAAGGAGGGAAGTGATGAAATGTATTAACCACTTCACCAGTGGGCTGGTTCCTGACGAAATCTCATCATGCATGCTGTAAATCTGTCCGACATTTCCCAAACTCCACTATGCCTCAACAGATAAACACATAAATCAGCGTAGAATTTTACACAGAAGTGCATCAATTTAATCTATCATGCTTTACTGATAAAAAGATGATTTAAACAGAAATAGGATGGTATTAAGAGGAAAAAATGTGTGATAGGGTAAAGAAATAAAGGTTAATATAACTGTAAAAAATGGAGAATGTTAAAAAGTAGGTGCATCTGAACTGCTATGATCAGTTTTGAACCGTATCATTAGTGGTCTCCAATCAATTTCGAAGATTACAACCAGTCAGTAAGCCTTCATCTCGATATATGGTTTAGGTCAGCAGTCAGAGGCTTCATAGTTTGGTGTCACCGTCTTGATCTGATCCTAGTTAGCTTTTCTCCGACCCAAACCTACTTCAGTTATCATGATATATCGAGATACTTAGTAAGCTGAAATAAGAAAATCACAACCTCGGTTGGTGGGGTTTCACAACCTCATGAATTCACTTGTCTTCCTTACTTAGTAAGTATATGTGTAACCTTAACATTGTTCACTTTGGTTCCACCACACTACATTGTTACTACGAAAATATACGTTTAACAAGCCTGTAGCCTTCTCATTTCTTCCACTTTGATTAACATTTTCTTAGTCATAATATTTGAACAGATTGCAATGCTGTCCATTATACTGGTTCTTGCATGGTTAGTTGAATATCTCACCAGTATCATATATGATTTGATCTGGAAAGTATCATGAACAGGATTGGCGAGATATCTGACCATTTATCGAAGGATGAGTATAATGCTCTGTCTTACTGTATGGTTGTTGAAAGTGGAACAAATGAAGAGATTAAGAGTTTTGATCACAGATATCTTCACAGCATTTTTTGCCATAGATGGAATCACACAGTGAACTATGTTATGGTTAGGCCCAAAGTGATAAGTAAGAAAGGTAAGTTATTTTATGAAGTTGTGAATTCTCACTGGTCGATCTGACTGGAAAAAATTATGTTGCTTGGTGAATAACCAGCTAACTTGTTACAGGAATTCACTGCATAATTCGACTACCATGAGAGTACATAGTTTTAATGATAGATATTTAGCATTGTTACTAAATTCAATGAGAATAGGACTAATTATTCATCTTTAAATGTTTTAGGCTGATATTGTTCGTAATCGAGTGAAAGAAGATGAAGCTTTAGCTAAACGAAAAGCTGAAGAAAATCAAATCATTGCCGATGACGCTCAGCGTGACTTGGATGAGGCTATTCCAGCACTTGAAGCAGCTAACAAAGCACTTGATTCGCTGGATAAAAATGATATATCTGAAATACGTGTATTCACAAAGCCTCCTCAACTAGTTCAAACTGTTATGGAAGCTGTCTGTGTAATGTTTGGACAAAAGTAAGCCAGTTTTCTATGTTAATATTGTTTTTGCAGGCATATGATGTAAAATTCAATGTTAATCAACAAACCTGAACATAGCTATAACTTTTCAAGTTCAGCGACCATATTTCCTACTTATAACAGTGAGAAGCAGTGATTTCTGGGATAAATAAAACAACCCTTCAACATTCAGATACTATTGACTGTTACTTGTTTTGACTAGAACTTATGCTTCTCTTAACCTTTTTATTGATCTGGCATACTCTTTCAAAGTGATGATGCTGCCCAATTTCGGTGTATTTCTTTCAACAAAAGTAAAATACAAAGCAAAGAGATCGGAGAAGGTTACTTTTTTTTTATCTCATTCGTACCTTGTTGAATTGTCGAAGTTAACGAAAAGAAATCTATACTAACGGATAGTCTAACATTGTCTTTAAGAAACTAATAAGATAAGCTTAAGGAAAATAATTCATTGTTTTAAAACTAAACAGCATGGACTTGTCGCAGGAAGTTAGGCAGTGCATTTTTTTCATTAACTTTTCCAGAAAGTTTTTAGGTGTGACACCATCTTCTGTTCATAAAATTATAGGGCATGTGTAGAAAATTGTGGATTTTCCAGAGATTGTTTGTAGCTTTGACTATATCTAGTCATGAAGTGACATCTCTTCGACGTAGTTAGTGTCTCAATCACCAAAGTTGACATTATATAAGCTGTTCTGTTGCTCCTGGATTCCATCAAACTTGTTTCTAACATCTCCCAATAGTTCAACACAATATTTCTTTCTTCACCTCTTCTCACCTTTATTTTTGACAGATCATTAACACAGAATCTCTCATCCTCTTTTTTAATTCATTACTTGTACAAGAACGAGAATCAAGCCGATTTAAGGTATTGGCTAAGGTCCTCACCAGAATTGTGCTATTTGTTGTTCTGTTCATGATAATCGTCTTAAAACAATCACTTAAGTCATCAGAATACTGACTGAGTTCTTGTTTGGTAGGCACAAATCAATTCCTAAAGTTTTTTTCTCTGGAATACTAATAGAGTAAAATCGTATTATTAAAAATAAGGAGCAATATCACCTGCCTATGATATCAGTCGGTATTTCGGTAATAACAAGTGTAAGTGGGAATTTCAAACATGCAGTAGACAAATATTCAGTGTTTCTGAATTTTATTGCAGGCTGAGGTGACCGTAACGATATCCAGTTAAATTCACACGAGATTAGATAACTGAACTTGATGCCGTTATTGAAGACGTCTATGTATGAAGTAGAATTAGGATAGAGTAGTTTATCTTTCGAATGCAACAGTTATTAAAGTGTATAAGTGTCATATCTTTGTCGTCGCTTGTCATGTCCTTATAGTGACTTAATATAACCTGAATTATATGTATAGAAGAGTGAACGCTTGAACAATTACCTTCATATCCCACACTTGATAGTCACTCAGGTCCTTGGTGAATGGAAAAGGCGGTAAGATAACAGAAGGGGTATTACAACTTTAACACGTATAAAATACAACGGTTTATATATATTTAGAATGGCTTTTGATATTTCCAGTCTTTTGTAGATTAGTATATCCTATTGATGTTTACCTCTTTAACTAGTCTAGTATTTAGACATTGGTTTACCTACCTTTTCTCGAAATTTAGAAGCAAAACAATTGGTTGTTAAAGGTTTCAGAGATTTAATGCTTCTTATGTGAATCTGCGAAATCTCAATGCACACTATAACAATATAGAAATCCATTTGTCAGCCTGAACTATCTTGAGGATAGCCTAATTACTGATAATAAACTTTGACTGTTCAATTGCTTTTGTTTTTTCACTTTTTAAAACATTTACTCAGGGAGATTGGGCGACTGCGAAAGTGGTTTTAAGCGATTCCAATTTTCTTAGAAAATTAGTTGAATATCCAAAAGATGATATTACTGATGCTCAATTAAAAAAACTCAAAAAGTATATTGACAACCTGAATTCACACCAGAAATCGTTGAAAAGACTAGTAAAGCATGTAAGTCAATGTGTATGTGGGTTCGAGCACTGGATTTATACGCGCATGTATTTAGGACTGTGGAGCCAAAAAGGAAACGGTAATTCACCTTTTTTCTTGTGGGCATTTTTTATCTTTGAATAACTGTATTGTGCATTTCCTTACTTAATAACTCATTGAACTGAGATTTGATAAGACGATATTGCTTAAATACTTGCATGTTACGAATTTTGAACCAACCATTTAACATTAGGTATAGTGTAGTCAGTGTATCGTAATATCATACCACTTACGCAGTATTTCATGATTGGTAGACTTTTGTCATCACTACTATTTGTGAATGTAACCTAGTTTCTCAGTGCATTTGCTATTTCTTCCCTCAACATCAATTCATGAAGCCATAAAATGTTCTTCTGAGCTGTGTGTTAAATCATTGCCTAACAAATTGAAGATCTTGAGATGTTAGCGATCAGCAGCTTGTAACTGCAGGTGAAATGTTTCAAATTTAACCACAACATTTGAGATTCATTCACTCTCCACCTTACTCTGTGAATCTGGAACACTTTATCATTCTTGTTTAGTACAATGAAAATTCCTATTAAGACATTTAGAAAGAAGATTGATTGAACGGAGAAATATATTCCTTTTTAATTAGATCTTCATCTTTGGCACTACATTAAAATTTAGGTTTACAATTCATTTCAAAATATCAACAAAGTGATAAGGTGTTGATTAACAATAGTTATAGATTTGAAACAATTGGTCCCTTTAATAAATTTCGATAACGCTATTAGAAGACGAAGATTATCTGAAAAATGTGATGTATTTGCGCAATACATTTCGAACAATCTGATCACACATTTACTTGTCAAGTCAATTTATATATGAAAATTAAAGGTCAAATATAGTGAATATGAAAAGGTTGTGACACTAGTCTTGGTAATATAATCAGATAAGGATTACCAAGGTAAATTAAGTGAAACAACAAACTGTTTTTGTACACACAGCGGGGGATTAAGTTTACGAATGGCTAACGCTTCGGCAAACTTCAGTATACGCCCCTGATTATTCCTGTATATTATCTTAAACGCTGTTTTCGTATTAACCCTGTGATTCATTTCAATAATATGTTTTGCTATAGATGACGATGGATGTCTGTCACCTGCACTTATCAAAGTTTGTGTGTTAAACTGTTTTTCTAGCCATTTGGGGATGTGTTCACCCACCCTAGTCTGCATTGAACGATTACTCCTCCCGATGTATGTGTGCCCACACATACATGTAAATTGGTAAACGCAGTTGGATGTGATGTAATCATTTGTGCGAGGTTGAGGTTTGTGGTGAAGCAGGTGTTTTGTCGTCTCAACAATGATAAGCTGAGCTGCATAGTATGTTTTACTGATAACAGATTTTAATCTCTGCTTCAATATCATACTACTTGTTTCCCCTCTGTATGGTACTTTAAGAAATATGCTTTTCTTCGGGACCGAGGAAACTGTAGGCTTTGGGGTCAACTGCTTTTTACAATGGTTGACAAACTGTAATGGATAACCGTTTTCCACTAGAGTGTCTGTCAGAAACTTATTCTCATCATCCATCGTATCAGATGTACAAATACGTTGGATTCTATTGAACAAGCATCTTACCAAGCCTCTCTTATATTTCATCGGACAAAAACTATGAAAATTCAAATACTGTCCTGTCCAAGTAGACTTCCTATATATTGATCGTTTTATAGATCCATCTTCCCTCCGGCACAAGAGTATATCAAGAAATGCAAGTTGATGGTCTTTTTCTTCCTCACATGTCAGACTGATATGATCTTGTACGGTATTAAGCCTTTTTAATAACCTCTTGGCATCCTCATCTGTGTCACATATTACAAGGATATCATCCACATACCTTCTATAAAGTGTGACATTGGTGATTAGATCTTGGGCCATTAGTTCAGTATGTGACATATATACGTCAGCTAATAACGGTCCTAATGGACTCCCCATGGCTACACCATCAATTTGCCGAAAGTGTTCACCTTCGAAAGTGAAATGAACCTTATCAGTACATAATAAAAGCAGTTCTTTCAAATAAGTTGAAGGAATAGGGAAAGAAGGATAATTCGAAGATATGTGGTCACAAAGAATATTAATTGTCTTCGTTAGAGGCACATTTGTAAACAGAGAGTTAACATCAAAAGAATACATTTTCTTATTTTTAATATTCAAATCAGTAAGATAATCAACAAGTTCAAACGTATCTTTCAGTGAATACTTACATAAATCATTACGAATCGGGCTCAGTAATTCGGCTAACCACCTCGCCAATTTGTGTGTGGGAGACTGACACATTGACAATATTGGGCGTAGTGGATTATCAATTTTGTGAATTTTTGGAAGTCCATATAGATTTGGGAAATTAGATCCCATGGGTTTCAAGGAATTAAACTCCGCTTTAGCAATGACATCCGTGTTAAGGAGTTTAACTAGACTAGTTGTTACTTTTCTTTCTAATTTTCTTATATCCTCTGACGGAACATCTGCCAAGAATTTACTTTTATCACAAAGAATAGACAACATTTTATTTTTGTAGTCTGCTTTGTCCATCAACACAACACCTGATCCTTTATCAGGCTTAAGAATTATCACATCAGGATTCCTCTGTAAGTTTTTCAGGGACTTGAAGTGTTGCGTAGTTAAAATGCATCTCTGTTTCGGACCTGGGTTATGGAATTGATGGGCTATATCAACTAGTTTAGCCTTCAACCAACTCTGGTTGTCCGAAGAGGTAGGGACTAGAGAAGTTAACTGATCATATAAATTTCGAAATGGCATCATCAGGGGCGCATACTGAAGTTTGCCGAAGCGTTAGCCATTCGTAAACTTAATCCCCCGCTGTGTGTACAAAAACAATTTGTTGTTTCACTTAATTTACCTTGGTAATCCTTGGTAATCTGATTATATTACCAAGACTAGTGTCACAACCTTTTCATATTCACTATATTTGACCTTTAATTTTCATATATATAAATTGACTTGACAAGTAAATGTGTGATCAGATTGTTCGAAATGTATTGCGCAAATACATCACATTTTTCAGATAATCTTCGTCTTCTAATAGCGTTATCGAAATAGTTATAGATGTTAAGTAAGTTATGAAAATGATAGGTCAGCTCACCTATGGTAGAATCACCATGTGAGCAATGTTGAAGTCAAGCGAAAGGTGATAGGCAAGGAAGGGAAGGCAGTTGATGAGGCTGTAAACCTAAGCTAACTGAGATGGTTTGGACATGTATTGCGCATACCCATCTATCGCCTACGTCGACGTGAAATGCTAAGAGAAGTTGGATTAAGTTGGGAAAAGGCTCAGAGTGCCCAGACTAGCGCATGAGATCTGTGACTATTTATCTGAGTCATGTAAGGAGGTGTAGACTATTGGGCTATGGTCCATGAGATGACAGGAACCAATGGTTAGATACCCACAGTGACATGACTGAAAGTCGGTCACCATGCTGTTGATACATTCACTCTTTGAAAGCTTGAATACTTTTACTAACCTTAGTTTGTAAATTCCCTTTTCTGTCATACATCTTTGTCTACTTTGACATCAGTTTTTTCTGCCCACTTGTTCTTTGTATGCTACTGTGAAATGTGCAACTTGAACGGATGCACTTGTTTGTGACGTTCTGTGTTAATTTTGTCTGTCTGAGTTTAAATGCTCTTGTTGTATGATTCTTAAGATTTTCAAGTCCATGAATCAGATATCATGTAAATTATTTCCAGTTGACTAGTCAAATTAAAAGATACCAATGTCTTGGTTCTGTCGCCTCCCGTCAGTTGGATGGTATAATCGCATAGCTTTCATTCCCTTTCTATAAAACATATTAACACTGAGTTCAGCATGAAGTGAACTATCAGGACGTTTTCGTTCACCACCCTAAGTACAAATAGTCCCCATCCCTTCAAATGCCAATATGTGTACAATCATTCCTGCGAGGGCTCAGTTGTGACGTAAATCGTTGGGTGGTACAGTTTTTGACCTCAGCATTTAAATATGCAGGTCCGAATTACTGACAGGAGACCAATTTCCTCAGAGCTGTTGATGCTTTTCAACAAGCCTGAATCCTAGTCTCGTGGATTGCTGTCAATTTACTGACTCCCAACATCCGATTTCAGTTTACCAATAACTCATCAGTTGGTCTCTTGAAGTAAATTTCAAAAACAGTGTAGAATGTTTTTCATTCGGGTGCTAACGAATCATAATTTCGATTGTCTTGTAGACGTCAACTGAGGAGCTCACACTTCCCTACCCGTTTCACTAAGATCAACACATATAGAACTTGTGGATCGGTGCACTGATATGTTTACTCTTGGTGTTTTCTCTGACATACTTCATCGGGACAGATGGTGTTTTTGCATATTTATCCCAAAAAAAACTAATCGACACATTTTTGCTTTGCTTAAGGTGTTTGTTTTTTCCCCTTTGAGTTTTTAACCTCTTTTTGATTTCAGTCTAGAAGAGGCTAATGTGGATTTAGATATTGTTATGCGTAAACTTCAAGAGAAACAAGCTGAACTGGCAACCGTTGAAAGAAAGATTGCTTCACTGCAAGCAGAATATGACCAGTCAGTTGCAGAGAAAAAGAAACTTGAACACCGGCTGGCACTGACATCAGCTCGTTTAAAACGTGCTGGCAAGTTGACAACTGCTCTAGCCGATGAACAGGATCGATGGAAATTATCCATTGAGAAATATGAAGCCCAACTTAGCAATGTTATTGGTGATGTATTTGTAGCAGCGGCCTGTGTTGCCTACTATGGAGCATTTACAGCAGAATACCGTGAACACTTGGTCAGCCGATGGGTTCAACGATGTCGTGAACTAAGCATACCAGTAAGTGAAGATCCAACCCTATTCAGTGTTCTTGGTGATGCATTCGAAGTGAGACAGTGGAATACACAAGGTCTGCCACGTGATCAAGTCAGTACAGACAATGCTATCCTAGTGACACGTTCAAGACGCTGGCCGTTAATGATCGATCCACAAGAACAAGCCAACCGTTGGATACGTGCTATGGAGTCGGAGAACAATTTGAAAGTAATAAAGTTAACCGATTCAAATCTGTTGAGAATACTAGAGAACTGTATGCGTATTGGTTTCCCAGTCCTCCTGGAAGATGTTGGTGAGACGCTAGACCCCGCTTTGGAGCCAATTTTACTAAAACAAGTTTTTATGTCTGGCGGCAGATTACTTATTCGATTAGGTGACTCGGATATTGAGTATGATAAAAATTTCCGATTCTACATCACCAGTAAATTAGCTAACCCACATTATCTACCCGAAGTATCAATTAAAGTGACAATTATCAATTTTACAGTAACACCGGCTGGCCTAGAAGATCAGCTGCTTGGTGATGTGACAGGTATTGAACGACCGGAATTAGAAGAACAACGTGGTCAGTTGATTGTACGTATCAATACTGACAAAAACCAGCTGAAAGTAAGCTTACTTTTCTCATTTATTGATGCTTGTAATTTCCTGTTCATTATTTCACTGGACTGAATTGATCGGCCTCTGATGGCATATGGGCTCTTTGAATAGATGTTTTAATATTGTTTCAACTTTTCTTTTGATATTATTTACTTGGTGCAGATCTCACGTTTCGCCCCATTTGGAACTCGTCAACCGGATTAATCTGTGTCCCGATGAGTGGTGGTGTTCCCACTTAGATTGGAACCCAGCACCCATTACTTGAAATTCCACAGTGTTATCCACCAGACCACTATGTCAACAGATTCTTAGCGGGAACACTATCATTCACTGTAATGCAGATATATCCTGCTGATGAGTGAGAGATAGGCCAAAACGCGGCTCCTGTATTCCAGTGATAGTAACTATTTGTCATTTATATCAAAGTGAAACTATTAGCTATACCATGGGCTCATCACAGAATCACATATGCTCAAACCAACCAAAAACAAGAAATAAAAAGTTCCAGTGTATACCAAATTCACTTTCCAGTAAAATTCTACTGTAAATAACTTCTAAACTTGTGTATGAAGTGGTAAGCTCAAAGAATGGTAGCATTAGAAAAACTATTTAAGAAGTTAGACAAAGGGTTCAGTTGATCATCACTTAGTTTAGACTATGACAGTAGACTCGAGCCCCTTCATTAGGTTATGAAATGTAAGCAACTCAGTGAACTGGCAGAGTTTAGTGCATGTGATTGTGAACCAAAATTGACGCATGAGGGGAGCTTTGATAGTACAGGTTCATCTAATCCAGAGTAAAGAGATTGGGGTTTGACCTAAAAAACCAAATGCTGGAGATACAAGCTCTTACAATAGTGAGCCACATATCAGTATCGTCTTGTTTTACGGCGGTTACAGCTTAGAGTTGTTAAAAGCCATTCTATGGTTGCTGCAGATACATAAAAAAACTGTGAGCAGGAAAATAGTACACCATGTGTTTTTGCTTGTTAGTTTCGATGTAAGCTTTACTTCCCCGGCGGAGCGATTTGTTAGCATCAATTTATAATTGTAGCTATAAAAAATGCTTTACTTCTAAGTAGTATAACCATTTTAAGTACATTGTGACCTGACACACAATTTTCATTTCTGCAGTAAAAAATATTTCGACCAAGAAGTGGCTGCCGTGACTCAGTAGTGGTAGTGGATAACGCTGTGGTGTTTGAAGCAATGGACAGTGAATTTAAATTTCAGTGGGAACACTATCACTCTCCAGGATACAGGTAGAACTGCCTGCCGAGTCTCAAAATAAGATGAAATTCATGTCCTGGATTACACTGCTGGCCACCACCAAGGAAATTGCAACATAATGAATCTCTAGGCAATATCGAGGCATTCATGTGAAGCTCTTATGCCAACAAACGTCTAGCAAACTGATCCACTATAACAACGGGATATTAAAAGTATCAATAAATATTTCAGCCACTATATATATATATATATATTTCTTTGGAATGCTTTAGGATACAGAAGACCGTATACTGAAATTGCTGTTTGAGTCTGAGGGGAATATTTTAGACAATGAAGATTTGATCAATACACTGAATGAATCTAAGGCAAAATCGAGTGAAGTGTCTAAACGTCTAGCAGAGGCTACCACAACTGAACAGAAAATTACAAATGCACGCTCTAAATATCTACCGGTTGCATCACGTGGGTCTGTAATGTACTTTGTAATTACCACTATGGCAGAAATTGATCCTATGTATCAATTTTCACTGAAATACTTTAAGAATGTAAGTGCTTTTAAATGAAAAAAAAATAATCATTTTTGTATGTTTTCCCTCTTTTATCCTGACTTAACCTTTTGTCAGTACTGTAAGACATTTGATTAATAAAGTTTTTTAAATCGGAATTATTACTGAAAGTATAACTGTAACGTTTGACGTTAAAGGCGAATCTACCAACCACTAGAATAACTAATTTCATTTTATGAGAGAAAAAAACTGACTTCTCAGCAGAAATGTAGAAGCCCAATTGATCATTTGATTGATCATTAATTCCACTTTGAAAGTCACTCAAGTTAAAACCATCATTTAAGCCTGACTTTCTATGGGCCTCAGCCTGTAAATATAATAACTCATACTCGCAATTTGATTACTCATGCTTACGAGTTGACTGCAAGACAAGATGATGATAACACTCACTGGTAGCTCATTTTTGTTTGACAGCTCATATATTTATATTAATGGAATAACATGTCCATAACAGACGATAAATTAGAAAAAAACATAAAGGCATTCATTGACATGCTTCATGGTGGATTTCATGAAGTTGCAAGGAGAAGTTGTGACTTACGAGTGTGAAGAAAAATATGCGCCCATGGCACTGGATGGTGGTACGCTAGATCCTGAATGGACAGAAGCAGAAAAATGAAGACCATTTGATTCCAACACATCGGCTGAATGGTAATGTGTTCACCACAAGACTTGACGGTCTTTGACTCTATAGCTAGCGTGGTCGTTGGTGCTCACTGCTGATAAGTCGTATGCTAAGAAGCAGCAACTGTCTAGTGCTCTCAGGTTTTCAGGGGTTCTCCAACTGGTGATGAATACTACCTTGAGAAGACATTTAGGCTGAAAAATGAAGGACATACTTTACAGCCACGTGGTTTTTGTTCTTTGAATGGCTATGGTGTCAGAAAATATTTAACTGACCTAAAGCTAATTTATAACAAACAGCAGTTACAAACAGTATTATAAGGTAGCATCTGTGTAAACTGTTCTCCTGAAGTACAACAGTCGACTAGAATCGACTTCAACAAATTCTAAGTTATCCTGTTACTTAATCCAGTATAACATAGATAAACTAAATGATGGAATTTGAAACAACTGAAACTGTAGTCTTGAGTTAGAAACTGTCTCCATCTTTTGTATATTTAGACGGAATACTCTTATTGCTGTTGGACATCAAATGTCGTTTTGATCCCCAAGGAGCACCTGAATGTTGGAACTGTTTACTTAAAGTTGGTTGTTTATCGTGACGAAATCAGACGAGAAGTGTCATGAATAAAATTTGACTAGATAAGAGTTATATTTCACAGGAGGAAATAACAATGATAGTAGTAAACTGTAAATACCTGGTGCAAACAGAGTCACTAAATGAAGTCCACTTTCAGACAGTAGATTTTGTTTTATCCTATCAGAAACTCCTATGTAACTGACTGTACTGGTTGAAGTTACGAAATCAGAGACAATACATCGGATTTCTGTCACGGCCGATTGTCCATACTGCAGATTCAAATGGAGTGGACAGAAGAACAAGACATTTGGTAGGTGAAAAACAGTGCAGTGTAACTACATTAACACTTTCGGTCTCATCAACTAGGTTGTGAGACACCTTTAGTGTTTGCCAGCTAATGATCCTCCTGGGCAGTCAAGATATCAGGGTATAAAACGATTTTGTTCAGAAAGACAGTCAAGAGTCACGACCAAGCCATCCAGATCAGAGAACGTAGCAACATCAAGATCATTCAACTTAGATACAAATATTCTCCAACATTGATATTATTTCTATGTTACTACTCTTAGTATTTTCCCAGCCTCATCCCCCACCAGCTAATAACATATAATGGCATAGACAGTGGATGAATAGGTATGCATACTACATTCCAGCTATGTCGGTAGAACTCAATAACCTAAATTTCTGCACTTGCAGGTGATGGTACCACACACAAATCACACAAAGGTAACAAGGTTTTCTCATGTCCTTCAACTTTAATGGCAATATTTTACAGCCACATAGAAAAACAGCATACACTACTGCACAGTACACTCACTGGCGGTTGGACATCTGTCAGTTGGCATACATGGTACAAGTCAGCCAAAGACAACCCATTTTAATTTGTTTATTAGACATTTCACAGACTAAAACAGTATTGTTTGGTGGATTTCGGTAGTGAATGCAATCCGATTTACCCATGAATTAGAAAATGATGAAGGGGAGCTAGTGAAGCTGGATTAGAGAATAAAACAGAAACAAGATGGAGGTTTAGACAATAGTGTCTGTAAGAAACATTTCTATTCGAATCACTATCCATACTTCCAATTATCTTATCCTATCCAGTGAGAAACACTGTTTCACTATGTGACACGTCTACTCAACAAACCAAGATGGAATAACAATCTACCACAAAGCCTAAGTTTTACTCTAGTATTAATAAACCCGAACCAGTCCTCAGCATATAAGTCAGTCTTGGAGTAATAATCTTCATTACTGGGTAAAAAAGTGTCGTAACATCTTCATGTTGTCTTCCGGAGTATTCTAAAGACTTCTTGATTTGTTAACTAGCCCTAACTTGAACACAAAGCAGCTGTTAATTTCCCTTCAACTTCCATTTAAAAAGTGGCTTTAAGTGATTTTCTTGAGTAAATAAATTTATTACCAACTTCCATACACGATATTTCTTTATGTTTAGTTTTTTTTCTAAAGTAATGAAGATATTTTATACTCGGTGATGGTTAATGTGAAGTAAAAATTTGGCTAGCGGTCGGATTCGAACCAGCGACCACTGTACTTCCATCCCGTTGTTCTACCAACTGATCTATGAGTTCCGACTGCTGACCCGATTTTTATTTCAGTTCAGTGACTAAAGTTTTTGCCTAGATACCATATGATTTAGTGATGCATTACTATCACTTGATTGTACTCTCACTGGCTACCTAATCAAGACTTCTTATCCTAATCCAAATCTAACTGGATTAGAGAGGGAGAGCATCATATTGATTATCATTTTGACCATCTGAGATAGCTGTGGTTTGCTAGAACATTACTGATACTGGATAATGATTGAATGTGAAGTGAAAATTTGGACCACGGCCGGGTTCACCCAGTATCAATACTAGTCTGCCAAATCATGGCTATCTCAGATAGTCAAAATGAAGATATTGTTATCAGTTTCTAACTAATTTTTTTGTTTGAAATCTTCGTCTTTTTCAACTTCTATTTCAATCAGCTATTTAATTCAACTATTCAAAACAGCTCACAAGCATCTAGTCTAGAGGAACGTATACAAGTTCTTCTTGACACAACAACTAAAGCCACCTACAATAATGTTGCACGCGGGTTGTTTGAACGTGATAAACTAGTCTTCTCTTTTATGCTGTGTGTTCAAATTTTACGACAAATGAATCAAATCACATCACAAGAATGGACCTATTTCCTGCTAGGCACACCTGAGGATACTACTGAATATAAAAGACCTGAACAACCAACGGATACACAGGATTGGTTGAATACAAGACAATGGAGACGTATTATTGACTTGGTGCATCATTTCCCTAACCAATTTGCATCATTACCTGATGATATCAGAAAGTGCTCAATACTGGTCAACTTTTCTAATCCATCGATAGTTGAACAACAGAATATTAGTGATTCTCATAAGAGTAACAATAATGAAACGCAAACTGATCTCGAAGAATTAGGCATATATATGTTAACACCTCACCTTCATGCCCAAAAAAAACCGCAAGCTGATCATTACAATGATAAGTTGACAGCCTTTCAAAAATTATTACTTATATCAACTATGTATGAAGAGAAGGTGATCAAAGCGGTTACCGACTTTGTCCGTATCAGCCTAGGTGAAGAGTTTATTGAGACACCACCGTGTGGTTTATCTATTTTATACAAAGAAATGGATCGTTCGACACCACTTGTATTATTTTGTCCACTGGTTCTGATCCAATGAGTCAGTTTCAGAAATTTGCGAAAGAATATGGTTATTCAGAGCGTGTACATGCTGTTTCTCTAGGTCAAGGTCAAGGGCCAACAGCGGAAAAGTTGATTGAAGAAGCCAGCAAAACAGGAGATTGGGTATTTTTACAGGTGAATCTTTATTTTATTTTATAGCTTTTTTTCACAATATATGGTGTTTTATTCCTTATGCAATGTGCAGCAATATATGTGACAGTATCAGATGTAGGTTGTTTTATAGTGTTCGCGCATCAGGTTGCAGGTGAGTCTTAGTTATGAGTGCTCCTGGCCTCCTGGCGGTTGCTTCCAACCACCTAACATCAACAAAAGTGTACCACGATGGAAAATTTCATAGCTTAGCCTACACCGCAAACCTGATCAATGGAAACGAAGACAGTATTTAGGACAAGTCAGTAAGACATTCGTTACCCCCTATTAAGTAATCAAAAAAAGTTGCTCTATTCCTCAAACAGAATATTTTCACAGAAATGACAATTGAGCACTAAACACTGCAATTCTGTTAGTCGGTAAGATCAAATTTAAACGTAAATCACATAGAAAGTTAGTATTGTTTGTCTAAGCGATGCACAAACGTCTAATATATAGCAGTCGTTACGAGTTTCTTTTTTATTCCAATTGTTCTACTTCATTCAAAATGTTCTTAGATGTTCAATAGATATTGGTCATTTAAATTTTTACTAAAATGATATTTACTCAAGCAAAGTGAACCTAAACAGTTAAAAAATCTTTACAAATTTAACAGTAAACTTTTCAAAAAGGCATTATTTATATTTCATAAACACCGTTAGCTATACAGGTTTCTCTGTTGTAAATTATACTGTCATTCTCGTTAACACTATTCTGAGTGTAAAACTTGGTCACTGAGGTAGAATGCAATTCCAGTTTAGTTCATTTATTACATGTATCACACAGTGGAACAGTATTATTTATTGGGTTACATTTCGGACACATTTATTGTCCATAGTGGGTGGGAGAGATTGGTAATTTAGTTTGAGACCCCTTGCAGTAGGGACCCAGAACCCCGCCGGGGATCAAACTCAGGACCTTTAGGTTCCGCGGTGAGCAAGTTACCATTGAGCCAATAGGTTAGAATTCCATGGGAGTAGTGACCTGGAGAGCAAACCACGTCGAACGTATGGATAGATACCTAACAATGGCATTGGATAAAGGTTGTGCTATATCGTGAAGTGACAGAAGTAGGAAAAGGTGGACTACTGGATTCCGACTCAGTGTCTTGATCGTAACGTGCTCATGGCAGAACGTAAAGGCACAGGGTTGATCCCTAACGAGGTCATGGGTGCCTACTGCTAGACGGTCCCATACTAGGATGAAGTAATTGTCTAGTGCTCCTAGGTTTCAACAATTCTTCAGCTGATGTCATTTCGTGATGGACACTACCTCGAAAGCAGACCTATAATCATTGCAAAGCAATTCAGGTGGTTACATTCACTCACACTATCATCATAACACAAAACGACAAGGAAACAAAGCGACTGACAAATAAATGAAATACTTTAAGAACAAACCATAGAAATTGAAAAGGAAAAAAGATAAAGTGCGGTTGCATTTGCTCAAGTGAGAAAAATTATGAACAGTATTACTAAGCGTCGACGAACATTGATTTCGATTCAAATCAAATGTTTGCGATTCAGCTTTTTGAGTTAAATCAATCCGAATACACCACTGATAAACTCGGTTCCTAGTGAGTGAAACGGCTTCCCGGTGTTTAGATCAAGCTGATGTGACTAGCAACCAATGAAGAAAGACCTTCAGATCTCACCATTCATGGTCAGCGGTAAAACTATCGGTTCATTGGCAAGCCAACTATTCACAAAATACAACATTACATTTCCATATATATTTACAATACATTTGGTTAGGCTGATTTTCGACAAACGATCGTTTATATTGTTCCATTGGCTTTTCTTATCATTAGAACACCTAAAAAAATGAAAATTCTGTGAGTGAATATCTGAGCGTCAAAAGTGAAGGCTGAGTAAAAAACTAAGATCAGTATGTAGCTACATAGTCTCAGTATCTTGTTGATACTGGATGTTGAATTGACACTAGTTAACGCCTTTAAAGTTATTTATTGAATTCCATCTAGCCGTACTCATGCTTTATGAATTCACTTCAACTTAACACAGCAGAAATCATCACGAATAACCTGAATAAGCCAAACTTATATGTTCGGAAGAAATTTATGCAGCTTCAATATTTTTTTGCCCTGGCCAACTACATAACTTTTCTATACCCTGAGATGACTCCCTCTCTCCTTCACCTTACAAAACTATTATTATAATCATTTTTGTCATAATTCTAACATTAATATAAAAGCAAAACTTGGGCATTATGGTAGAATATAATTTCACTTTAGCTGATTATTCGATATGTCACACAATGGAACAGTATTACTTACTGGATTACGTTTCGGATACAATTTATTTTCCATAGTCGTCATACCAAGATATCTTCACAACTTTGAGACATGGTTTATGTAGTTCTAATTTTCCCTCTTTATGTATGATATAGGCAGGGAGTAGGATTTTCCATATATCCGGAACATAGTTCTAATTTTCTCGCTTCCATTGGGAAATAAGTAGGTAGTGGGATTTCCGTTTATCCGGAATAAGTGCTGATTCATTCCTGGAGCATGTTTTAGGTGTTGATTCGAGGGGACTTTAAGAGTTACTTTAAACCTACCAAATACTAAGACAGCCAATTACATTCCTTTATTTTATGGGAAAGTACTTATCCAGGCGACATATCAAAGCCTAATTGGTAGTCCCATCAGTTGCTATGGTGGCCTTTAAAAGTGAATGACTTTAAAGGGCACCCTAACAACAACTAAAATAACTAATTAGACTTCTCTGTTTTATGAAAATCTTCCTTTCCAGCCGAAATAGAGGTGCCTGATTAGTTATTTCAATCGTTTCTAGGGTGGCCTTTAAAGTCGCCCATATAAATCACCTTTGATTCGGTAAAGAAAGATTCGGTTATCGATTTCTTCATCCACCCCACTAGGTTATTTTTTAAGGGTTGTCATTCTGTCTCATCCCTCTCATGTGGCTGTGTGTAACCGCATGCATAGCTATGGCACGAGTATCATAACTTTATAAACCATATCTCGAAATTTTGGCGGTATCTTGATATGACGGCTATAGATAATAAGTTGTGTCCGAAGGGTAATGGAGTAAACAATGCTGTTCCACTGTGTAATGCATCTAATAAATCAACTAAACTGGAACTGAGTGCCTTTTGGTTGTATTTAATGTTTATTCAGATATATATCTCGACTAATGATAACAGATTGATACAGTGACAGAATAAGACTGAATTTACCAGCTTATTACAGCAGAGTGGTGACAGTTTCCAAACTTGGAAATGAATGACATGAATTCAATTCTCCTAGAAAACATGGGTTTCTTCATGAATTCAAATATTCCTGTCCTATCATTGTCTGTTGAATAACTCCCGATCATCTGACACTAAGTAAAGTGGATCGTCATGTAGGTTAGTTTACCTTAGTGATCACAAAGCAAACTTGTTGAACTGAACTTGGTTAACACCGACCACACAATGAATGATTAGTGTATGGATCCAATTTTACAGTAAGTTATTTGCTGCTTAATTAGCTCTCTAACTTGTCATCTGGTAGTTAAAGAAATCCTGAAATAGCGCCTCAATTGTTAACTGGTGGGATATCAGTTTTATAAACTTGAGAATTCAGTGAAGAAAAAGAATCCCATTTCCAACCTTGATTCTTATTTAGAAATAGATAGCCACTTGAATTTATCATTTCAAAAATATAACATTTACTCATTACTAAAAGAGGTCTCCTTGCTCGAAGTTTAAATCTAAAAGGGATAACGGGGGGTGAAATTCTCTAGGAAAATTTCTGTCGAAATTTATCGAGAAAACTTGGTAATACTTAAGTGCAAAACATTTTCCTGAAATGTAGGTGAAATACTAATTCTGTTCTTTTTTAAAAACTTTTGAAATGCCGAAAACGGCTATAGCTTGAATGTCTTAGACACGACCCCATATTGAGTCGGCAGTGGGTACTATCGATGAGTCCCAAGCTGTAACCGAAAAGTTTTCACTTCTCCTAGTTCTCTAAAATCCTACTATTAACTTTAATCCAGTAAGTCAGTCAGACAACAGCTACTTGAGACCTGACAATACTGCTTCAAGGTTCAAGCTGCCATACATCACTTAAGCACATCTTGATACAAAATATACTAGTAGTATATCCAATGTTTTGTGCTGATGGTGTTGTGTTCTCTCAGTTGGATGATTTGATGATGAAACTTTCATTATCATTCTCATACGCATCAAATCCTCAACTACAATAGCAACAATCTAACAGTACAAAAAATCACTTGTTTAAAAACCATGTTCAAAAAAGCGAAGACACAATGTAGGACATCAACATTGTCGAGAAGAGAAAAAAGCTATCTGATCACCGTTTTCCAGAAGAACAGCTATGCACGTAACCTCATCAAAAGATGTTTACATAATTCATCGTCAACCAAGAAGTCAATCTCGGAAACCAACAAATGGGTTGTTGCAATCGACATGAAGAACGTCTCTGAGATGACTGAGATTACTGAAGCCTTTTGGAATCCCTGTATTTCACAAGACTACAAAATCTCTACACTTTCCAACATACAAGCCGAAAGATTCCATAGCAAAGGAAGACAAATCAAACATTATCTACAACATAAACTGTAGAAACTATGAAAAAGACTACATCGAACAGGGTGGTTGTCTCCTTCGAATCCGCCTACATAAACATCAGCTAGTAGTGAAGTGTCATGACAAATCTTCGATCATATCAATGCCTACGAACAAGTGTGGACATGAATTTGACTGGGAAAATGTGAAAATCCTGGATAGAGGAAATACGAAGAATGCCAGAGAATTTTTATAAGCTTGGTATTCAGGTGAATGAGCAATCAACAGACATGATGACATTGACCCGATCTATCAAGCAATAATAAACAACAGGAGGGTCAAATGTCAGTTTATCAGGACAACCAATCAACATGAATGTGGAGACGATGACGTGACCTTGGTGGAAACAACAAGTAATCAGACACATGTGCATGAGGATAAGCTACTAAATAAATTGTAGAGAAAACCTCATTACTCAATTTTTTCTGAAGTTTTGTGCTGATGATTTTGTCAAGAATGACAATGAAAGCTTAATTATTAAACCATCCAACTCAGAGAACACAGCATCATCAAAATTATCCTACTGAGCTACAAATATTTTCCATCATGTGTGTTATTTTTTGGGTTAGAAAGTTAACATAGCCATAGATGAATCATTTCGATTTCTTACTAAGTAATAAGCTGATAAGCAGTAAGCCAAGGAAAATACTGACAACTCGTTGTTTGCCACTCTAAATAATCCACAATTCATGCTTTTCCCACATTATATGACTTACAGAACTACAGTTCATGATGAATTACAAGTACTCAACTAAACCAGCTAGGTGATGGGACTGGATAATATATTTCATAGTTTAGTGACTCCTACTCATGAATTATAAAATAAATGCCAGTTCATGAATACGAGTGAGCTTATAAATACAGCCACAAAATACTGATGCAAAATGAGTCTTTCTGGTAAAGCTAATTCTGAACATTATTGCTTTCTTTAGGTTACTTCGTACCAAGGGGTAGGGTGATTTGTTGGTACTTTCAATCCTCCAGATAGCCAATTATACATGGTATAGATGTGTTTTCATTTTCAAGAGAGAATATCACTTTTGAATTGCAACACTAAAGAACGAACAGGTGATGGAATATCCCGAGAATGAAGATACTTACAGTTTCCATCTTGTTCAGACGGTATTATTCTCTGAGCTGGGATTTTGCTTGACAAGCTTTTTAACGCTTTGCTAGATATCAACATCAATTCATAAGAGCTTCACGTCAAAGTGCAGTAATTAGTTGTGCATGGACATGTATAACATGCTACTTTTCCTGAGTATCACCTGATTGTGTAACTTTAGCCCGTAGTTTTCTTAGAGGGGTATGACATTGTGTCGTTGGTCGATTTCTTTTGTTTACTTGCAGCACATGGAACAAACCGGAAAATTCGTGAGTGGTCCAAGCATTTTCAAAGTCTTGACACTCAATCAAATTATCAGTTAATCGTCACGTAGACCTGGGTGCAATATATGAGCCTATTCGGGAAAAATCAGTGACAAAAATCAGCCAGTCCAAATGCATGGAAACCCTCAACACAACCAAGGAGTAAATCTCCAGTCAATCAGATGAATACAACTAGCGTTTATCTATCCAAACTCCTCCATATAACCAATCAGCATAAAAAGACATCTCTCCTACACAAAGCTAGGAGCCAGTAATGACAAAAAGTACTTTTTCATCTGGAACAAATGAAACAATCAGCGGAATATATCCTCTTCTCCCTACAGAAGAGTCAGCCATTTAGACCAAGATAACCTTCATCACTTCAGTTAAACGAAACTGTTAACCAATCACCTTGAAACAACCTTCATTTGTTCATTTAAACAAAAGGGTCAACCACTCTCGAGGTGCAAACAGTAGAAGTCAGTCAATCACGTTCAGTAAACGCCCACGTACTCATCAACGGACTAATCAGCTTAAACTCAAGCAAAATGGCACGTTATAAATATCTATACAAAACTAATCACTTCACTTCGTTGTGAAGCTCTGATGCATTGATGGCGACGTTTAGCATAGTTTTGCAACGCTTGTCAACTAACCCCACCCCAGAGAGCAATCTATTTTCAGCATTCAAACCCTGAGCTACAGCCATTCTGCACAATTTGTAGTTCGCAACTTGTTTTCGTTGTCAGCTTAAGTGATACTTTCGAAATACACCTATATAGTTTACGAAACATGTCATTTTGGTAACATACTGGCTTGAGTACATTCTATGATTCGATTTAGTCATCAGTGACTGATTTTCAAACTAGCCTGGTCAATTACACAATCGATTTCGTCTCACCGTTTTCTACTTGGTTATCTCAATGTCACACTTTTACCGATTTTGTTCTAAGTATGACTGAGCTGGTATGTCATATTTCACATAACACTACAAAAACATGATGAATACTTAAACTAAACTCTTTACACCCTTCTTTTAACAGTACTGCTTTTCTTCTTGTACTATCTTGACAGAACTGTCATCTAGCTGCATCATGGATGATCCGTTTGGAGGAGATAGTTAAGCAACGTGCCGAAACTCCTAGATCTACTCATTTAGACTTTCGATTATATTTAAGTTCAATGCCAGCCAAGTCGTTTCCAATCTCCGTACTACAGAATTCTGTGAAGGTGACAAATGAACCACCGAAAGGATTAAGAGCAAACTTAGCTCGAGCGATTAATGACATCTCAGCTGAATCATTTGAAACACATGGTAGGATGATAAATTTTTCATGGGTTTAATTTCTTTAAAATGAAGTTCAAAGCAATATTTGATGTACAGTGTGAATATTACCGAAAATCTCACTGTCACTTATCGGTTTGACGTTAAGTATTAGAGTCAATTCACATGTAGTGATTTTGACTAAAGTATGTCATTTACAAGTAATGTTGATTGAGTACCTAACATAAGCTGTGAATTTGACTCTTAGAAACCAGAAGACTCATTATTCTTCCGTTAAACCTTCAGACTTGGGAACAGCTTGTTAAGAACCTTCTGGAAATAACCTTTTCGTCATCAGCCTATGAAGTTTTATCATTGAACTTTATATAGAAAGAAGGTAACAACAGTGGAGTAGGACGAGATAAATGTCTTTCACATACTAAACTATCTAAGTGACCGGTTGCATGCAATAGTCTAAAATTGAGAAAGTAATATATCGAGGTGACTATTAAATTCAAGACGAAAATCTGAGTCCTATCCTGATTCGAAGCAGAAGCCTTCGAATTACCGACCAGTTTCAAATTCTCATGCAAATGAGTGATGCATAACATGTTTTCATTACTGCTGCACTAACTTCTCCAGCTATCTTTCCTCTTCCCAAACCCAATCAAAGTGGACTAAAGGTTAGGAGTGACTGGTCAGAAGTTGGTGAACTGTTAGTTCCGCGAAAAACCTCGATCAATGAAGTATAATTAAGAACAGGATAGCAGCAGGGTCTTGTAGTCAAGCCAACAATCCCGAAACCAACTGACTAAACCTTATTGCAACCCAGCTTCTCGCTTCCACTTCTATCAACACTGAATCACATTTTAAAAACTTTGATAAATTTTACCAGTGTAGTTTCATACAAAGTGGATATCCTGTTCATGTATTTATTTGTGTGCATGCAGATTAAGTGTTGAACAATACTACCTCTTGCGTCAATCAACATCTGTACACATTCATGGACAAAACATTGATTACATGAACTAAAGAATCTTAGATTAACCAACCGACATTCAGCGTCACGTCAAGAATATCAACTGACATTGAATGGACACACCTATATGGATCCAGTCTACTGGTAAAACTATGAAGTTTTTTATTTCAGGGTACTTACTGAAATAATTATGAGCAAGGTTACGGAAACTGACGGTCATTTTTAACGCAGTCAAAACTGACTACCTTGTATGCCGCCAAACGTGACGGTGATGATGATGCCTATGAGGTACAGCAACTTCGGGTTAGATTTTGAATTGATTCTTCTGTCCATTTTACTCATTTCTATTTGCGTTCGGAAATCAGTCTATTCATTCATAGTAAAAGGAAAGGGGCACTAAACATCTATTCTGTGTTATGGTTACAGACTCATGTATATTTCATTCATTTTTTTATTAAAACTGGTACTCTTATGGTCTGCTGATAAACGCCAATACCCTAATACTACTGAATAAAAGTTCATTGACAGGGACTTTCCCCTCCAAGTTGCTATTCTTCCTACACCGTTTGCTGCCTTTTATTTTTGTCGTGGTGTTTTCAGTTTGACCTGTGTAAGCATGAGCCAGCTGACGAGTCCCAGATAGGACAAAATGAAAGTCCTGGATTTCACTACTAGCCACAACTAAGGCAGTTGTAACAATAGATATTCAGGCAATATCGAGGCAAAAGCATAGCAGCCCAAATGCTAACAGAGGTTGATCGATTCTATCTAGTATAACAACGGAGAATTACAAGTATTTATACTACCACCGGGCCGCTAACCCAGTGGTCGCTGGTTCGAATCCGGTCGTGGTCCAGATTTTCACCTCACCTTCAATCACCACCCAGTATAAATACTAGTCTGCCAAACTACGGCTGTCTTAGATAGTCAAATGATAATTACAAGTATATCAACAAATAATAATAAACCACACTGATTGGACTTTAACTTCAGTAAACTTTGTCGAGTGAAGAGAATTAAACTTTAACATTTGAGAAAGTGATCTAATGAGTGTTGTCTTTATTCGCTAGTGATTACCTGAATTTCTGTATTATTCTTCCTAATCATTGTCTGCTTATTTCGTTGTTGATTTATGAATATTTCTTTTTGTACAGTTTTGGGTGGGGATTGGCGAAAATTAGTCTTTGGCATATGTTTCTTTCATTCAATGTATTGGAGAGAAAGAAATTCGGTCCACTCGGTTGGAATATCAGCTATGATTTCAATGATTCAGACCGAGAATGCGCCATATTAAATTTAGAAATGTTTTGTCAAGAGTCACATATTCCATGGGATGCTTAACGTATATCACAGCTGAGGTAAGACATTACTTGATCTCTTCTTTCTTCTGTTTCCCCATTTCTTGTTTGTTTTCCCCTTTAATTGTTTTGGATGAGAGGTATTCCACAGTAGGTGTTATGCCTGCATGCATTATGGATTCATCTTTTAGTTATGTGGATTTGAAGTCATCTACGTAACAAAATTCAGTCACTGCCCCCCTCCCTCCGTCTCTCTTTTTTAGCTCAACTGAATTCGGATTAGACCCAAGATTTAGTAGAAAAACAAGTATGATGAGTTGAAAATATTTTGATAAATCTCATCGATAATGTGAGACCTAACTAACGATTAGACCAGGTAGTTTATTTGGTCTGGTTCTATAGCGATAACCCCAAAACTACTCTGTTTAGGTCCTGTCCCGATTCAGGATATCCTTCAATTTCAATCATTATCCCTACGTATAAATAAATCGATTTGTCAACCAGCTAGTAGCTACGACAGCTTAATTACAAATGACAAATAATTATGCTAAAACGTCTCTTAGTCAGGTGAATCAGCTTACTTAGTCAGATCCTAAGAAAAGGAAGAATAAAGCTTCAACCAATGGGAAAAGGGGGAATTGCACGATTTCTTTACTTTTCAGCAATTCTAGATGTGTAAAGATCGCTTTGTGAACAATAATTAGGCTCTCTTGTGTTCTGTCTACCATCTAAAAGGATGTGAAGTTGTGCCCTGCATATCTGAAATCCACCAGATTTCCCTTTTATTTTTGGCTTTTATAGGAGTTGTTAGTTGTCAAGTGGCTGTCAGTCCTAGGATTTCATTTGATCCACCGTGAGGCTTATACTGGTGATGATGTCTAACACGACATTAAAACCTTTGTCAACTTTTATAGCGTTCTTTTCTATCCATCTATTCTTTGTATACTGCTGTGGAGTGCGTAACTTGAACTAATGCACTTGTATGAGTGGGTTCTACGTTAATTTTGTATTTATGCATGTCACCCAAAATCCTAACCCCGATAACAACTCAGAATATTTTTCACGATATTTCAAGTGGACTAATTCTTTTATAACTGTACTTAAAAACTGAGACAATCACTCGTCAAAGGCAGTCAGAAGGGACTCAACTCTACTCTCCTCACCTCAGCAGTAACTTCTGTCAGTGTAATTATTTTAGGCTGAAAGACTATCTACTACTGTAGGTAACGTTGGAGGACTAGTGGCTGTGTCTAAATCTCGATGTGTTTTGATGAGAAGCATTACGTTTTTGTCTTGATCACCTGTTTGTCATATCTGCCTTAGATTATTATGTAAGTTTACTTCACGAGCTCTAATCTCGAGCTCATGCCCTTATATCACGAGAATTGACTGAGAATGAACACCAGTGTTTATATTTACGCACAACTGGTAATGATGATTTGGTGCTGGATGTTCGACTACTGATACATTCGTAGCACAGGTCATTTGTCGTGGAACCATCACACGAGTCAGGTGTTAAGTTTTAAGTGTATGAGGAAAGTCAGTTAACCGGTTGTAAACCATCTTTGCCTCAGATGGCTGGGACATATGTTACACATGCCTAATCACCGTTTGACTCATCTCACACTTGTTTACGCTGAGAATTCCAAATTGTACCACAAATTGTTTGGAATAAAGTGAATTATTATCATTATTATTCTATCCACCTGTTCTTTGTTTACCACTGTGAAGTGTAACAACTTGAGCCGATGTACCTGTCTGAGAGATCCTACTTTGTTTTGTCAGCCAGTCAGTCAATAATTTTTATTTTAAGCCGTACAGGGAAGTGCAGATTTCCCAGTTGGAGTCGGCGTAAGGACTTAAATCGGTGGTTGAATACTCTAGGCGATATCTCCCAGAATGTATCTCAGAGGCACAAATATTTCCACGTATTATCTTCATCTCATTCGTCAGGCCGGATTTCACCAATGTGGCACTCGCCTTCCTTATTTCTTGATCTTTCATCGTGGTGCTTTCTGCTTTGATTTGCTGACGTGAGGTATAGCAAAATAGATCGTTACGTAGTAATGCTAGGTCCTATGCTGATGCTGACTGACTGCAAGCTTCAACAGGCTCTGTCTTTTCAAACGGCAACAGAAAAAAGTATAAACCTTAATTTCACTTTGACTTTATGCAGCAATCTCAGGAACTATGCTTCTTTGAAATCAGTTTTGTTTCATTTTATTTATTCAATCGCCATTAGAAATGGTGATGGTGAACTTTCAAGCTATTTGAAAACATGTGTAGCAACCTACACAAATAACAAATGAGCGTGCAGGTTATAGTGTTCAAATAACCAATAAGGTAGGCAAGTTGCTATCAAATAGTCAATAAGAATTTCATCAGTCACTCATACATCTAACATGTGAGCGATTCTAAAGACCACTCTAGTCACTGGCGTAATGATCAGTCAGTTTTCGTTATTTCAGCTGCCATGGTAGTTTTTTCATAAAATAAAGAAAGCTGAGTGGTTATGTGACTAGTTGCTAAATTGATTTGTCAAGTCTTTCTGGTACAGAATAACGTAAATTTGAGATGTCACACTGATATTGCCTCGAATATTCCCAAAGAGTAAACAAGTGGTGGTGGGCAACGATCCTGGTGATAATATCTCTATAAAAGCAAAGGTAGGTCAAACTTGAAATTGTTTTTATTGTTAGTGCCATTATCCTAAATAAAGTAGCCTAATCATATGGTACTTCTTTTATTTCTTTCTCAACTTTAGATCACCTACGGTGGACGTGTAACAGATTTCTGGGACCAACGGTGTTTACGTACAATTCTTCACCGTTTCTTCCATCCGTCAACACTAGAACCGGGTTATACATATTCGTCATCTGGTATTTATTATCCACCAGAGAAAGAGACTTTATCAGAATATGTAGAATATGTGTCTAATCTTCCCTTCACTTCTGCACCTGAGTTATTTGGTATGCATGAAAATGCTAATTTGGTCTATCAGGTAAAATTACGTTAGCATTATATATAAAAAGCTGCATACAAAAATCCATGTACACCGACTTTAAACACTTGCAAAACCTGATGTCCATCGTTTAAATCTGACCTGTAGTACGTCAATAGGATTGGATTTCATTGTTGTCAGGGTTCATCCCCAAAATGTCCATCTACGATTCGAATTAATGATTCAGCACTATGGTGAATGAAGTTACAGCTAAGCTGACATGAAATAAAGGTTTATAGCAAGTGAAGTCGGAAATATTGCCTAAACTGATGCTGGGATACTCTCTTATGGTAAAGAGACTCTGGTGACATCAACATCGAAATATTTGTATATTTACTATCTATTCAATCGGTATTGGTGTTGTGTGGTGCGTAAAAGAGCTTTTAACTTGCAATTATCAAAAATTTCTCGTTCATGAGGACTAAAAATGACCCTCGACCTCAATGAAGACAGTGATAAATCACTCTATCTAACCTTTACTGACCTGGTTTCCAGACTCACTCACACCGTTATTATAGTACACGTGTGTTTCTGAAAGTCTAAGGGTATCACAGTCATATTGCTTCTGTTTTTAGTACGACTTAAGTGTATCACTTGTACCACTTTAAGGAGTGATTTCTGGTAATATTTACACTCTACATCATAGAACCAGTAGAATTCTCACCCTAATCAAGCTAAGAGAAAAGTCGATTATCCGGATGGTTAAAGTTTTTTTGTTATCATAATTTATCGAAAGAATCGCCATGGACCACAGATATCTACTCTATCGATCTTAACACTGTTTAGACATGGTGAGTTTCCATTGAGTCGAATGAAACCGCAGGCTCCTCTACGAACGGTGCCTTACTTCACCTACTGCAACCGTAGAAACACTATCGTAGCATAAGATTTAAAATTTGAAGTGTCTGTCATAGCCTAGTACACAAATCTGTGTCCGATATCTGAGTTTCACTGTAGCACAATCTGTTAAGGAAGTGAATATTTTTCTCAATTTGTGTGATAGTTCTGTGAGTGTGAAGAAAAGAAGAATTTCTTGTTGTTCTCATCATTTATGTAAGGACAATTACAAACAGTCTCATTTAATAGCTTGACAATTTTAACAACTGATCTAGGTAAAGTTGAGTAACAGTAACTCTGTTGTACAGACCAAAGTAGGTGTTTGTATTATTTTGGCTGTTATTTTAATTCTTAGATCCCTGAACTACAGTTTTCCTATCTGAATGTAGTTCTTCTTTATAAAGGCGATGGTCAGAGATAAATCTGTCAGTGGTATATTACAAGCAGTTATAGATGTACCATTGTCTAAAAAGCGTAGACAGCTGTTCAGTGCTCTCCAGTTTTCAATTAGTTTCCAACTTGTTCATCAACCAAACCTATAAAACGTTTTATCAACAGATACAAAAGAAATTTCCGTTTTTACTTGTAAATATTTATTCACCTCAAAATTATGTTTTAACTCGATCAATAGGGATTAAAGTTTACCAGTTTGCATTCAGTCGCTAAGCATTGTAAACTGTACGTTGAATAACTTACATTCGAACCTCAGTAAAATACTTGATGTATATCGTCAATGTAAGCACCAAGATCGTAGACACCGTCTTACTTTTAGGCTTAGGTCGCTTACGAGTAGTAAATGTTAGTCATAAAAACAAGTTCACTTTATTTAGGACCTTTCTGTAGCTAGCTAGCATAGATATAAAACCATCCTGTTAGTTACATTCTTAGTGGTCAGAAGGAATGAGATCATTCAAGCGGTAAAATCAAATGCTCAAAAAACGTATACATTGTACCAGGGTGATAAATTTCAGGGATCGTATATTTCAAAGTATTTGCAACTAGTAAGTATCTTAGTTACAACAGAATATGTGTCCAATTTGGAAGTTTATGGGAAGAGTCCCATAATAGGACGAAACAGCCGTCCAGTACCCCCAGGTTTTCAATGTTTCTCCAACCGATGATGAGTACCAACCTGAGAATATATATATTCATCAATACAAAGTCATCAAAAACGGTCAATAAAGTCACAAGTTGATAATGACTAGAGGTCAACTCAAAGTCATCAAAAATCGCTTATAGGATTACAATAAATAAACAAACAGTAAACAAAGAATGAATATTATATCTTAGGGAGATTATGATTAGGGTAAAATAAGAGATTGAATATATCTCTGCCATATTGAGGTGGTGAATACCCACTCCCATCACGAAGTTTGATTTCACTTTATAAATGACCTTGAAGGGAGATTGTTGTGGAGCTAACTGACCAGAGTTGACCAGATGCTCAAGAGTCAAACTGTTAACAGGCTTGCACTCATCTTTAGACACCCATTTAGATGCGTTTGGATAGAACACACTATGTGCAGTCTATGTAACCACCTTCACAAGAGCAGGTGAATTGATAAACACACATGGAGGTGACCCAAAGCGGTAGTTGGTAACTGGAGAAAACAATCCGAAGGTGGGCAGAAAAACGTCTTCTTTAGTGTTTTATACAGTCGATTCTCGATTACCTCTTCCAATGTATCTTCCTTCAATCCTATATTGATAAATATTTTCTTCTTTGGAACCGTAAGGGTCCCTTTCTGATAATGTTTAGACTTCACGTTATTCTAAATGAATCTTGGAAGATAACCATTCTTGATATACACTCTTCGAAGTACTTCCAAACCCTCATTTTCTGCGTCATCCGTAAACATCCTTCCGATTTTTGCGCATAGTGAATGATTTAGACTTCTTTTCTTGACTAGTAGAACCCAGCTTTGAAAATTAATATATTTTCTATTCCAGGCTTGTTTCCCGTAAATAGATCCCCTAAGGGAACCATCATGTCTTCTTCTCAATAGAACGTCCAGAAGGTGGAACATTTTATCCGCCGAATCATCTTTCGTTAATTTCTCATTATCTACTGGGACTATTTCTATGATCTATGACTGAAAACAGACACCACACTGATTTGAACGGCTTTCTGAGGTCAGCATATATTAAGCAAGCGTAAAATAGCTCCATTTTACCAATCGGCTGGAATCACCGACCCTTGGTTTTATCTTTGTTGCACTATACCATAGCTTTAGATCTGTATCATACTATGGTGAAGTCAAGGATATCGCGACAAAGAATACTAAGGCTCCTCGTGGCTTGCTTTATTACTGCATACCGTATGTGTTACGGAAATAGGGTACTAGCCAATGTATCTATCGAATACGTAGTATCATCAAATATGAAACCTTAATGTTACAGTTTCCTCATGAGTAACTCCTAACTATGAGCACAACGTACAGCAATCTCAAGCCACTCATCTTATTTGACACGATATCTTTTTGTCGGACAGACTTCAGGTAGCGTATATGACTTAACAACCTCATCAATTAACAGCCGATATTCAAATTTCGTGTACCTATACATATTCGTTTAAGGTTTCTCAAACACGTTTTCAGGTGTATATCTTGATTTATTTCGAATTTTAAAAGCTTCAAGAAACCAGTAAATTGATATCCGTCATTCTCAGTGTCCAACCGCGAACAAGCGCTTCTAGTACAGGGAAAACAAATGATGAATTGGTCTATGAACAGGCTGATTCGATATTGGAAAAGTTGCCGGAGAGGATAAAAATTGAAGAAGCTCGTCCAGATTTATTTGAAATTGATAGTAAAGGCCGAGTTGACTCGCTGACTACTGTACTCACTCAAGAAATAGATCGATTCGATAAATTGTTAAAAATTATCAAGGTACGCATTTATATTTTTTCCTTTTCCAATATATTCTCCTTCAGTTTTTACTGGTTATTGGTGCCGGATTTAAATGAATCTGATCAACGCGTATCCATCCTAAAACATCTTGATCAGTTGTATTGTTAATTGGTTGTATCATGTGTAGCCTATTGAAATGTTCAAAAGCTCTGAGAGAGATCTAGACTTATATATATATATATATCTGTGATGATAAAAGCATTCGAAAGTAAAGTGATCCAGAAACTCTTCTTCCATTAGTGTGATATAGCATACAGTTGAATGAAAAACCAACTGAACACCCATTTGACTGAGAGTCATTGCATAAATTATCCTTTCTTAATTGATTGTCAAAGCAACAGCTTTACCAAACGAATTATACATGAAAGAAGCTCAGAAGTGAACTTCTCACGTATCCAGAACTCCTGCAATCCTTTGCCTAATTGACATTTCATAGATACACTTTTCTGATTTTCAACACTTAAATACTTCCCTTTCATGAGTAAATCGGAAGTCAGATATGATGGAACAGTATTCTCTTCACAGTGTAACCTCTTTTCAGGTCCTACAGTTGTTAATGAAGTCAAATTTGTCGAAATAGTGTAGTAGCCTAATTTAAAGCTACTGACTTAATAAAATGGATATGCGCTTATAATTCGGCTTAGACTGAATTAGGTTTGCCGAATGGCATGGCGTATTACAGGCAGGCAGAATCAACGTAGAACTTTGGACACAAGTGAATAGGTTTAAGTCGCCACACTTCACAGTAGTATACAAAGATAGGTGGATAGAATAAGAGTGATACCAAAGTAGACAATGTTGTGTCTGAGAATAAATAATTTGAAGATAACTGTGGTTTAAGGAGATGACTGTCAACTAATAGGTCACGAGTTTGAGCCCCGCTCCACCTACCAGGGTTGGGACAGCCAGGTAGTGTCATCAATAGCCCTCACACAATAGATGTGGCTCATCGCCTACTGCATGCATGTGCACAAGATGGCTGAGTGGGTTTCGTCTTCGTTCGAAAACATTCAGGTTTTTATAAGACGTCAAAGAGTGAATACATCTACGCCACTGTAACCCATTTCTACCTATGTCTCCGAGAGTCATCAACCACTGATTCATATCGTCTTGGAGACACCAGTCAGCCAGCCTACATCTCCCTATAAGACTCAAACCAACAATAAGAAACTTCATCGACTGATGCCATGTCTTGGTTTTACCACCCTGAACCCACTTCCATTCAACTCTAACTTCCCTTAGTATGGGACGTCTACGTTGGTGGGATTTCTCCATTCACAAAACATGTCCAAGCCATCTCAGTTGGCTTAGGTTCACAATTTCATAAGTCGGCTTGCCTATCTTTCCTAGTAACCTTCACCTGACTCCAACACTGCACACATAGTTATTCTACGAAGCATGACCAATGCTACGAAGACACTTATAATCAAAACACTGCAACCGCTTCCTGTCCTTAACTTTCAACGGCCATATCTCACGTCTGTATAAGAGAACAGAACGAACTGCAGCGCAATATACTCCTCCCTTGATAGATAGTCGGATACAAAGCCTACATGGTAATCCAAAAGCCACTGGTTTAAAATATGCTTCAACACAGATGTTTATTTCAAGTGGGCAGCTATTTTTTCCTAGTATGACTCTGCACCAGTGCCCCGATACGAACTCGCGAGAGATCGAGTCCTGGACCACCGCGTATCTTAGCAACTGTGTTACGAATCTGTCACTACACTGAAGTTCAGTGGCCCACTATTTGCTACTTCTTTAGATTCGCAACATAGCATAACCATCACCTAATACCATCGGTAAGCACTCCTAACTACGTTCAGCGCACAGGCCATGACTTCTCATCTCATCCCTATAAACCTTAAATTTAGCGTTCAGTGTCAAATAATGGTCGGATTAAAAATTAGACAGTAATATCATTTTTTTATTGATGTGCTTATTTGTTCTTCAACTACAGAATTCCCTAAAACAATTGAAAAAAAGCCATTAAAGGTTTTGTTGTTATGTCAGAAGATTTGGAAGGTGTTTACACAGCATTTTTACAAAATTCAGTTCCAGAAATGTGGTCATCTAAATCTTATCCAAGTTTAAAACCACTGGGAAGTTGGGTTAAAGACTTAGTGTTACGTTGTGATTTTATTCGAACATGGATGATAAGAGGGAAACCGCTTTCATTTTGGTTATCTGGATTTTTCTTTCCTCAAGGTAAATACACTTTTCATTCTTTTTTTTCGTTTGGGATGTTTGTAGGGAAATTGGTTGGTTTCAAAACACTTTCATCATGGGTCGGCATCAACTAGAGAATGGTCTAAGATGAGCTCCAGACCTCTGGTTAGCTTTTTCATCCTGGTGATACCCACCCATGACCTCGTGAGGGATATTTCTAACTGCAAGTGTACATCCGAAGACACTGAACACTTTGTAACTTGAGAGTGTTGCACTGCACTAGGTAATTGCGATGTCAAGTCTTCACTACTGAGATATACACAACTTTAAGAAAGGATAAACTTTAGAAGCTGGGTAGCTTCGTATCAGTCTTTGCAAGAATTCTGTAACAGTACATATGAATATATATATATATATATATATATATATATATATATATATATATATATAATCCATATAAAAAGGCGAAAACGAAGTGATTGGACGGTTACTTGTGGTTGGTCGAACGAATGAGGAAGCTGACTGGTGGTATTATTGAAGTCACATAATTGCATAGATTTTGATGTTAATCAACGTTTACCTCAGTGGCAAATAACTTGAAATTCTTATAGTGAAATCAGGTGTCTGTAAAATACATAATCGGCGGTGATAAATCTCACTCTGGGTTTCTTGAAAAGTCAAAGTATTCAGATCACATAATTATTGTCAAGACTGAGGGCATGAAAGGTATATGAAATATACTACTCAGTGGTTTGATTCTACTTATGACCACTCCGCTCAAATTATTAATATTATTATTTGTCCTTTGGGCTCCTAGTGGGACATAGTGCTTCAGTAGCACACCTCCATTGCACTCTGTTCTCTGCAGTCTTTTCAACCTAGTCCATCGACTACTCACAAGCTTTTATTTCTTCCCTCACACGATCTCCTCCATATCACCCTCGGACGCCCAACTAGTCGTTTCTCGTTTGGGTTCCACTCGGGAGACTGGCCTTGCACGTGATGTCCCCAGTTGGCCTTCTCAATGTATGCCCAATCCATCTCCACTTTCTTCTGGATATTTTTTAGCCGATAGGTTCTTGGTTGGTTCGTTCCCAGAGTTGCTTATTCTTTCTGGTCATCTGATCTTCAGTATAGAGCTAGCCGTAATTCAGATGGGTTGAACAGTTAGGCTCTCTGAGGTGAATCAGTCCAGGTACACTGATGATGAACTTTACCCCGAACTAACCAAACGGCCTTTCGGTGTTTAAATCACTTTGATCTCGATAGCAAATACTGCTAATTGATGTGATTAGTTTACAGCCACTCATGTCAGTCAGTGGAAATGTGAGAAGAAACTCACCCAGCAACCTTGTGCATGCCCGGGAGATAGACAAATAGCCACACCCATCTTGTTGGGGCTAATGGCGTTAGTTGAATGGAGACAGTCTCCAGAATGCTCAGCTCAACCTAGGTTTCGTGCTTTCTGGCACCGGCCAGCAACCTCCACGGAAGTGATGTTCCGCCTGATATTCGAACCTGCAGCACCCAGTACCGAAATCAGAGATGGTCATTCCCCAAAGAGCTATTCGTGTCTTGATTGACCTTCTGCAGGACTGGATTAGGTACATTTATTGGTCCCTGGAGGGTAACCAAATTCTTATTGTCTAATCCTAAGTGTTGATCGAATTCGATCGATCATTTTATAGTATGGTTACCAGTCTAGATGAAGTTCTGCTTGGCCTAAGTTTCGTGCTTTTCGACATTCATCAGCATGGCGTATCTGCAACCTCTACGGAACTAAATGCCTAAACCTCTATAGGTGAGGCATTGTCTAAACCAGTGACCCACTGGTTCAAACTCAACTCGCTAAACCAGTGAACCACAACTTCACATGTCAGTCAGTAGTAAATTTCGTACAACTTTCATGGAATACTTATTTCCTTTCAAGTTAAATTTTTTAAGCTCATTATGAAAGGAGAATACTTTTTTTTTGATTAACTCTAATCAGGCTCTACAGTTGTAAAATGTAGTTGTTCAGCATAAAAACAGATCAAGTGTGCTGCAAATACACGGCATATGATTGTAAAAACTGCACCAGTAATTATATAGCTTCCTGTGTCGGCCAGTTGTGTTAAGAAAGAAACGTTTGTAGTTTTGAATTTATATTTTCGGAGCCAAACCGAAACTGGAGATGTACTTACCTAATCGGACGCCCTATGTGATAATTGAAACGTTAATTATTGAATTTCACTTTAAAGTGTTTGACTGCTTGACTGGTTTTGAATAAACAGCAACGATGATCTGCAAAGTTTCCGCAAATTGTGAAATGGCAATTTTAAAACTTCCATGTAGAAAGATATTCATTGAACTGCGTTTTCGTCCTCACTCGGCCACTTCAAAGAGTCGAGAAACCATTGTTGTTATGGGTAACCTTGGGCACTTCAAACGTACTTTTACCCTTAATGTGACAAAGTCACATGTCTAGCCATTGTGTAAAAGACAGATGGTGATTTGTGTCACTTCCCAGTGTAATCTATTGAAAACAACACTGATCAGAATGGAGATAAGTAGTATATGTTGAGAGGGCCTCAGAAATCATAGGGAATTACCAGCAATGGATAAAAATTGTGCCCATAGAAACGCAAGCAATAATGCAGACGTATTGAGAGCAAATCAAGATAGAATCAGAAGAGGAAATTAAGCACATTATGCAAATGACTATCTTAGTGCAAGGTGTACCATATTTGATGACTACTGTACAAGATGTCCTTCGTTTCCGTCTTGTCATTTTTACAAGTAGTACTCGGCTTCACACCAAGATTTTAGTAAATGGAAGAACACTGTTCTTTAGTTAACTCTATGTGTATAGGTGATACACTTATTAAAAACGATATTATGAAAGTGTTGCAAGCATTACATATGAATTACATTATATGGGAGTTCATGATTGCGTTCGGACTCGCAAGTGAAAAACATCCAGGGTTGGTGTTAGTTCTTAAATAACTGAGGCTATACAGACTAAACCACTGGAGTTGTTTTGATGAGTACATGCAGACTACTAAGCCAGATTAATGAAAGATAACAGATGTCTTTTAAGTGCGCAATTTCAAATATAGTCTACTTATCTGAATTTTAACGCAGAAAAGGAAAATTAGCTTACTGAGTTATTTTGGATGTGGTCTGAGTACTAACAAGCACGAGACGTAGGTGCAAGGTCATTTAACCCCCTACCTAATACTCTAATTACATGTCTGTAAAGATCAAAATACTTCACAAAATATAAATTTAATCATTTTTTTTCGGGGGGTGGGGGATGTCTTAGGTTTTCTGACTGGAATCTTACAAAATTACTCCAGAAAGTATGATTATCCAATTGATCATCTAACTTTTAAGTTCAATGTCCTACCATATTATCGTGATCAAGAAGAAATATCAATTGCAACCTCAAAATTACGTTTAAGTGAAGTATTAGAAATGGATAAAAGTATACAAGAACCAAAAGATGGTGTACTTGTGCATGGATTATTTATGGATGGTTTCAGGTGAGTAACTAAAATAATTTATATTATTACTATAACTCGATTGGTTTGCCATCCACTGACTAGTTACTTCTGCAGATAAGTATTTATGGGTCAAATAGCTTACTGATAAGTTTGCTTGCTTCAATACATCAATGAGGAACATGTATTTCCCACAGCACATAGGTCTTGTTTCGAAACCTAGGTCAAACAAGGCTTCCTATAGACTGAATTTTAATATCTAACACCAAACACAGTAAAAGCAGTGTAAGTTAGCATAATGCTCATGCTGCTCACTCAATGGATAAATTTTGATCAGCACTTAGGACATAGGCGGCTACATCGGTTATTATTTCGTGGTGAATTTGGACAGGTGATAATTTCTTCAATAGTGCTTAACCTTCAGATTCGTAATTGACACTAAAAGCATAACTTAAGTGCTAGGCTTATTACAAACTATCGGTAGGCAGCTACCAATAAACTAGTGTACTATAATGTCACATAACTTAGCGTTGTCCTTAAGCTGTATTTCACTGGCTAATAGAAGTCAATCAAGCCTAGGAACCACAGAATAACCACAGAACCACTGAATAGTATCCACTGAATCAATCACGATGAGATTTTAATTCTTTTTTTGATTCCTCGAAATCACCTTGTGTTTAGTAGATACAAAAATGCAAAGCAGCGGAAGATTCTAACCCAAATCATAAGTTGGTGCAGTCAGAGACATTAACATTACGGTATGTAGCTCTAACAGCATTAGTGGGTGGAATGGTTTCGGGCTTTCAAAAGGATAGAAACTCTCAATGAGATTGTAACTGTTCTATTACTGATGAAAGAGTCACAGACGGGTTACATTATGATTGTAAATCAGAGTTGTGTAGGATGCACAGCTAGATTTTATACATCCATCTTATGTATTTCACTCTCTTAGTGCCGTAAGATGTGACGGCTTGAACCGCTTGACGTTTCGCAGTATCCTGAGTTGACTGACCAACACAGCATTTTGTTTCTTTATCTGTGGACATAGAACCTTTTTTTTTCTTCTAATCTTTTCAGTGCTGCAATATGGTTTGATCTTGCGAGTCGTTTACTTATATTCTCAAATCTTCAGGGCGAATCAGTTATTTTGTGGTAATCATGTCGCCCATCTACTGTCTTCTCGTTCTATTCTTACCTCTGAGTAATAAAACCTTTGGTGCTATTGAAAATAAACAGTATTTCTAAGCATTTGAAAGTCAATTTGCCTTTTCGTATCAGTTCACTCACGTCAGTCGTATTGTGTTTTTCTAATATACTGTGTGACCCTGCGTTTGATTTGATTTTTCTAACTGATGCTTTTCTTGCACTTTCTGTAATATATGGAAACGGGGAAACTCTACAGAGAACTTATCAAGTCTTAGGTTTCAGGCGCTACATTCTGTACGGTTGTGGGGGAATGGCATAACGTCAGATTGTGCAAATATTCATATTATTCTCAACTATTTCATGCACACAATACGTACATTTTTATTAACGTCACTGTAAAGCAGAAATAATTGGAATTGAAAGATAACCTCCGTTATGATAGAATTCATAGCACCAAACCTCAGATTATCCTTTTCTGTATCCTTTTGAGCCAGCTGACGATCTGTTATTAATTTCACTCCAGTTACTGAGAGTTTTGCTTGACTGCAACGTTAGTGAGTACTATACGATTTTTCGTTCATCGTCATCATCATTATCATCAATCATACCATGCAATTAGGTCTGCTTATCCCATATCCAACTGACGGGAAGTGGAGAAGAACAGAAGCTAAATGGTTGTTGATCAGATCTGTTTGGACTTGTGGCGGTCCGTTGCTTCTTTGAACATCGGTCCTCATTGTCAAATATGTTAAGCACTGCCTACTAGATCAAAGACATCTCAGATAGAGAGTCGAAGTACAAGTGCATAATAATGCATTAAGCAACGATCCATGCCTACTGTGTGAAGAATGATAGCATTACCTAACTGCTCGGATTTTGGCAGGTGACACAGAGTTTGAACGTGTGGTGCACTGGTCGATAGCCGAGTGAGCCAAAGGCCGATCTCCATTTCAAATAATCTATGAAGATTGTCATCAGGCGAAAGAATCTATGCCTATAAAATAATGTAAAGAGGGGGTTATTTCGAATAAAAGAAGGAAAATGAAAGATAGGGTGACAGACAATGTCACTGCATAACCTTGCACACGAGTACACAATTAAAACTCAACATATTTTACCGCGATCTCGCCTGCTTAACTAGTTCACTAGTTACCAACCGGTCCTAAGCCCGGACAAATAAGGAAGGTTTGGCATACGGCTACCAACCCGACCCCGGAATACAAATCCAATCGCTAAGCAAACTTCAAAGCACAGACAAAATATAAAAATAAAAACAATATTATTCCTCGCTGGAATCGACGAGACGAAACGACGCCGCTTGGTGAAAGCCTTCGGGAAGTCAATTGATCAGTGTCTTCTCTTCTCTCGACGAAAGTAAAAGTAAGCATGGGGACATGGAATGTCTGCACCGTGTATGAACCTACCAAGGCTGCCCAGATTGCAAAAGAGATGAGGAGGTATGGCATGGAAGTGCTTGTAATCTGCGAAAGCAGATGGAATGGAAGTGGACTCTCCAATCTGTCAACTAGAGAGTCAGTAATCTACTCCGATATTGTTACCCAGACGACAACCACCAGCACACTGAGTTTTACAGTGGCTATCATGATGTCTCCAAGAACATCGAAGGCTCTCTCTCATCCAGTGGGAACCAGTCTCCTGCAGGATCATGACAGCAAGATTCAACTCAAAAGGAAGGAAGGAAGGAAGGTCACAATCATTCAATGCTACGCTACTCACCTACAAATAATGCAGATGAAGAGAAGAAGGAGGAATTCTACAGACAATTGCAATCAGTACTAGTCAAGACCCAACCCCAGTTGGTGACATCAAAATTCTAATTGGTGACCTGAATGCCAAACTGGGAGCAGACAACACAGGAAGAGAACTCATAGTGGGTCCAGGAGAACTCGGTGAAATGATGAGTCAGAATGGAGAATTGTTTGCAGATTTCTGCACATTCAACGATTTGGTGATTGGAGTCAGGCAGCGTGTGCAAACACACACAAAGATATTCACAAGGCAACGACATGGACTTGATTTCACCGGACACCAGGACACACTACACTGAAAATCAGATCGAATTCATCTCAGTGTGAAGAAAGTGGGGACGCAGCCAGCCTACTGAACACAAAGTCGAGAAGGGGAGCAGATGTAGGTTCATACAGCTCACTATCTAGTGCAAGGAACCTTCAAAATCAAGTTGAAAGCCTTGGAAGAAGTGGTGATAGACCACAGTTCAAGTTTAACACCCAGAAACTGAAGGATAAAACTACAGAGCACATCTTCAAGTCAGCCATCGAAACAAAATGGGAGCGATTGAACAACATCTCCGAAGGATCGGGCGTCGAAGAACACTGGAACTCTTTGAAAGAGATGTTGAAAAAAACCTGAATAACCGTACTAGGAGAGATGAAACAAGACAAGGAGTGGATCTCAACGGACACATAGAAGCTAATAGAAGAGGGAGAGGAAGACGATGAAGCAGAAGATGAACCAGTGCAGTGCAAGGATGAAAAACAAAAAGACGAACTGAACACGACGTATAAAACACTGGACAAAGAGGTGAAGAAGAGTGCGCCCGAAGACAAAAGACACTTCTATGACACACTCGCAAGTGAAGCAGAACAGGCTGCAGGTAAGAGAGACCTGAAAATATTATATCAAACAACCACGCTACTATCTGGGAAGAGATCAACTCAGATGAAATCAATGAGAGATGGTGAAGGAAACCTAATCACCAAAGAAGAGAAACAATGGGCTGACCACTTGAAAAGCTCTTGAATCGACCACCACCTGCAACTCGTCCAGAAATACCAGCAGAAACGTCAGAACCTCAAGTGAACAGAGGCCCTCCGACAGAAGCAGTAGTCCTGAATGCCATAAAACTCCTGAAATCCGGGAAAGCAGCAGGACCAGATGGAATTCCGTCAGAAGCACTGAAAACAGACGCAGAGATATCAGCAGCGGACATGCTCACACCACTACTCCAGAAGGTTTGCAGGGAAAGAAAGGTACCTGCAGATTGGGAGAAAGGCTACCCTGTCAAACTCCCAAAGAAGGGTGACTCAAGCCTTTGCAAGAACTGGTGAGGAATCATGCTGCTGTCCACCCCAAGCAAAATATTATGGAGAGACTAAAAGATGCGCTGGATTCAAAACTACGACCGGAACAGGCAGGATTCCGGAAGAACAAATCAGGTGCAGATCAAATTGCAATGCTACGCACTATCACAGAACAGAGTATAGAATGGCAGTCAACTCTCTACCTCAACTTCATCGACTTTGAAAAGGCCTTCCACAGCGTCGACCGAGAAGTAATTTGGCGGCTGCTTCAACGCCACGGAGTACCACTAGTCTTAATCAACCTCATTCAACAGCTATATGAAAAGGCCATATGCCAAGTGATCCACAATGGAAAGCTTAGTGACGCCTTTGGAGTAAAGACAGGAGTAAGACATAGTTGCCGTCTACTATCACCCATGATCTTCCTGATTGTAGTCGACTGGATCATGCAGTAAACCGTGATGAGCGAGAAGACGGGCATATGGATGAAAAGACCCCAGGAGAAGATTTGGATTTCGCCGCCGATGATGATTTATGTCTAATGTCTTGTTGCACAAACTCGAAGATGTGCAGGCGAAAAGCAACAAGTTGACAGAAGAGGTGAGTCAGCGAAGACGGGGCTTCAAGTGAATGTAGAGAAGACAGAGGTGATGAAGATACCCAACCAACAACTCCAACAACAACAACAACAAACTCCAATCACCATGATGGGGAGAAACTTAAAGGAAGTAGCCTCCTTCACCAAACTGAGCAGCACTGTTTCAACTACAGGCGGCGCAGACGAGGATGTCAAAATCAGGATCAGAAAATCAAGATAGGCTTTCATTAGCCTGA